GTCGACGCATCGACCTGAGTCGGCCACCGTCGGCGCTCGGCTCTTGTCGTAGTTAATTCGTAGGGTGCAACAGCTCACCCGCGGGCTGTCTCTACTCTAGCGGCTGTAGCCCGTGGGAGGCTGCAGAAAAGTGCTTAACTAACTTGAAGCCGGGCGAAGCTTGTGGAGGCTAGTGAATAACAAAGACAAAAACTGTTTCAAACATCAGTCAGAAATAGAAAATACAGCACGAGTGGACATCTAAAAATGCAAACGGGCTCCAGAATAACACTCACCGGCAGAAGCTTGAGTCTTATCCATCGATGTTGAGGATCATGACGGAGCAAACATATGAATTCAAAGGGGCTTCGGGAGTGCCTATCTTTCCTACTGTTTAGTTGTAGTGGGCCGTCTACATAGGATACTGATTTTCAATTGTCGCCGTCAGCCCTTTGCTCGTTTGGCATCCTGGAAATTATTTGAAAGTCATTGTAGATGCACATCCACATGCAGCTTACTTGAAAATGCTGCTTGCACGCTGGTGCAGGACTGCAGGTGTGAGAAAGATAATCCATTAAGTCAGTACAACATTCGGAGCGCGCGGCAGACAGAGGAGGGACGCGACAGACACTGTAAACTCTGAAGGCTTGTTGGACGCATGTCGCTCATGTTTCTCTACTCTCTTCAACCTGAATACGCATCCACTAGGTAGACTTTGCAACCTCATTTGTCGCGTGACAGATTAGGAAGACGTCGTCAGTCCGATTGATGTAGTATGTGATAGCGACAACTCAAACTCTCAGTCTCATCTTTCTCTTTTTCTCTACAATGCAACTTTTCTTTATGTCGTGAGTAGTCGCTCATCTATCAACTCTCACAGAGATATCGTTAATGTCGACACGCGGAATTCCAGATGATGATGAAGAGCCCGACAATTAATAGTATCTCCCTACAAGAAGAAGTACAAACGCCAGCTGCAGTTGACTTCGCCTGTCTGAGCCTGTTTTTCTTAAGTCGTGCATCTCTGATGTGTGCAGTCAAAGTCATTACTCAACACACACAGGTAAACTATTTCAAGCACTATCATGCCACTACAATTCAGGCGTGTATTTCATCATTTGGTGTATTTTCTTGCGAAGTGCGAGTTCTTTCGCCTCAGCGCGGCGCGCAAGAACACGCTCAGACTGTATTGACTCTTTTAGAGCCCGAATTCGACCTTTCCATCTGCCTAAAGCGTGCATGCGGTCTTCCTCAACTATTTTCACACCGGAAGGAACCGGCGCCAGAGACGCATCGCGCAGCTCGAGGGCGAAGCTTTCAGTAGCTTTGGCGCTAGTCCGATTCGCAAATTTGCTGTTTACCGCGTGTCGATGTGCTTCATCAATCAAGCCACCTGCAGCCACGTGCCCTGTAGTTCCGTCTACCATAGGAGGTGCGCGTGGGTTGGAGCCCACACGCGGTCATCTTCTTCTGAGCTCATCTATTCAGCTCCTAAGTAGGAGTAGCAGTAGGAGGGTACAGAGATGACAGATGTATAATGATCATTCACCTGTGAAAAAGAAGTAAAATTAAGATTACTGTGAGCCTTAACTGGAGTAGCGCTGAGGTCCCACTGGAGTTTGAATCTGCTAGCATGCGCTTCGTTTGTAGTCAGATGGTAGACGCCGCTTTCCTCCCTCACGTAGTAGTGCTCGAAAGCGATTTTTTCTGTCCCGTCGGCGTGCCGCTCTAATGTGAAGCATGCGCGCTCCCTTTCGTTATCGGTGATGCGCAGGCGCAAACCGTCACAAGCAAGGTAGAGATCATTTTCATCTGCCCGAACCCCCAATTTAGAATTAGATGCTCCTTCATCTTCTTCCGTGGATGAAACTGGGGGTCGAGCTTGACAATCCAGGAATCCCCTTGGATAAAGACAGCGGATGAAGCAATTACGTTCGTTGTGCTCCGCAGCTGCGGGAAAGGCTCCATTAAGAGCACCCACTATCTCCCATAGAACGACACTCGGCTCCTTCAATTGCCCTCGCACGTTCTCGAGGCCAAAGGGGGCCAGATACCTGGTGGTCGAAAAGGAGGCAAGTAGATGAAACTTCGCTTAATCTTAATAGATTTACATATGAAAGATACATGAAAACGAAGTTGAAAAAAGTTGTGCATGATGATCTATTCACAATTTACGTCATCCGTAGCCGTACTGCATCGGATTATTGAGACAGTGCTACTATCTTCAACAAGCAGTCGAAATTATGCCAGATATACCTTGCGCTCACTGTTCCGCGAATGTTGCAAATTCCATAGAGAACATGAGTACTGCCCGACCTTGATCGTGCCCCGCTTCTTGCTAGTCCAAAATTACTGCTACCCTTAGAATTTCCATAAATCCATCTGCAAGAGCATCCTTCTTGGTGAGCGCTTTCCCTTGAGACGACGGACCTTGGGAAGATGCACTACAGTTAAATTAGCTTCAGAAGAAGATGGAGATGCAATTACTGGTGTAGCCTTAATACTAGATTCCGCGCTAGGTGGTCGCTCTCTGCCCATTTCTTGAAACCATCCTGCATTTGCGCTGGTTGTCATCTCGGGTTTCAACCAAAGGTGATCCTTTCGCGACAAGAAGGGGTGATCATGATCCGGCTTTATGGTTCTCTTTCGGATCTGAGGATAATTCACTTTCGCATGCAGATCCTTGAAGTATTGCCGTTTTTTCCGGTTCTTCTCCTGCTGTTCTTGCTGTGGTCCTGGCTTTGATGCATGTGCTGAGAGATCTGGATAGGTCACAAGACGCGCAGCAGCCGAGGCAGGACGCTGTGGAGTTCGCTCCGAAGACCTAGAGACTCTTGTCCTTGTCCAGTCCGCAGTCAAGAGCGAACGCGAGGGCGAACTTCCTCTACTCCCACCGATCCTAGGCTCCTCCTGTTCAGTACTAGTTCTTGCTGCAGTTGCGGATGAAGCATTATTTCCGAGGGCTGGCTCAGCAAGTGTTGAAGCTCCACTTCCTCGTCGTGTCCATGCATTGTCTGTCATCGGTGCTACATCCGCTGCACTACCGTCTCGTCCTGAGGTAAAGACGCCAGCGCCTGAGGCTGTGGCAGCAGCTCTGGTTCTTAGAGATCCAGGCACAACTGGTTGCGCTTGTGCCGAAGTTGATGCAACAGCGGTAATAGGAGCTTCATAGTACATATCTCCAGTCCGTCCATTATTGGTGTACGTCGAAATGTCTCCAAGATCCTCAGATGGAATTCTAGCGCTCCTGCTACTCGCACCCGCAGCGTCCGTGCTATCGGTGTAAATACCCGAAGCGGGAAATGGCAAATACTGCCTCGTCGTCTGACAGGACACTGGATCTTCACTCGCGAGCGCGCCACCTCCAAGTCCTTGATAATACAACCCCGATGTTTGAGGCGGAGCTTGCTCGGCAGGGGGAAGAAGAAGGTCGTCTGGCGAAATCGCTTCGCTCTCGAGAGCGAATGAGACTCGTCGGCTCTGTGGCCGCGAGACGTCATCGTAGATATCACCATCAGCGAAGCCCATTTTGTGCCGTCAAGAGTAGACTTTTTCTTTTGCGAGTTTGGCTCGTGTGATTTACTTTTTTTACGCAGGGGAATTCACTCGAACAATCAGCGCTGGGGGTGTCTGTCATGCTACGAGTATCAAAAATTTCAATCTTTATAATGATTGCTCCTTAAATAATATATAACATACACATACTCATACTCATTTTTCTAACTGCTGGTAAGCAACTTCAAAAATTTGTCCAGCTTTTTTCCAACTCATTTCTCGCTTCCGGGGCGGGCGTTGATAAGTGGGTAAAACTAAAAGGGCGACAACCCATCTTCAAGGACAGAGATACAAGAATACGTACATAGATGTAGACAAAAACCGAGACCCTTAACAAGTCGTGACACCCCCGGCATCAAACAACAGAAGATTGCCTCTCCGAGACTGAGATGGCTTGCTTCCGACATGTTTTTCTTACTGTATTTGATTCTGACTACAGACAGAAGTAGCAGTCTCCTATGAAAATACACGGACACCTAGTAGTAGTACTAGTGGAAGCCACAGAATCGACGTGGTGGAATACGAATAGAAGGTTATGAATGATAGATGACAACCACAACTCACTCACGCGGCTCTCCTCGCTCCTCATGAGTCGTCCTGGTCGTCTATGCCGCCAGTGGTGAGACATGCTCCTGCCGCTGGTATGTAGGTCACAATGTGTAAAATTAAGCAACTACCGCGGCCCACCTGAGCCTAAACGTCATTAGGACGAACGAAACCAATGGCCATAGAAACTGTGCAAGAGCAAAAACTAGAATTGTCTTTGCTGCCTCCAGAACCAACATGGAGACCGTGACGAAGACGATCATGACCAAGACCATGGACACCAGATTTCGATTCGTTGTAGAAGTTGCAGCTAATATCATGTGATTTAGCGTCAGCTTTGGCTTTGCATCGTATCGAAGTTATTTTTCATCCGGCTGCCGAGAAGAGTACCCATGTCCTCAACTTCTGCACGCCACTCCGCTTTACCACTAACCTCCCGATCGTGCGCCTCTAGGACCCAAAGTTCTGTACGTGTATATGCGTACAGGATAAGATCGGTGCCGGCAACAGCGGTAAGGATCTTCTTGGCGACAATGTCGACGGAAATTAGAAGAGCTGGCGTTCTCTTTAAGGAACTGAAGCTGTCGTAGTTATTCTTATGTTACTTTTCTTACAGAGCCGTAGTTATTGATATTGTCATCTTTTTGATTTTCGTGAAATAAACAGAAAACGATCGATACGCTGCATCTGCAGCTGAATGTATTGATTTTGAGTCATGGCATAGGCATGGACGTGGATCATTGGTTCGTAACACAAGGGTGAAGATCGTTAGAGGGTCGAGAAGCGTGTCGAAAGCGAAGCTTTGTAGTCCAGTGAGGCCGTTAGATTCTGTCCATGATATGAGGGTGATGACGATCGCAATGCCACATACAAACTTGGCACCGTAGTCGATCCAAATCCATCGGTACATCCGATCCCGCTCCCGGTCGCCCTCGAAGCGCAATCTGAGTAGCCGCCACCCCGTTCCGATCCCTGTGGACAGGTATACCAGAAATAGTAAGCAAGCGACGGAAAAGATGTAATCCCCAATGAGTTGCTGAAGCATTGCTAACAGCGCCGCGTAGATCGGCAACGCCTCGCAAAGCGTAAGAATTAGGACCCAGCCACCGTGCTGGGAGACCGGGAACATGGCTTTTTGGTTCAGAAGCGCCTCAGCAAGACCGCCAAGCAAGGAGAGGGCAGAAGTGACGAGAATTCGACTGCTGACTATAGCCACTAGCAGCCCCACAGCGTATTCCGCTTGTAACGCGCCATAGGTTGCCGCCTCAGAGCCACTGAGGATCATTTGTCGGTTGGTGTAAATGAAAACGTCGTAGAATTCTGCCATCACGCGCGCAAGATAAGCAGAAGTCACCGCAGCAGCAGTAGTCAATGAACGAGGTTCAGTTTCTTGTTCGGCCGTGGCTTCGACCGGAACCGCATCTACTTCGGACCAAGGTGATGCTTCGATGCTATATTGTTCTTCAGTCCTGAGAAGCCCTTCGCTGAAAGTCTCCAAATTGCGATGTGCTAGCAAGTTTTGGTGGCTGCTTGAAACAGGAGTGCTCCCGCTCGTGATTTTTTTACTCGCATGGTTATCTCCAAACGATCGCATCTTTGTGGTCACTGGTGATGTCAAACTCAACATACTTGATGAGACCCGATCCACCGTATCATCATTTTGAGGAACAGGAACATTCGCTGCAACCTCTTTTTCATTCAGTTTCAGATCGCCTTCAGTACTAGCAGTAAAAAAGTCTGCTCCACCGATGCGACGATCTTCTTCCGTAGATCCTCCTGTAGCTGGGAGTAGCTCCCGTCTGCTCCCCGCCAACTGGATGTTGTTTGGGCGAATACCCAAAGAGATCGGTGTGCTCCTGCTTGCACAGGTTCCATAACCATGGATGGTTTGTCGCCTTACCGATGCGACGCCGTCTTTTTCGATTGCGTAGTCCAGGCATTCGAGTAGGCATCTCGGGACCTCCCTGGATGGCGGTGCGGCGCGCCCACTGCCCGCACTGCAGTACTTGTTGCGACACTTATCCTCGATCACCCACGCGCACCGGACAGCATTGGAGTAAAAAGCCTGGTGCCAGTCCTTGCCATGCTGAGTGCACCACCCTTCTAGGTCGCCAGTTGCGAGAAGGGTGTGGCTGCTGGGCAGGAGCCCCGCTTCGTTCGTCAATTTCAGGGTTCTTCGCAGATCGGTTCCCGGCATGTTGAACACCATTTTCACTGACGTATGACAAACGTCCGCGGCAATTGCGTCCCAGTCGACAGCGGAGCGAATGGGATAAATCAAAAAGAACAAAAACGGCGGCGCAAAAGCGATAAGCCATGCGAACGCGACCGCCCGTCTTGAGGTCTGGAGTCGCAGCTTCAGCGCTTGCACCACCGGAGAGTTCTCCAGCTCCTCGATATGGCTAACGCTTTTCCGCGCTTGAAAGGCCACCTGCTGAGGACTCCTCGCGGGGGAAGGAACCCGAGGATCATCGGAAGCGGCCATACTATGGTCACCCTCGGAAAAGCGGTGGTGTCGTGGAGAAACAGAATTCTCGGCGGTGGAACCCCTAGACTTACCCGCAACTGTTGGTGGCGGAATTCGACTGGTGTCGTTGTTATTGTTTTTCCCAGCTGGGTTGGGTCGGGTTCCTTGCCCAGTATCCCTTAAAGGTAAAGTGTTTCTGGTCTGCGACGTGGAATACGAATACTCTGTCAAGTTCACGACCATAGGACCACCAGGCGCAGCAACATGTTGTGCGTTCTTGGATCCTATTCTTATCTCATGTGGCGGCACTACACCTGCGGGCTGCAACTGGTAATTATAGGCCACTTGCTGCTGTAGAAGATGAGGACCATCTCCTCCTGGAGGTCCATCTCCTCCTGCTGTAGAAGATGAAGTAGAAGGACGTATAACTTTTATGGTGTTTTCGTCGCCTCCACACAGCACGCATAGGCCACAAAATGAGGTTATAGGCGCCATCCAGGACAAAGCTGTCGCAAAGACGATTGCACAAAAGCTGATGATCGTGATGAACCAAAAAACAATGTCTTCGTACATCAAGAATCGCAACAAATCGTCGAACAAAGACGCGTCAATCTCTTGCGGCAATTGGTTCAGCAGGTAGTCCTTGTACGCTGAGTCCTCTACATCCGGAACCACACTCCCGGGATAGCCGAGCAAAATTTTGACAATGTAAAAAGCACAGCCGCAGCTGAGAGAGGAAAAGCGCCAGGTAAAATACGGAGCGACGCGCTCACTGCTAAAATGCTCCTTGGTACTCAGAGCGCGGAAATGACCGAAAACAGGCTCGCTGGTGGCGACAGCGGCGTCATCCCACATACCATTCCGGAGGAGAGCGTAGGGCACACGCAACATCTTGAGGCTCTTATAATTACTATTTTTTGCCTAGTTTAATAGGCTGAAAGACTAGTATGATGCGGCGAAAGAAGATTATGGTAATGAATCGACGTTCTGGTCAAGCTGTTGCAGCGATAGATATGACAAGCCTTCCATTATAAATGATCTTTGGAAGAAGTTGTAGTTGTCGTGTCAAATATGTAAAGATTCATATCGTTGGAATGGAGAATTTCAACATTAGCAAAACATGGGTCCGCATCATTTGATTCTGGAAGTAAAAAAGTGTTGGGCTCAGAGACGAGGGAAAAAAATATAAGTACTCGTTTCTAGTACCGCCTGCCTTTGAAACAAGTCAGAGTAGTTTCACTCAAGAACGTCAAGAAAGAACACGCTTTCTAATGCTACAACTTGCTTTTGTTTTCTTGTTGCCTCTCTAAATACACTAAACCTTTTTTCGAACCGAGGCTTCATGTACTTACCCGTGGAACATCCCGTCTCTCTCCATGATCAACCTTGCCATTTCCTCTCGCCTTTCCACTTGATAACCAGTGTTTTTGTCACCGTCACGACCATAGAAGAAAGAGACACTCACCATCACCAAACATAGAAAACCGATTTATAATAACAGAGTCGAAAGTATGATGGACAAGAACTATGGTTAGTCCGCAGGCTTTCAGTGATCCATATCCTCCGCGTTAGGGAACTTACTAAAATGCAACGAGTTTCGCTGCATCTTTCTTGTTCGATCCTTATCGATAAAGATGTTACTTCACATCTTGATAAAGTAGTCTGCTCACATCTTCTGTATCGTGGCTCGAAACAAAGAAGCTCAGAACTATACTCATAAACAAGCGAACTAAATAGCGCAGAAAGCCAAAAACCAGAATCGTACTAGGATTCTTTCTAATATAAATTGAATCAAGAATGCGGAATATGAAGTTAATTGTTCAGGGATAAGCTAAAGCAAGCGGGTACGCGCTCGCGCAACACGGGTGCGGGAACCAGTTCTTATGAAAAGTCAGGAGTGAGAGTTTTGTTATAGGTGGGCGCCAAAACCCAAGGTGGCAAGCTTTTCGAAGTGTTTCCTCGCAACATCGATGTTGGTCATGGCAGCGGCTGGATGCATAGTCTGATCGGAAACTATGAGCATGATGCACGTGTTATGTGTGAACCGCTCTATGAACGCCGTAAATGAACTATTCTGCACCGTCAGTCGCTTGAATGACGAACCGGCCTGTTGAATGAAGAGTGAGTATGAGCATACTTCGGGAATGTCTAACGATAAGCAAGAAAACAAAAAGAAAAATCATAGGGGGACATCAACATCAAAGAAATACAAATTGTAATTGTCTATGTATGAAGATGACATCAATAGCACGAAAACGAACATCAGTAATTACAATTGTATCTATACCTTCCCGCAGCTGAGCTTAAACTGCTTAACAATGTTGCTGATCTTCTCAAAGCGGTGAGCGTCGGCCATTTCTTTCCTTGTGGACGCTGATATCACTACAAAGGTAGCTTTCTCGAACAATACTACTTCGTCAGCCTCACAAACCTCACAGAAATGCTGCAATTGCTTCTCTAAGATATGCACATTCGGTATGAGCGAATACACGATTCTTGACCAGGCCTGGGTTTGAGATGGAGGTGAGGAAATTAAATACTTAATTATTGTGACCTTGTTGTACTTGTAGCTTGGTGTTCGTGCGTTTTTCTTTCTGCCAAAGACAGATGTCTCAATTATTCAAACTTTTTATTCCTCTAGCAAGTCTAGTTTAGCCCAAGAAGGCCAAATGTATAATCATTCTTCAGATCACTATGATCATACTGAGAGATACCTTGAATAGCGTCTCGTCCCAAATACTAGTCGGGAACGATGTCATCTTCAAATCGTTGCCCACTATAGTATCGATTTGCTTCTTATATCGGTCGTAGACGGATGCTCGATGTGGTTCGGGTACTAAGTCCATCTTGTGAACAAAGAAAAAGCACTGCGCAGTCGGTGACAATTGCCGTATGCTATCCACTGTGCTCTTCAAGTAGGTCATGTCCTTTTGTATCTGGTGTTATTGTAGATACGATAGACTAGTATTAGTACTATTACTGGGTAAAGAGGTTTCATATAATTTCAATTCCAATTTCCGAGGTTGTAACGGTATTAAGGGTTGAGATACGTAGACCTTCTAGAAGAACTAGGCAAGTACATAGAACTTACTGTGCGGTCGACATGATTCTTGAATTAATATGGCTGTAGTACCTCATGCTCTGACTTCGATCCAGCTGATCCCAAGACGTAAATCAAGACGTGGACGTTGCGAAAAATGTGGTCTCGCTGCGACTCGAAGTAGTTCTCCATGAAGATATCCTGGCCACCGCAATCCCAGAGATTCAGCTGCAAACTGCCCAAAAACCGCAAGTTGCAGTGTTCGACCTGATTTGTCGGGTGTAACCTCGACGTTTCGCGCGCAAGGTAATTCGCGAAAATAATTGATCGGATACTAGTCTTTCCGGCAGACGCTCGTCCCATGAGCAGAACCTTGCTCTGCGACTGCTCACGACGCTCGGCAACGATTGACATCTTCGCGTCGTTGTATTTCGAACAAATGATCGTCGTGGCGATTATATTTCACCTCCTTCGGAATGCTGAGTGCGTAGAGTAGCGCTAGTGGCACATCGCAGTTCGTTGCCAGCTCCTTTAGATCGGTTTAGCGGCTTGATGCGTCTGATACACTGCTGCGTCTGGTTCGACGGCCAGACTCGGTGTCGTAGGACGAGATGACGCGACAAGAAGCACCGGCGGGCATTGACAAAACCGAACAGAAGAAATAGTAAAAGAAAGGTGAATGGACCTTACGAAAAATATTGATGTAGTAATTGTGCAAAAACTACAAATAAAATTTTTAGAGTATCAACGAGATCACGATCAGGGAACCATATCCATATGTATTACAACTGCAGCATTGAGTCATATCTTACGTTGTATCAGTATCTAATAAATAATAGAAAAAGAACTCTACTCACGCCCACGCGCTCAACTCTTCCTCAGTAATTACCTCATTTCAACTAAGTACCCACCTGTCCTCGGGGTGCGCTGTTCATTGTATACATACCATTTGTAAAAGTGGAACAAAGAAAAAAATCAAAGGGAAGGACGTAAAAGAATCAACAATTCAGTGCCAATCATGCACATGATGTCATCGTTTTGGCAGCCTGACACGGATCGACTCCTGATCACGACAACAGCGCGAATGAAAATGATCCTGGCAAGCACTCCTATCATGACGAGAGAGATGTCAGCACGACTAGCACCCACCAGAATTCTGAATGACTTGATCAGATGACTCTGAAAGTTAGCAGCCAGGACTGTCCAACTGACCAATACTTTTTTACTGCGCAGAGTAGGCCTGGTGTCTCACCAACCGGCACTTTTTCAGCCAAGGAGGAGCCTTCATTTTCTTTCGATTCTCATAAGCATGAAATTCACCACAAAAACAAATCTTTCTTGCCAGGGAAGCTTAGTCAATTTTCAAAAAAAGTCTTTCAGTTTCAGAAGGACAAAATGATGCATAACATATCACTTGGCACTGCTATTCACTTCACACATGACTGTGCAAATGCAAAATTTCCACTTTACAAAACTAGCTCTACCTACTGCGATGATGCTTCCTGTTTCTTTTCTAATAGTGATTTTCAGGGCTTAACATAAAAATATGTTCGTGCTCGTGCAGGATAACTCCGATGAAATTGAAAATTGACAAAGCTTAATCTTAAGCACGTCTACTAGTACTACAAGTACCGAACAAAGCGAAACATGGAGAATAATGATTCATAGATAGTCTTGTTTCAATATGGTAAGAACATGAACTACTGATACGAATACGATCATATTAAAAAGATTAGGCGGTAATATGCACAAATTTGAGCGAGAGACAGAGACAGTCCCTTAAGCAGCATTATTTTGTGAGAGTAAGAGTTGCAGCAGTAGTATGTATGAATAATCGCTGACGTCGTGGTCGTGGTGACTATGATGTGTTCGCGTTGTCTACGTCGTAGGAAGCCATGAAGTGATTTTCTTCTCGTCGTCTTTTCACATCAATCGTGGATTCGACAGCGCTAGGGTCCTACATAACCTCTGAAGGCGCACGTTCATCCTAGCTTGCGCAACCACCCTGGACCGTAGACTAGATTTCGTGGTTCTTGGGCATGTTCTTGGGTGGCACTTTCCGTTGCATATGCCCCTGGTAGCACGATGGATCCAAAGCGGTTCATGAAAACCACGTAGTCGATTTCGTCGTTTTCGTTGGGTCCTAAAGAGTCGAAGAACAAGTCCGCTGACGCGTCGCTCAGGTTGAATTGCGAAAAAAATCCACGCATTTCGCTTCGATCAACACGGCCGGACTAATGAGTAGAAAGATGTGAAGATCTTTCTGTGGATGGGGAAGAGCAAGAAGATGATTATCTAGGTAGCACTTTAGCTTTAGGGATTATACCAATGTGAGCCTCACTTAGACTAAATGCACCTCTTAGTCCCTATTTGAAAACAAGATCTATTTACCCGCATATTCAAATTTATAAAAACTAGTACTAGAACTAGAAGATACTTTCATTAAATGTAATCATGTACCTTGTCCAAATCAACGAGCCTGAAAGCCTCCCTGACATTTCGAAATCGGCAGTATGCTTTGTGCTGCAAAACTTTCGCTAACCTGTCCATAGCAACAGCCTTATCGCAACCCCATGTGTCTCGAGCAACAACTCTGTCGCCCTGTTTTCCCACATGGTTTTCTGCCTCGTCAGTCATCGAGGGAAAAGCTACCTGCTGGTTTGATACATTTACTTACATAGAATTGGTGGAATTAAAAGCACTAGTATGAAGTAGTACTCCTGCTACGTACTTCTAGTGTGAGGTTCGTTAGGTATCATGATAGCAATACAACGAATAGCTATCATGGCGTAACGCACATCGCTGTACTAGTTGCTTGTTGATACTTGATGGACTTGTATTTCACAGAGGAGCTGAAGAAATGCTTCAGAGCAGTCAGTACCTCTGTCTTTGGCACATTTCCGAACCCAAAGAGGCCGTCGAGTGTGTTCACGATTTTTGAACCCTGCACGTCGTAGTGCTTGCTTCCGCGACAAATCGCCACCTCTACCTCTTTCCGGACGGGCCTCTTACCACAGTAGTTGCCGGTCAATGCCGCCATCTCTGCCAAAAATTCAGACTCCCGTGTTGAGCAGGCAGGAGCTTCCTTCATCTGTGCAGGTGCCTCTCCAATAATTCGTGTATTGTGATGCAAGAGAAGAGGCGCTGGAGGACTGCTCTCCGGAGGAGAGGCATCGGCCGGCGGCTGCGACTCCGTCATTTGATATGTATTTATTCTTCGCTTTTGATGTATTGATTCACAATTCTTACGTCGTCCAAGCTTGTAAGTTGTAGTAGGTATAATTTCTCCTTCTCTTAAGTAGTTGCCTTGTCGTCGCCGCAAGAGTGTTCTATACATGAATTCCTTGTCTGAGAAGTGTCCTACTCTAAGCCCTCAACAGCTGACTGAGGACTCTTTTTCTGCAGCTGACACAGAGAATTATCGTGCTCAAAGGCTATCTCGAATTTCAGTTTTCTTCTTTCTGAGGTGTAGTTTGCGCTCAACATTATTCCTGGAATGCAGATTTATGATCTTCATGCACTCCTACTTATAACTTTATGTTTAATATGATGGTATGCGTCAGTTATTTGAGTACTTACATCGACATAGAGAAGATGATCTTGCCTCAGCACCAGAGAGAACAAGCGACTAGTTTTGAACACGTGTAGATGATATTCCAAGAATCTTTTGTAAGCTGTGGCTGATCGGAAAGATTGCAACGCACCCTTTCATCTTTGCTTAGTGAATAATATGCGCAATCGCACGAATGAAACAAAGCAAACAAGTAGGTAGAAGTTGGTAGTTGTAGCAGGATATGCCTACCAGGCCAAAAGCGTTTAAGCTGGCCTTGAAATTGAGGACGTCGTGACAAGTGGGCGTATTAAGAAAAACACGCTGGCCGTTTTTCTCTGATGAAGAAGATTTCATCCACGAAGCTGAAATCAGAACTATTCAACATGACGACAGCATCTACATCTTGATCTTGGTCTTGCTTCAAAGAAATATTAGCGAGTGGAAAAGGAAGAAAAACCATGATCTAGGCTCTTTCATTTTAGGGATATTCTACAAGGACGAACCATTGTTCTTCTGATGTAGGTAAGCAGGCATCAGAGCCTTCTGGAAGTCTAGAATAGCTTGAATTAGGTTGGTGGAGGCATCCATCAGCAGGACAGGATCGAAGGGCACTGGAGGAGGGAGTTGTATGCCTTGAGGCTCGATATTTTGGTTCTCAGCTCCTAGGAGAAGAGTCGCGGAGTTGTTACTGCTACTGGCTGCTGCGCTTTGTTTCTTCTCAGCAGTAACGATTTCTCCACCAAGGGCTGCAACAGAGGCAGATATGAGGGCTGGCGCAGCATGTGCTCCTTCCATTTCTGTCCTAGGTGTGACGTAGTCCCTGCGGAAGTAGCTGCTCATAGCGCCAAATGGAAAATTGGGACCTTGTTCCTCTAACCGGCGATACCGCTCTCTATCTTCCTCCTCAAGATTCCGTTCTGCTCGAAGATTTTCTTGTCCGGTGGGCATGCCGTCGACAGCAGCAAAAACACGCGGTCCCTTAGCTACCGTGGACTTTCCATACAGATCCCGCAGTGCCTGCTTTCTCTTGTTCGTTATATTACCTCGAGATGAAGTTTTCTTCTGATGTCCACCATCATCAGCACCTTCTTCGTCGTCTACGATATCTGCATCCTCAAGTACAAAGCCTAGTCCACCGCGTTTCTCTTGCCCGATCTGCAAAAGCTCTTCACGTTCTGCATCGGACAGCGCAAGCCATTCTTCTTCTGTGGGGGAGGTGAGCCACTCGTGCGGCGGGTCGGATATGCCGCCTCCATACTGAATCAAAAAGTCCCACAAGCGGTATGCTCGACCGTCAGCGATGTCGACACGGTGCTCCGCGTCTTCGTTTGCCTGGTCCAGAGGATGTGTCCCGAGACACATCAAAGCAAACGCGTTCCCCGCATACGGATCATAACGGGTTTTTCGCTTCAGGTAGCGACTATTCGTATTTTTGTTCTGATCTTCAGGAGTTGGCGGGTTCTTGCAGCTCTGGTTCTGCTGGTGGCCGTGGTCAACAAGGACAGCGTCTAGTTCTTCGTGATCATCTTCGCGATCATGTTGTACTGTCTCCTTGTTTACTCTAGTACGTGAAGATTTGATGGTGTTCGAAGCAGCGGAAGCCGCAACTCTTGCTGCTGGAGCTCCTGGTGAAGAAGATGTGAGCTGAGGGGACGCATTCTTCTTTTGGTCGGCCTTTTTTGATCGAATGAGCCGCGAAACCGTCCCAAGATCTAGCACACTTTCCTCTTCCTCTCGTGCTACCTCCTCAGCATTCGCGCTTCCGATCCCGCCTTCTTCGTGGTCCACCAATTTTCCGTCCCACAAGTCCGCCTGCAGCCACTGCTTCGGAGGGTTCTGAACACTTCCACCATACTCAGCTATGAACTCGGACAGTGTGTATGCGTAGCCGTCCTCATCCACTCGGTAATCTATTTCCCGATGCTGGCCACTTGCTCTCTTTTGTTCCATATCACCTGGCCCTTGACAACTATCGTTCTTCGCCTTCGCGTCCAGGCTCTTAGCAGCATCATCATCTTCAAAGTCGATTTCGTCGTCCAGGACTACCTCCGCGGACCACCATTCAGCTGGAGGGTCTTGTACGGAACCACCGTATTCAGCAATGAAATCGCTAAGCTGATAAACGCGGCCATCATTTCCGTCACAGCGCCACTCCGATTCATCCACGAACATTTGCTGAGTATACTTTTGCCAGAAATGCGTAATCTTAGCCAGCATCTGCTCTTCAACAGAAATTTGTTGGAAAACTTGTTTTTCAGCATTGCAATTGCTATGACCTGTGGATTTAACCCGGTGGTCCTCCGCTGGTCCTGACGTAGGAAAACTAGAGCAAGAAACCCCAGTGAGAGAACAACTTCGCAAGAAGGGTAAAGCCACTTCTGGCGTAGCTCCGGTTGCGGCCCCGTTTCTCACTTCGCCTTGTTGTGGTTCATCTTCGCGGTGAGCGTGAGAAGTCCATGACGAAGGCTTTAACACCAAGTCAGCGGTTTCTTCCTCAGCAAAATCGTATTCGTCATCCCGTTCAGAGCCAGAAGTGGTTCCGGCATCGGATATCTCTTCTGGAAACGTGACCACCTCATTGTTGCCAGTCGAGGATGCTGAAAATTTGACCAGTTCGGCACGCGAGAGCCACTCGGGTCTTTCTGCCATCATAGCATCAAAACCGAGGGTCTCACCAACCTTGTACGTGGTCGAGCCGATTTCGACAGTTCTCGTCGTGCCTGATGCTGCAGACGCTGAAGATGGTGCATCACCTCTGTTGTTGTCTCCTTCCACTTTTTCTTGACCTTGATGGTCCTTCTCTATAATATCGTTTTCCTGTTCAGTACTCTGATCTATTATTTGCCCTGAAGATGGATCTTCAACCGTTCGTGTTGATCGTGCCGCTTCGCCTTGATTTACAGGACAAGGTGTTCCTACTTCCATCTCCAAGCCCCGTTGGTCCAGCATTTTTCGGCTTTCATTGATCAGCTCTCGGTTCTGCATGATTAGATCTGCCAGCTGTTCTGTCGAGTGCTGTTGCGGAGGCCCTCCTCCGACGTGCTTACGACTTCCGGTGCTCAGTCTTCCTTGCTTTATCACGCTAGACTCTTCAACATGTGCGACAGCACCACCCAGAGAAGCGTCGGAGTGAGGTATGATGCGGCTTCCGGATGTCGATTTTGAAGGCGCTTTTGAGGGACCGCTAGTGGGGCTAGACTCGGGATTACGCTTTGTTGTCGTCCTCATTGAGATCGAAGCACGGCCTTCACGTTCTGTCCCGCCGCCTGCCACTGAAGTCGAGGTCGCTGGAGCTAGCAATCTCACGTCTGATGGAGGCAGTATGATGCCACGTCTTTGATGTTGCAATGAAGTGGTCAAGCTGTTTCCTGTACTAGAAGCGGGCTGCAGATTTGTCGCGAGTCCCCCCCCAAGGGCTCCCCGAGTTTTAAGACTGCTGTTGCAGGAAGATGAGGGCCCATTGTTGTCCTGGTGATCTCGTTGGCACATCCTGGCAAATTGCGCCCGAATCACGTCCAACTTGCGCGCGCGTCCAGTAGAGGTGTCGGAGATTTGAGCCGACGTGCTCTTGGACTCATTCGACATCAGAGTGCTAGGCCCAGCCGAACGAGGCGAACGGGAATTCACACCTGGAGGCGTGCTCTCCATCGCGATTTCCTGTTGTGACATTCCTGGAGACCGCGTTAACTGTCCGACATCAACATGCCTCTCCTGCTGCAAAGGCACGAACAAACTGGGCGAGGCCGTGTAGTTGTGTTTCTGCTCGCGATTGTGCTCATTAGCACTCTTACACCTTCGCTGGTGTTCTTGATGCTTGGTCGACGAACCTTCCTCCAACTTCTTGGTCGATGTAGATGTCCCTATACGGTCCCCTTGAACACGAATGCGCTCACCTGCGGAAGAAGCCAGCACCAAATTCTTAGAAAGCGAAGACGATACGGAACGCTTGCCGCCTGGTAACAGCGAAATGCTATGTCGTTTCATCACAGCGTCAGCGTTTGCTCCCTCACCGTCTACGGGACGACCCTTCAACGCCGCTCTCGCATTCACTTTCTTCACATTATCAGCAGCGGCCTGTGCAGGTTCTTTTTCGTCTTTGACCTGCTGCACTTCAGCCAAATTAGCTACAGCAGAGGAGCTACTTGGCGCAAGTTGAGTTTTCTTCTTCGCCGACACTGAGCAGGACGCTGATGCTGATGCCCTGCTAGTGCTCGCTCCCGTGCCTTGTCCACGATCGAGTACCTTTTCCACAACATCACGATCCGCCGGCCATTGCAGGACCTTGCCCAGACCGAGCTGCCGCCTGAAATACTCCATGTGCTGTCGCTCTGCACTGGCGCGGAAGAGGACGCTCATCGCGCAGCCGTGGTTACCGAACCGCGCGCAGCGACCGGCCCGATGCAGATACGTTTCCTTGTCCGGTGGCAGGTCCAGGTTGATGACTAGGTTGACACTAGCGAGATCGACCCCACGTGCCCACAGATCTGTAGCAACACACACACGGTACTGCAACGTCTTCAATCCGAGCAAAGCCTGACGGCGAACGCTTTGCGACTCCTTGCCACTGGTGGCCACCGCAGGAATTCCCGCACTAGTGAGCAACCCCGCGATCTGGGCCGCTTTCTCGGTATCGTTCAAGAAGACGATGGCTTGATTGTAGTTCAGCAGCGTGAGAATGCGCAAGAGGGGAGAAAACTTCACGCGTACATGAGCTGGTGGAGCATTAGCTCCAGCTCCACCACCCGACGAATCCGCAAACTCCTCAGCTACATCAGCCAACCGTTCGTCGGCCATCATCGTGCTGTCGAGGTCGCAAATGAGCCCCTTCGCCTCCTCTGAGGAATGCCCGCGCGACTTGAGATTACTCAGCCCTAGCGCTTGCAATGCCTGTTGATGCGCACTATGGCGTGGTTGATCTTTCGAAGAACTGTAGTTCTTCGACGTCTTTCCCACGCTTTCATGATGAGCCTCGTTCCCTTCAGGAATAGTGCTCTTATCCCGATTCATCGGTTGGATGATCATCTCGCCTTCGTTTGTGATAAAGCAGACGACATGCTTTACTCCACGCAACACGGGAGACTCCTGAAGGAGTGGCAGGTCTGGCGTGTGAGGTGTTCCTACCAGCTTGCGATCCCCACTTACCGTTGAAAGCCGCAATGCCTCTGGCCCATTGCTCCGAGACGAACCCGCGGCAGTCCCATTGCTGTTGTGGGATCAAGTAGAAAATGTCAAAAATTAAACTCAATACTAGAGGAAGAATCAATGTTATCGTGTTAACTATCATGTACTTGGTTTTTTCTGAAGATGATGTTGCCAATAGTGTAAGTAAGTAGCTAGTTTCAGCTCATTCCGAAGCCACCTAAAAATGAGTAGTACCTGTTCGGTCCGAAAGCCACTTGTGCGAGGATTTGCTCACGAGAGGATGGGTCTCCTGAGTCCCAAACTGTCGCGCCGGGTAGCGTTACGCCGGTTCTTTCTTGCGCGCTTGGACCAACGACTGGTGTGTTATCTTGGTTCGTCGTCACGGTCCCACCCAGAGGACGCGTCGTGCTCTGCGGTGGTCCGCCTCTTGCTCCGAGCAACGGATGAGCTGCAAGGTAATCGCCTCCCGCCGCCCCACACGCAGTTCTTGCGTGCTTCTTCGCTGTGGACGAGCACAAGAAAATACGTAATGGTTTTTCCGTCCGAATACCATCGCCGTGCAAGCTTGGCAGTAGTTCTTCAGCATTGGTAGCGAGGTTTCCCGGAAACGTTGCCGAGTAGGCCAGATAGACGGTTTGCTGGGTCACCCTGAGCAAGCGCACAATCTCGCGGGTTTGCCTGCCCAGACTGCCCTCCATCAGCTTGTCTGCCTCGTCTAAAACTAAGAAGCCCAGTGGCTCTTGCCATTCCAGATCCTCGACACCTGCGAGAGGCGAGCAGTCACCCTTTTTCAGTGCGGTCTGTGGTGTCCTTGAGCCTGCTCCTGAAGATGTCTTGCCATTGGATTTAGACTTGCTGCCACTTGAAGATGTAGTGCCCTTTTCACCTCTAGTAGCCTCATCAGGATTAGCAGAGGAGCGCTTGCTGGACTTTTCTGGCGTAGTGACGTTACCACTGCACCGGCCAGAGCTCGGCTGCAGGCTCAGCCTTAAGCTCGTTCCCGGCACAATAGTCTTGCCGCTGCTTGGTCGCGAAGACGTTTCACCCCTCGCGGCCACGATTTCCAGTCCTTGAGCAGGACTACTCCCTTGCCCTTCAGCCTTGACGCTCAGGGGCCGAAGCTGCTCGTGGGGACTCGCAGCGCGACTTCTTCGTCCTGGTAGATTTGATGGCCCAATCAGAGGGCTTTCTGAGTCACGGTGTCCGGCAACGAGGGACCCCGAAACCGAAGTGTTGTTAGGAACCGAGCCGATGCCTACTCGCGACGCAGAAGTCGAACGGTATGTAGAGCCTTGGTCGATGTAACCACTCGAGGTCGCTCCGGTCGTGATGCTTCGCGTGTGCCGCGAGTCATTCTCTATGGTTTGGCCTGTGGAGGAACTCATTGCTTCGGTACCTTTGCTTATCTGTTCCTCCGTTGAGTTAGGTTCGTGACTAGAGTGCTCGTCCCCGTCTTCTTCGTCCTCTGATCCAGACATAGCACTGTGCTCGTGGTCTCTGCTGTCCTTACTGTTCTCTCCCCCACCGACAGCATGATTGTCGTTTTTTCGACCACTTTGCCTTTTTCTCTTGTCGACTGGTGCTGGGAAGAGGCACCTATTCCGCAACAAAATGCCCAGTCTTCCTGGAGTGCCAACGGCGATATCGACTGTTCGTGCACGCTGTTCATCCTCTTCTTGATCGTAGGTGCCACCCACAAAGCAACAAATGCGGGGCCTGGGTTGGAGATACCAGGAAAGCCGCCAGAGCTCATCCTCCGTCTGAAGAGCAATCTCGCGAGTTGGCGCCACAATTAAGGCAGTGCCACGCCCTGCAGCTCCTCGTGCAGTGGAAGTGGAACTCAGTAGAGACAAACTTTTCTTGTCGCTCTTGGCGTTACTTGTAGAAGTACTTGCTGTTGCTCCGGCAGCAGCACAGCCAGCACCAAGAGTGTTAGAAACCGAGACGACTTGCGTGTTGCTACTTGCTCTCCTCGCTGCAGGATTCCAGTTTTGCAAGATGAGGAGCGCGAAACTAATGGTTTTCCCAGTACCGGACTTTGATTGGACCAGCATGTCAGGAAGCGAGGCATCGCGCCTTGCTGCGCTCGTCAGGGATGCGAGTTGTACGGGGCTCGGATGCCGGATGTCCAGCTCGTTGAGCGCTCGACAAAGTTCGCGCTTCAAAAGTAGGTTATCCCACGTAACCGTCGATGTTATGCCGGTTACAACATCTTCCGTGCGATCCACATACTTACTGTAAACTTCCTCCATCATGGCACTTCCATTACCTACTGCATCTTGGTCGTGGTCGACGACGGCCTTAGCGTTATGCTTGGGGTCCTCCTCAGGTGAAGATGACAGCAATACCAATGTGCGCGAAGTAGATACCCTTGGGGTCCTAGAAGCATCAGCACCCACTTTCGTCTTTTCTGCTGCTGCTTCATTAGCCTCATGCTCAACGCGGTCGACAGAAGAACTTTGCTGTATATCTCTCCTTATGTTTCCGGGCAGGCCACCCGCTGGCAGTTGTGGCCCCACCAACACCGACGAGGGCGTAAGAGGATCTGCTTCCGGCTCATCATCCTGCAATACCTTTGGACCCGATGATGCTGCGTCTGGAGTTGCCTGCATTTTGATGTTTTGTTCTTCAGAAACTACAACACAGGAAGACACTGCCAATTAAGAAAACGACAGGAAGCAATATTTCCAATAAAGTCTATATTTCCAAAAAAAAGTCGCTCAGTAAGGCTAAGCAATCATAGACCAATCGAATACGTTAATCTTGCACCGGGTTGGTAATGACACGTCATTTCAAAGTCCACTTTTACAACGTTTAGGCATACCGCAAAAGAGAAACGAAAACATATGAGTAACCCGCCTGAGAAATTTTTGAAACAAAGGATGAATTCAGCATGTTGTTGTTTTTCAGTCGAACAATTTAACCGAAAAAAGTCCAAGATTTTCTTTTCTTCTGTAGTTGTAACATATTTCTTAGATCCTAGTTATCGTGTATCGATCATTTACTGCACCACGTGCGAATCTTCTTGGTGTAGTAGGATCTGCAGATGATCGGATCAGTATCTTCATATTAATTCGAGAGCTCAAAATTTCTCGTGGTGAGAGTCCTTACATCTTCATTTGTTTCTGCCATTTTGATTGTTTCATTCTTTCCACAAAGTTGTCGACGACGCTGAGAAGAGGATCAGGTGGATGAAGCTTTCACTTGTATTACTTAGGATCCATCAAGTAGATCAGGATTTTCTGCTTGGTGATCTAACAACGGTAAATCCTTTCGGATTTGCGATCTATCTTCATGTTGATGTTCTTGCGGAGTGGCCGCTTGTTGTAGTCATATGCGCACTTCTTTGCCTTGTATGCTCCTACCTACTTGAGTAATAGTTTATTTTCGAGTAGAACATCACACCGCGCATGAGAAAAAAGAAAATATGATCAGTCACATCAAAATAAACCTGGCTGTCGCTGTGGCTCGATCACGATCTCGAACGATCTTTCTAGAAACAGGTACTCGAGAAACAGTGATAACGGTGTCGCCACAATTACCAGTCTCAAACTGGATGAGCATCAGAGGGCTCAGCTAGGATCGCGTGAGGTAACTTTGATTTCATTTACAAGCCGACGTTTGTACGTTGTATCGTGGCCATATCTTTAAGAACAATGAACAATTGAATGTATCTCTTTGTTTCTGTAGTGAGTGTGAAGAGCTTTATGATCTATGGTGCCCGTTCAAACAAAAAATATTTTGGTAAGGACTCCATCATTATTGACTTTGCAAAGAAACTGTCCGTGAAGATACTAATTTCCAGCAAGAAGTCAAAACAGTCATACTAGACGAGAACTTCTAGTACATATGTGATATTTAGGAATGCTGCACGTGTGGATTCATATGGGCGCGATAGGAGCTCATCTGTACATCTAAGCATCTTGTTGTGAAGTGTTGAGGACTGGCCAGATGAAGAAGAAGACGAACATGCTCTTGTCGCAGTAACATCAACTACAGTTTTGGTCGATTTCTTGGGACCCGGTATGTTTGTGTTTTCATGATTGTTGGAACCACGTGCGTTTACCTTAAAAATGGCATTTTTCATTTTCATGTCGACACATTAAGTATCGTCGACGATGTTTGCCCATCTCTACGTTTGTACCAACGCATGTAACCTTAAACATACAGCAGAGAAACTTCATCTGCGATTTTAGTCCTCGTTCATCCCTGTCATTTTTTCGGGATCTAACTTGCCGCGTCGCCACTTCATATAGAACTCTTTCATGCCTTCGTCTGTGCATTCGTCTGCTTTGTATAAACCATAGTAAACGCCCATACTTAGAGGTGATAGAGCCCACGATTTTTCACCTCAGGATTTTTCTTCTTTCGATGATATTGATGACCGCCTCAGTTGGACTAGAAATTCTTAAAAGTCTGCCATGTAATCTTTCTTCGGGGGCCTCAAAAGTTTGATAAAAAGAAATACTTATCTGCGACAAGGACAATAAATGACGATAAGAGTAAATTCCCGTGAGCCTTAACTTTCGAATATCGATAATGCAAGCGGCTAAATGACCATCCGGGACACGACACAACTGGCGAATCTGCACAGCGGCACCCATCCGAGCAACACTACAATACACCGGCATGGCACCAATCAACGCATCGGGGGAGGAGCTATATGTGATTATAAATGAGTTTGTTTTTGTTATCCTGCTCACAGCGCAATAACTATGACTATAGTTCGTTGGTTGGACTTGGAGCGATTTCGAAAATCAAAGAAATAAGAACAAAAAGTTATAATTAAGGAGTAAAGTAGGAACAAGCGCAGAACTAACCTACTGATAGTGAGACTGAGACTGAGAGCACGCTGGAAGTGTAGCATTTGAATGGTTGTAAAAATAAAAAAATGACAATAATGCCTGCCAGTGGTTACGAGACGCGCCAACTCTCGATAGCTTACTAACGCAGGCCAAACTTGCCCGCAGCACTGCGCGGCGCGCCAGTTCGTTGCCTCAAACATAAGAAAACCTACGCACCCCCAACCCCAAGTCTATGCAGCACGGCCATGCATGAGCAACCGCGCCGGCTGACGCAGACAAATGACAGACGCGAGAACATGCTCCGCCCCTGCCCGCTACTTTGAGCCAACCCATCAAGCAACTTACCCCCACACGCGGCACATCATACGTACTCACTACGCCCCCGGAAGTAGAAAGGAGCTCGCAGCCTTCCTCCCAACCCCAAGCGAGGCAAGCCCGCGGGCCCGCTCCTGCGCCTGCCGACGCCAAGATCAAGAAAAGCAAGGCGCACACCAGACGCACCCCCAAGAAAGAAGCGGGCCGAAGCCTCAACTACAAAAAGCGAAACAGACAAAAACCACCAAATCGAGCAGCTTGATTGACTCCGTCAGCCTCCAAGCTCAGAAGCTTGGGAAAGTATTGACCCTCAAGCCTGAGGCTCGCCAGACTCCAAGCAACAAAGTAACTCAATGCAGAAAGCTAAGCATACGCAGCAAGGGGCGCCGGCTGCTAAGGATATGCACCACGCCCCTGCTTGTATAGATCAGCACGCGCAAGAAGTCGCACGCCTGCACGTCAATCTGCTCCCTTCTCCCCCCGCCCTGCGGCCTTCTTGTGTCCACTCCACGCCACCCCGCTTGGAAGTCCATCGGCCCACAGACTCGCAACCCACTAGGCGAGGGCCCGAGCTCTTGCACACGAGTCCACTTTGCCGAAGTCTTCAGAGGATGCAACCCCCACCCGAAGCGAGTAAGTGAATCAGCTGCCGAGGCTTTTGGGGGGATCGCTGTAGGGGACGCATCGCGCTGACGACACTCGCACCCTGCTCCTCCTGTGCGCTCGCGTACGGATGACACACGCAGACAGCCAGAGCGGAAAAACGAACGGAAACGCCGACACTTACACAGAACACAGCGGCGGGCCCCGCTCTCTGTCCCTCCTGGTTTCCTTCGTCTCTTTGCCAGCTCGTTCGGGGTTCTTGCGTAAATAATCGCGGACGCCTAAGGCGCACGGAGACCTCCCTGCAGCTCCATCAGGCGGTATCACCGCAGCAACCCGCGCTAGGCCAGACACAATGGTCACAGAGTGACTCCGGGCCACGGAGACGGAGTCGAAGGCCGCCTGGTATTAGTGATAGATAATCTAGCCTTTCATTGATAAAGCGAAGAGTACCCTTTGTTTTCTTCGTTTTTTCGTATGAAGTCACTGAGCGTTACAAGGTTCGCGGCAGCTGACTTTTTCTGGTTAGGATCCGCAACATCCTCCAGGAAGACACAGAAACAGGGTTCGAGGTTCACTTCCTGTCCAGGGGCTGCAAGGTTACGAACTGGTTGCGCCGCGTCCTGCGCTCGTCGAACAACCTGATGCAACATCACCCCGCGCTGTTCGGCCTCCTTGCGAGACGGAGCTTGTTTATACCTGAAAGTAATCTTTGTGGATACGGATTGATGCGAGCTTGTGTCAGATATTCTCCATCATCTCCCCTTGTGCTTGTACCATCTAACTTGAAGACGACGTGAGTAGTCTTAGCCGCCCAGAACAATTCTTTTTACAACAGCTTCTATGATGTACGTTCATTCTGGCCCGTCGCTGGTCAGTCATCAACTTTCTTCATTTATTTGAAGTTTGCAGTCAAAATTCTATGAGGAATTGCTCTCTACCTTGTATAGTCCGCATCGTGGGTGTAGCTGAGACATATTTGGTCCGGCTCTCCCGTTCCACGGCGCATGCGGTCTTCCCGAAATTTGCTCCCCGTCCGATACTTGGCATTGAGTGACCACAAGAGGAAATTTATTCGCTCCCCGCTATCGATATTATCGGCTCCATGCCGTTGCCTACCGAGATGCAGGACTGCGTGACCTTTCTGATGCGTATACACAAAGCCCTCCTTTCGATGCTGCGGATCGTCAATATTATGGCAGAACGAAAGTCTGATTAGTTGGTCGAACCATTGCAGGTAAACCGCGTGGCACGCGTTATCAATTGAGAACTTTCTGGAGTCAAATCTCATAACCTGAACCTGGTGCTGCGAAAGAAATCAAAGCTAAAAGCGCCTCCTCCTAAGCAGTTCAACAACCATCAAAAAAAGAAGTATACGTTGCGCCACTGAATTTTTTTCCCAAGCAGACGTTTAGGGTGACATCCGAATCGTCCTCATGCATATCCAAGCCGGTGTCCAGGTCGTCACTGTAGCGCACGCAGAAGCAATGATGGTCATCGAATTGCTCCGCCTCAATAGGGAATACGCTTTTGGCCAGAGGGTAGACGAAATTGGTCTGCAAGTAAGAGGCAAAGGGCTCTAGACCCAGCTGATTCAGGACAATTCCAAAGCGGTTCATCCCGTTGGGTCTGTCCAGGTAGCCATCGAGTGACCCCTCATCCCGATCATCCATATTCGCTAGTGCGGTCGCCTGAAGAGGTTCTTATGCCGTCGTCGTCGTGTAGGGATCGAAATACATTTTCATTTCGCAAAAAAAAGTCTATGATATAATAGAATACGACGTTGTACTTGTAGTACCAGAGGAGATTAGCAACACCTCAACCTCAATCTAACAGACGCAGGCCGCATTAACAGTTCTAGTACATGTTCTATCTCCGCCACGAGCTTGTCGCACAGCGCTTCTGAGAAACAGGGAAAGCTGTAGACTCCGGGCATATGTTGCTTTAGCAGCTTTTCGAAGTTCCCGCTTTCCACGGCTTCGGCAAACTTAGGATCCAACCACTCCTTTGGAAATAGCTCTGCGAAACCAGCAGTGTCGAAAAGCGGCTCATGGTGTCCCTTGTACACTTTCTGTTTGTACAAGTCACCGAAAAAAAATCGTCGGGTGCCCATTTCGTTCTCCTGCTGCTGTTCGTTACTCAAGAATTGTACTGTTGTGGTTCCTGATCGGAAGTAAATGCGGAGTTCGCAATGCAGAGGACGTGGACGTTGTCAAGGCAATCTTAGGCCGCCAGTTGTGTACAACTACTCGGTTGGAGACTATGCAAGAGGGGACGTCGAGTACGCACAATAACTCTTCATCAATTTTATCAAGATCATTGAGATACCCCTCTTTTCTACACTTGATCCAACATTATCTCACTTATGCAACCTGTACATAAAACAGATATATCGCTTCTATTTGGAGAACTGGAGAGTCAGCTTTTTTACTTCTTTATACTTAGGCATAAAGGTGGTACGTCGTGGAGTCCAGTATGCGAATCAGTGAAACAAATGAAAATCAAAATGTACTTCTCCACGATAAGATAGGGGAGAATATGGGCACGTGGTCTGTGAAAAAATCGATGCGGTACCAGTACCTGTAGCAGAGTTCTTGACGAACAGACTTACTTGCCGCCATACAGAACCAGAAGGAGAAGTAGCCGAAGCCGATGAGGCTCACTCTACTAAGTGCTCCTAGCAGAATACGACTACTGACACTAGTTAGCATAGAAATAGATTTTCATATGCGTCTTGTAAAACTAGGACTCTCGAACACCTTCGACCACCTTTGCTCGTGGAATACAGCTACGGATCAGCATGTTTCGCTCTACGTGATTTTTCCTTGAATTCTCCTTCACTTACTACTTCAGGTGGCACTAAAAAGCGCATCGTAACCCTATTTCTAGGTGAAGCATCGATCCTCGAGGTTCTCCTACTACTTGATGAAGGGGTTGTAGCTGATACTTCTTTTCCATGTTCATCTTGATCATCTCCTCGTTCCCGATGAACTCCTCGAGCACTTTCCCATTCTACTGTAGCCTCATTGTGACTGATCCCGAAGCAGCGTGCCATGCCATTGTCCGGATCTTCCTCGAACGTGAAGCCCCAGTAGTATTCAAGTTGTCCTGTCGGCGTAAGGCCTCCATTATTGCAGATGGTCATGGCGCATGCGTTGGCGAACACTTCGAAGGAGTGTGGTAATCCTTGAGTGCCAAGCTTTGCGCCTTCAGCATCCTCTTGCTCCCCTTGCTTCTCCTGCATTCTGCGCCCAAACAGGTTGGATGCGACCTCATTCGTGAAATCGACCAGGTGCACGCCTGGTGGTTTGGTCTCAGCAACAAGAACAACTCCTTGCTTCTCTGGCGTACTAGAAGAGGATGATGAAGCAGGCGCAGAGAAGGTGGCTTCGTTTCCTTCTCCTTCGCCACCACTTACCCCAGCACTGTCCAACCTGGGAGGAAGATTGATTTCTCCCATGTCCACCTCTTCCCAGTGGCACTTTCGCACCCAGCGTTCCCAGATGAAGGGGAGTCCTTGAACTCGCCGATGCGTGTTCGACAACCAGTTGTGCGCGCGGCACATGTTCGATAACGTCCTGGTTAGCTTCCGCCCATGCAAGGTGTAGAGAAGTGTCATGTGGTCAATGTTAACCTCCACTGGTTCTGAGGTTGGTACTGTAGACGATTCTCCTGATATTGAAGAAGAAGATTCTAGTACGCCTTTTTGTTCTTGTACCTTTCTAGCCTCTGCTTCTGCAGCCGCTGCCTGCGCTGCAAGATCCTGATGCACCTCAGCCATAGAAACGTCCATCATGTGTGAAGCATATTGCACATGCGGGATTGACGACAGTGTCCCAAAGCTCAAGCTAGGGAGCACTTGATACTCGCAACCCTCACAATTGATGTGCAGGATCTCGTAGCGCTTTTTAGGAGGGCCCAAGCGCGCAACCGACCGAAACATCTCATCGACCGACTTTATCAAAATCTGGAGTGGATGTAGGATTTTGGGAGAGTTGGTGTTGGTGGCAACGCAGCTTCTAGTTCTACGTCGCAACTAGAGCTTACAGAACTCATCAGTCACAGTCTGTGTCTGTTCAGAACTGAAAATACACAATGAATGCAAGACTACAAGAAAGGTTAAATAAACTAAGTAGTTAGTACGCTTTCCATCTTATCAAATTCGTGACCGTGCGCCTGCATCCATCCAGCGTTATCGGTAGTGCTGCCATCGGCGCCCAGAGCAAGTTGCAGTACTTCGGTTTTCGCACCCACTCCGTAATTGTGGAAGAACAGCCTTCGCTCTTATTAGAGATAGCGTCCAGTGGAAAAAAATAATCAAGAAAGGCCAGGCTCTGCTCGAACTCGATCTTCATCAGAAAAAACTGATATCAAGTCTAGCTTTAGTCACTTTACCGTCATAATTCTGTTGGTCATGCTCCTCTTTGAAGTTTTCTGGTTTCATCTCTCCTGTGGAGTCGACTCCTTTGTCCTTCGCAACATGCGTCACGAGGTCTTGAAAGAAGTCGTTCGATGGTTCAAAAAAATGAACTTCCAATTCGGGATGTTGAGCAGCGAAGTGCATGCCGTCTGTTCCATTCCGAAAAGCGCCGATATAAAGCATGACAGTTGACGTTTTCGGTGATGTTGAAGACTCTTCATCTGATGAAATTCCATTGTCTGAAGACACAACTTCTTCTTCGACGGTACTTGTAGTAGTAGTTGTGCCAGCACTGCGGACAGCAAAGGTTTGATCGCTTTCCTTCTTATCGAACCTTAGTGGCGGGTCCCAAGGTTCCATCAAACGAAACTGAGAGAGGTGCTCGAAACTCAAACGTCGGAAGAATTTGCGGTCAGGCGTTGCCATTTGGGCCCAGTAGGGACAGTCCTCACTCCCATACTCGTATCCCGGTAAGGCGTTGCGATGATAGGCGCGTAAGAGATGCGGTCGACAGAAGGAATACGAAGGAGGATGGTTGGGAAGCTCTGGTAATGGAGTTGATGTGGCTGACTTGCTCCCAATCTCCACATGTGGATCCTTAGCCGGTGATAGAGCGGCGAAATAAGCTTTGAATTCTGCGTCATGTGCCTCATCGTCGTTGTCTGCCTGTCCGCCACTGCCGATCACGAGATACGGCATCTGCTCTGCGCAGAATTTCTCCTCTTCAGTGACATGGTCGTGGGCACGCGGGACATAATCGCCGGCTACTGCTCTACGCACCGTCGTCGCAGCAAGCAACCAGAGACCAACATGAAAATGCATCTCCCGGTGCCTCCGTTGACCCAGCGACATGGTCACTATGCGGACGTGCTGCAAGCCTCACCTAGGACCACCGGAACTCACGTTGGCTAGCATGCTTTCGGTGACCACCGCCTGTGCTGCACTCTGTGCCTTCATTATGTTTTTTTTTTTCGCTGCTACTTCTAGAAGAGAAGCAGCGACCCTAAGGATGTCAAAGTCAATCAACCAAAACAAAGCATTAGAATTCACCATGATCTGAATCCGCTACAAATTTCTACGGTTAAAAACTAAAAAGTCCTCTCTCGTCTAATACGCTTGAAAATAATCTTCAATTATAGCCTTTCTCGTCGCTCCAGCACACTCATTTCAGGCACATCGCTGCTCCCACCGATTTTTATATCAGCACTCGAAAGCATGCACACGGGAATGCGTATTCAGCTCGAACATGAGATGCTGCTCGTGTAGGAATTCGAGCCAGGAGCTGCTCCTTTTTTTTTCTTCAAATTCAATCTATTACTATTTCTTTCATCTTTCCCAAACTAAATAACTACAGGTCTGCTGTGTAATCTCAGTTTTTTAGTTCATCATTTTTTGTAGCTATAATCTCGAACAGGTTAGTTTTGCTATATGCTTTCAAGAAACCCAATCAAGAAGAGTACAGAATCCGTGTGAATGTTAATTTCTACGGTCTTGATCGGTCGTTGATATCTCTGAAGTTTATTCTGTCGATTAGATTCTACAACTTGTCGGCGTCGGTTTTGTCAAGAAATACGTAGTATACTGAACTCCTGATCAATCAACTTAGACTCGGTGTAACACTGGAAGAGAATACTAGCCCATAATGTTTCTGCGTTCTTGCCTCGTGGTCCATCCCTTCTCTATAGTTGTACATGATGTCAAGACATCCGGTCGCTGAGAAATGACGCGCTTGAGTGTCTCCCAGAGTGCTAGCCCCAGCCCTTATTGAATGATAGAGGTCCTTTTTTTTCCACGTTCTCTTTGTAGTATTTGCCAGTTTTAAGTGATGTTGAAGTTGATCATATTGTAAATTGTTGGACTTTTTAAATAAATACGAGTTTTGATGTTGTTCTTCTAGGCTTTGTTATTAAGTTTTTATAAATTCATACACTTTCTACTGTCTGTTTACATTTACAATTCATGTTGTCATAATTGTGAACTCCATATGTAATCATTTTCATCAGTTCTTGTACCTCCTCTTCATAATTTACTCCAATTTTCTAATCCTGAGTTTACCATTTCCTCTAACCTCAGCTTCTACGGATACCGCTTACGGATTGGCGCCGATCGTTTTGGCGATCTTTCGGAGGCAGCGAATACGAACAAGGTTGATGAAGCTCAAAATTTCGTTGTAGTCGACGACTTCACACGAAAGGCGGAAGAGCAACACCAATGCTCGCGCAATGCCCTCCGGCATGGTGTACGGGTGCTGCATGAGCCTGGTTTCGAGCGTGTTGGATTGATGAGTGAGAGGAGATGAGTAGGCTTGATCACTGTACTATCGAGACTAGACCTAGTCCTATTATATGAAGATATCATAAAATAACTTTCGACTTTTATCTTCTACTTCATCTACTGCCTACACCACAAGTCCAAGTACAGGTAATACATGCCCATGCTGAGGGAGAAGATAGCGGGCCCGAAGACGGCCAAGAGCTGATCGTTGCTGTACTCTCTATCAAAGAGCTTCGTGCCGAGACCCTGTTCTAGCAAGTAGCCACCCATAACCGCGAGAAAACCCAACAGCAAGGGTGCAGTCTTGCTATCCGGGTATGCGACAACACCTAGTTTTGCTTGATGATCGGGAAGACGAAGAGGTGAACTGGTGATCCACAGTGGTTGTCTTTGTTTGTGGTAAAAACATCTACTTGTTTCTGCTGGTCATCAAATTTTGAAGAGAGCATAGAAAACTTTATCTTGAATTTTTTTCTGATAAGGCCATTTTTACCTTGAATAACTCCACTGGTGCATGCGTTGCAGAAGAACATGCAGTATGCGATTCTCTTTGGGGTCTTGAGTGCGCGTGCGAGCTTTTCTGGGATGAATTTTCCGAGGAGAACGAAGATTACGACGACAGCAGCATACAACGCAGCATATCTATCGAGGTCCTTCAGCAGCACCGATGGAAAGGTACCCAAAATAAGTGGCAGGATCACGTGCACACCTGGAAATTTCATTATTGTGTGATGAGGTCGTACGTAGAAGTAGAGTTAGAGATAGCTAAGAACATAATACTTGAGGACTACTCAGTTTTCGTTTTGTATTTGTTGGAATTTCTACCTACTCGAAATTGAGTTCACACGCACAACTGCTCCAAAATTCTTTTACTTCTACAACAATGTTGTCCAAAACAAACGTAGAATTATTACCTCCAAAAGCTCGGACTAGGACCTTGAGGCAATCGATTACTCTTGTGCCAATGGGACCGGTGGTTGCGCCTCCGAGATCATCGACAACCTGCATTTCGTAGTGAGATGCATTCCTGTCCTCCGAGTTCTTATGCCAATCAATTCATTGCTCTTCTGGTTATCAAGGACCATGGGATCATCGTCATCTACGCCTAAGTAGGTAAACGGACAAAATTAACAGTCAGCCATAATTAACGAGAAAAGAAGATCTCACTCATTCTTATTCCAAAAATTCGACTTGATATAAGCAAATCGAAAAAATCAAAATACCTGCGCTAGGAAGAGGAAGGTCGTAATTTCCCATGCGTACGGTAGCGTGCTCATCCCAGCGGCCACCTCGACCATGGGATTTGATGCCAGAGATTCCAACATTTTTTGTCTCCAAATCAACGAACTCTATGAAGAAGAAGTTGCTTTAGCCGAAATATTGGGTCGGTGGATATGACTTCTATGAGTGAGGTTCTCACAAGAACGAACAACTCGCTATTTTTGTTTGTTGGTTGGAGATGGAGGACGCGTGTGTTGAAGTAGTAGAAGATCGACATCGACGTACTTATTTTCGTAAATGAGCACCGGCAGTTTTTAGTTGTGTACTTGGCTTTTACAGCACTCCGAAGCCGAAAATGGCGTGGTTCCAATGTAAAATCCTAATTTTTTCACAACGAAATCGAATTGGAATTACTCGTCGTGCACGATCTCACTCTAGTATGCGGCGCAACAACTCGTTGTCCTCGTTCTCGTATTTATTACCACGCAAAGTCACCTTCAGATTCTTTTGCCCAATTTACCGATCGTCCCGTGGCCGCTGGGAAGGACCCCCCCCCAAAAAAAAGGACACTCGTCCTCGTCAAGATCATCATCATCCTCGAGGAGAATGGGGATTATGAGAGGAGGTAGATGGGAGTGAGTATGCGATTGGTCTCAGTTTCCAAGCTCGACCACGACGGTCACTTGGGCTCTCGATTGCTGGATTGATTCAACGACTTCACTCTGCTCTCTGTGACGACAGTCTCACTCAAAGCTAAGTAGGAGACCGACACGACTTCAGGTTGTGGGCAAGCTAGGCTACAACTGGATAAATGAAAGAAGAAGGACAACTTCCCTGAAACTAATGAGCGGAGGGCAATGGTTTGTAGTCAACACGAGAGGATGAAGTGCCTGGATTCATAGAGAAGCGAAGCCTGGTCCTCACGTCGTGCTTCTTCAGGTGGATTTGTAATCTATTCATTATCGACATTGTTGAATACAACTACAATCCTGGTTTGTTCACATATCGATGCCTGAGACTCCTCAAGCACGTTCCTACACACTATGCAATCCTCTTGCATTGCTCTATGATCTTCTACAACGGAGAACTCCTAGTGCTACCAAAGTATTTCTTTCACTCAACTAAGCTATGGATCATACCAACAACTACATGTTCCTCTTCTTTGTAATTCTATTTGGGTAAAACTAAAAATCTCCATGTTGAATAAATTAATAGCCCCATCCAATGCTGCGAAAACGAGTCGTGGAAGCAAGCAGAAGCACACTTTTCACTATGAAATTCATGAACATGACGTTATTATGATATCTTGTTCCAATGATTTGATATACGACAGGTCTAATATGAGATCGATTATCTCGATAAGTGCGAATAGGAACTGCGATCGTCATGAGCACCACGCTCCTACATCTATGACACGTGCTACTTCATGTTGCTTCGTTCTTCGTTCTAGCATGTACTTATATCATCCGCAGAGTCAGATCTTAAACTTGATCTTCATCGAAGATCTATTAAAAATAACAAAATAGCTATACAAATTCAAGAATATGATCGAGGAAAAGCACCAGCTTTCTTCCAATACAACCTTCTCATATGATTCTCTATATCGAAATAGATTCGCGACTGCTCAGATTTCGCGCAATATTAAATTATTCTTGATCATTGCGATGTAATATTTACATGTACGTATGATTATTCAACCGTCGCAAATCTTAGTGAATACTGCTGATGTGAAGACATCGGTCCTTGTCCGCTCCTTGTATACATCGCAATGTGTGGAGCCTGGGTCTAGCTACGTTGTACCTGCACCGCTCCACATTTGTTTGCAAGCGAGGTTCGAGCAGCTTCTTCTGCTTATACATAGCTAGTATGGCATTGTAATATGGTAACCAGATTCTTATCGAAGTCGAGAAATGATACTGAACTAATAAAAGTTCTTCGCTTGTGCTTGAAATGAAATAATAATGAAGATTGAAGAAGATAATCAAAATGCACAAAGAAAATATAAGAAAGAGAAGATCGAAATGATGTAGTTCGTCGTGTGTTGTTTTCTCGACACTAGATTTGGAAGTCGTGAAAAACGTGAAGATTCTTGCCCGAAAAGTAAGGAAAAAAGTAGTAAGTCTTTCCAAAAAAGATGGTAAATCAACCGGCATGTGGATACGCTACGGCCACGGCGAAGTCGTAAAAATAGATGAATTCCGTTCATGATTGATGTAACAAGTACTGTTGTGGTTGTCCATGTCCTCGTGTCGACGTCCCGATAGAATACGATCATCAAATCTACTACACACGACTTGGATCGGTCCCATCAGTGAGCGCTGAGGGCCTCGGCTGCGAAGATCGCCGTTTGACCTGCAATTTGTCTCGCAGACTGGTCAAAACCATCTCCACACGACCGACCGTGTCGCCAAGCTTTCTCAGATCGCGGCGCATATCGTCGACCTCCGATGGTCCTCCCACGCAACTATCGAAGGAATCGAGCTAAGAGGATGAGGATGTTGGACAAAGGTGGATTCAATGTTGGAATTTTTGATTTTGACGAAAAAACAAGAAGGAACTATCTTATAAATATATTAGTTTTTTTATGCGAAGGAACAAACGATGATCATGATACAACATACCTCTGAGGATAGATCATTCATGATGGTAGACAGGAACAAAAAGATGCCTGAAATTCAATTTCAACAAAACCGAAATAACCTTACTTTTACTACCGTTGTTCTTAGCGCATTCGGCGCACTGTAGCTTCCCGCCATAGGTGTTCCACCATTCGCGAGCTCTTCCTTTACTGCAGTGCTTACTGCTGATCGAATCGCTCCTTCGACGTGTTCAATACTATACTGGGCCACGCTTCCGTCCACGTTACTAAAAGTCTTTGACTCCTTTAGAGGTTACGAAATTACATTCCTCAGATGAACATCCCTGACTTCTTTTCTACTGAAAAAAGAGCCAGGGACGCTAGAGAAGGATGTAACGCGGGAAACCCTTAACTTCTTCACAAAATTATTGGATCCGCCTTTGCCGCCTTCCTCTCTTGTGGCTTGTGCCTCTCGCTCTCGCCTGTTCATTGGTGGTGACATAAGTGTGAGTTGAGTCTGAGAAAGGATGGATGCTATTAATGCAAACCGAAATTTTTTAGGATTAGGAAAGGTGGATAAAGACATTATGACTCATCACCAATGACATTTTTGATTCGCGTTAGTTCATACTAACATGTTTGACATCCTCAAACAACAATATTTTCTTAAGCAGATCAATTATATATTTATAGTACGCAGCAGCTTTTGCGGCCTTGCTAGCTTTCATCGGTGGGGGCGCGTCAAAGACATCGCATCCGAGACTGTCGCAGAGCTTTGCTAGATTTCGTTTTACAACTAAGAGATCCTGAGCTGCTGGTGGATGCAACAGCCTGAAGACCATATGGATAAACTCCTGCATCTCAAGGGTTCCCGATCGATCGTCGTCAATCAGCTCGAACGCCAGGCGGATCGTGCTGTGATCCAAGCCCAGTTTCTCGAGCAGTTGCTGTTTTGTGTTTTCTTTCGGTGGAAGGAAATTGATGGTCAAGATCATCCTGGATGCCATTGAAGTTGAACGCATGCAGTAAACAATCACTACAGGAGTTGTTCGATGAAAAGCGATCCTCTGATTCCAATCCATTTTCAATATAAATGGCAGTGAGAGCTGCATGCTCATTTACAAAAAGAAATAGATACCGTTTTCGCTTCAAATTCGTCTCTACTAATAGTTCCACTTTCATCCGCGTCCATCTGGGCAAAGAGGTCTTCGACCTTTGACATCAAAAGCTTTTCTTCCTCCTCAGCTTTTGTGGTGCTCACGATCTCACAAATGACACCGATAAGCATATTCAGAACGGTGAAAGCACCTAGAAGTCGTGAGAAGTGATGATTTAGATTGTGAGTCGTGAGGCGTGCGAAGTGGCTTATTCGTGATGATTTTGAAGATTTAGATTGTAGTTGTTATTGAATTTTACGTCGACGAAGAAGTAGGATAACTCCTGTGGGCTAGAGTAGGGTCATTGATCATAGACGACAATTCTCTCTATGCGATTTGCAACTCTGCAGTACTGATGTACAGCAAAAGCTTTGTGAGTTACGCTAGCCAAATCAAACCGATACGTACCAACTAGGATGAAGAGAATCAGCAGCAGCCCCATCAATGGATTTGCGATATAGGTTTTTCGAATGAGCGCAAAAGTGTCGTCGTACACCTTTTTATGGATGATATGATGTTAATAATTCTTGTGTATTTTCATCGGACCTTCCGAGTCACGATGTTGTTCGTTCCACATATAATCTAGTAGGAGTTAGCTTCAACTTCAAAAATTAGATACTAAGTGGTATCTGTAACACCATCGACATCGTGTGCATCTGCATCCTATTATAATCGGTAAATAGCTTTTTGCCGCAGCGATACCGAATCAAAGACAAAGCAAATCATAATGTATAAGCAGTAGTACTAAAATCTGCATCAACGACATGAAACTCCAGCCTAAACTTCCGAAATAATTGACGCCATCACAGTCGTCTGGATCAAGATCTGGATCGCACTTTCCATTAAAGTGTTCTTTATTCTTACCCCACTGAGTGAAAAGAACCGCGAAAACGTACATGAGACCGACCGCGAGAACCATTGTTGACGACACTGACCTGGTCGTCATAGTGGGGTCGTATAATGATGTTTGAGTTTTTTGGTATACAATTCTGAGTAGCTCGTGGAAAAATGGGACTGGGTAGTTGATTTGACTATATGAGTGACAGTACTAATATGATCATACATTGATTTAGATTTGAGAAGTCTCCTGCATTATAGTGCTAGTAAAATTAGCTTCAAAACGATTCCTCTAGTGAGATTGTGATTATTTACCTAGCAGCAGCCGCCATAGACTTGACCATCATCCCCAACTCCGGAACCATGCGAAAAATACGAGAGATTCGGAGAAGCCTTAACAAACGGAGGGCAGACAGGGAACTCATCGCGCCGTCCTCGTCTTCTAGCGCCCACGAGAGAATCCAGTTCTCAATCACCATCAACAGGACCTGACAGCAGGCGCAGGGGAGCCGTGATGTAGTTGTAGTTAGAGCGATTGGGGATTCATCTGGCTCCCTTTTTTCACTTGTCTTTTTCTTTCAGATGACTTTGGACGAGATGAATTCCCTACACCCATAATGTAGAATTCAATCGGATTTAGAACACTTGATAATGATATTATCAGATAAAAATGATTGATCGCAAGAAATCATTGTGAACCTTCATCCATCACAATCTAACTTGACCGTGTTTGTCGTCTAAGTACAAACTAAGGAAGGGCGGCCATCTGTGTAACTGATACCGAAAGCACACAGAAGCACCGCTCATCAAAGTAGTATACTTACACTTACACTGTCTATAAGACGAGAGTACCAGAACCATGTCGAAGATGTTCCAAAACCGCAGCTCTTTGTCGGTGCAAAAAAAAAGAGGCTTCTTGTAGGAGAGCAGACGGATAACGATTTCTGCGGTAAAAAGTACGCAGAATATGTTCTCGACAGCGATGAAAACGTCTTTATTGCTGTCGTCCCCTGAGTTCAAGTCGACCTCTACACCTATCCACAGAGCGTTCAACACGATCACAAAAAGTGCCGTATTCTCGAACCACTGCGCCATAGCAATATCTGTTAAGAGTGAAGTTGTAATTTGAATCAGGATCATGCGAGGTGGAGATTTGGATGTATGAAAAGGCGAAGAAAAAGAAAAAGAAGGTCCGTCAGTGACAAATTGATTCAGGACTTGACCTTGAGCATTGAAAGGCAAAGGCAAAGGAGGTCGTGAAAGAACGCATCGATTTCAATTATTCAAGTCTACCTAGCGCTAGCATTAAGAACTTGAATGATGAAATACCAGTGAAGCAGTTATCTCTCCTCAATTCGTAGAATGCAGGATTTTTCTTTCCTCGCCTGGTGATTGTTGATGCCTGCGAGACCGGAGGGCGAGGCCTCCGCTCGTTCTCAGCGGATGAAAGACTAGTATCCTCGACTGCTCCCGGGGGCGCCCCACCACTTGGTGGGTTGCCGTAGTTATTCGCGGCTTCTCCCATAGTTCCCGATTGAAAGTGATGCTGATCTCGACCTGCAGGATAGATTTAGAGCTTGACCTTATAAAATCTTCAACAATATCATGCTAACATCTTTGTTCAGGACAAACACTACAGCCGATTCATCTTCAGGAACAAGCGCTTCGGTGTCGACTTCACAACTCACATCACGCATAGGCATAGCAGACTCAACTGACTCTGACTGAGAGTTATACAACGAGTTAGTACTCTATATTGATTCCATGTAAAATAACTCATTGATTCCTGTTTTGCATGATGACGATCGATCAAACAATCCACTAGAAAAAAGAGCTTCTTAAGTAGAACTAATCCCGTTGAGTGTATGCCTTAATCAGAATTGAACTGCTGCTGCTGGTTAATCATCTTCTGATCGTAGTATGGATCTCCCATGGAGTGTATCCCTTCCCTTTCCTTCGACCTTGATCTTCTTGATGCAGTCGCGGCGGCCACAGTCGCACCCCCAACCGCAGCTGCAAACATGATCGCCCCTGTCCTTGCTTTCTCCTTGCGTCAAGAACAGGTCGTGATGTCCAGCTTGAGTGCTGCTTTTGTTGTTATTCTGCTCTATCAAAACTGCAACTATAAGAGACAAGAATTAACATCAAGATCTACGAGGGAGACGAAATAAACGAATCACACACGACACACTGACCTATCAAGTTCAAACCAAGAGGGAAAGATAGCACATTGTTCACAAGCACAAATAGAAGCAGTATGATTCGCTTCTGAAAATTGCGTAATTATATAATTAAAAGTAGGAAGTACAAGTAGACAAATAAATATTTATAATCAGCATTTCACTAGCGCATCTTGATACGGAATAATCTTCGTGAGATCTTATGGATTGAGTAGTACCAGAAGTACGAATAATATGGGAACTACAAACCGCAATAGTTGGCGCAGCTCGAAGAGGGGGGGGCGCTACATGATGAGGTGAGACAATTACGGTTAGGAGGACGAGAGCTATTTGTTCGGGAATAAATCACAGACAGGTCTTCACAGCCGAAGTGGACCAATTATTCAATAGGTTTTCTAAAACAGATAAACCCACCGAGACCGATAGATTTGTCACAGACGCAGCCACTGAAAGGAGGAGCCTAACCTTGGGTCGTCGGGGATTGACAAGATACCGAGACTAGATGACGCTTTCATCTCTACTAAATATTGACACGCCTGGAAAATAATGATTTTTGCCAAAGGAACAAATCTACAAGGAAGTACACAAAAGAGCAAAAACAAATCTTAGTATATCATCAAGTCGTCCTGCTTGGGTTACAACTTTTTCGTTGCACATGCTTCTTGACATTTGCTTACGAATACGATTAGATGAAAATGAAAAGTATGCAAGTTAAGAATTGGAGACGATCACGTTCACGATTTTCTATGTAGTAGAATGGAAAGAGAAAAGATGGTGAAACTACATTGGAGGGAAAATAGGCACGCGGGTCAATTGGGGCCATAGGTATCCTCCGGTACGGTTCTGTAGATTGGACAGAAAATGACAGATGAGGTCATCACTGGCTCGTACCTTCTTCACGTTTAACTTCATTGGGGGATTCAGTGCGACTACGACCGATACCGATTATGCCGTGACCTGACCATACAACTACCGTCAATGTAGAACAGACTTCTCATCTCGTTGTTGGGATCTTTGTCCTCATCATCTTGGAATATTCTTATTACCCGCCTGTATACCTCATGCTCATCCTCATCATGTCGGAACACAGTATAAGCGAGGCATAAAGAAAGGGAGATGAAGATGCACGATCCACACTAGAAACTGATACGCTCCTGTAGTACACCGGATGACAGTGCTTTTTTCTTTCCTCGTCTCCTCTATTTTTTATTTTTTCTGAAGAATTAGGTCCTTTGCTAAATCACCCTTCTGAAGTTCTATTGGCGGGCTTCAAGAAATAGAAGCTCAGTTGCGAACATAAACGTATCTGCTGCTCATCCTCATTAATGTGAAGGTGAAAATATTGCACTCCAAATACAGAAGAGCAAAAAAGCTATGCATGGTTCAGATTTGAGGACATAACTACGTGCAACAGCGCAAAACGTAGACGTACAACTTCTACCATTCTATATACGAACTGTTCGCATCAATTAGATACTGAACAACTATCACCCCGGCTATAGAGAACCACGTCGCCTGACTGGGCCTTTTGACTTCCGAGAGGGTGACCCACTTTGCTCAGCATCGTCTGCGAAGGTGACACTGGGAGATTGTGTCATCATGCCTGGCGAGCCCTGCGGAGAACTGCCCTCGGGATCTAATTCTCCCGCCTGTCCTCCTGCTTCGAAGCCGTTGCGAGCTTCCCTAGATTGCGTGCGGGTGCGTTCACCGAGAAGGAGCCTTCTGCTTTCGTCAGCCTTGAGTGCCCGCTTTTCAGCTCGTTTTATTTCCAGCTCTTCCTCAGCAGTCAATGGGAGCGGTGCGTTCGGCGAATCAGCTACTTCGTCCGGAAAATCTTTACCAGTGTAAGGAACTTCGACTGCCTCTGCATCGACATCGATTTCTAGTGGAGGTACTGCATGTGGACCCCCAGCTTTGTGATGTCCTTCCTCATCGGGGTTGTTGTCATGCTCTGCTGCATCCTCTGGTATAGCTTCTTGCTTGGTAAATTGCGCCGAACCTCCGCCAAGAATCAGGTCCCTTCCACCGCGAATGAAGGACATACTGAGAAAGCCGCTTGCGCCGGAGCCCGAATACGCCCTACCGGAAGTGAGAGCAGGATGATCCGGCACATCGGAATCGTTCATAGCCGCAAAGAGACTGCGACGCGGTGGCGGTCCCACGAATCCCGCATCTGGAGGAATGTCAGCCCCCTCCACTACTATCATATCTTCACGAAGAGCCGCAGGCTCCTGTTGCTCTTCTCCAGCAGATCCAATTCCAACCCCTCCACCCGCCTCGTCTCCGTTTCCAACCGGATAAAGAGTGTTTACAATGTCAGCGCCTGCAGTTCGCAAAGCACTCGTCGGCGACTCTAACAAAGCACCTGCTCCTCCAGGGGTCCGTTCTCCGGCTGCTGTTGCGCCTCCTCCACCTCGATTTGACAGCGTACTAATTGACGCATTAGCATTACTATTACGCTGCAGGCTACTTAGTGTTTTATCCTTCGGATGGAGCACTGGCAGATGCTTCAGTGTTTCCGCGGTTGGCGGCACGACCTCCGCATGCTGCGAGCGTTCCTGTTCGCGCTTGCGCCACTCCTGATGCGTCATCGGCGGTACGTGTTCGGGCGTGTGCTGCTTGCCGAACAGGAAGCCAACGCCTTTATCTGGCGCTTCCAGTCTTTTGCGAACTTGATCCGCTTCGGTCTCTTCTTCATGTACGCCCTCAGCACCGTTCTCCAAGTCTTTCTTGGCCGCAGATGCTTGTTGGTCGTCCAAAATTTCTTGTTGTTTCTTCTCGAATCCTGGGATTTTCAGAATGGGCGTCGACCGCTTTTGACCGTCTGATTTAGGCGAGTCGCCTCCTCGCGAAAAAAATTCTCCTCGCTTTTTACCAGGAGTCTGGTTCGCCAGCGTGTTGGCATTTACCGCTTCTTCGTCGTCTGAGTCGGTGATTTCACCGTCCGACTCTTCCTCTGCGCTGCTTCCCCGCTTTAAGACGCCACTCAGGACGCGCACGGACCTCTTCTTGTCATTCTTTTCTTTGCGACTCTTTCCGTTCCGACCAATGCTTACTGACGCGTGCGCGGTGTTGAATGCGCGTGACAGCAAGGATGGTCCTGCAGTCTTGAAGTCGACCTTTTGTCCTTCGTTGTGGCTAGCAACCAGGTCCTTCTGGTAGCGCACGCGTCGACTCGCCACCTCACTGATGCAGGGATTGATTTCCGCGCATTTTTTCGTGGTCCCATCCGCCTCCTCATCTACGCTGATTTTCAGATCCGCGCTTCTTTTCCACATCTCCTTGTCGCGCGCTTGGAGCCAACCCATGAAGAGCAGTTCCGCGTCGCGCGCCTCACCCGCACGCATACATTCCGCGAAGCGCTGACGCCGTTTGATGCTGCGCGTATACATGCGGGACTCCAGGAGCGGAAGCACCTCTTGCTCGTGGAGTTCCAGCCGGTGCAGAATCAGCCGGACATTGTGCTGCAAAGTGAGGATCTCCATGCTGTCAGGTGCCGACAACAGCTTCATCGCGATCTTCAAGAACTGGTCCATACTCAGCTCAACCGGAGGGGGTGGGGGTTCCTCGTCAGCTCCTTCTTCTCCGTCTCCTCCCCCGCCGCCTTTTTTGTCTGCTGGTGTCGCATCATGGTGTTGCTGTCGCATGATTCCGGCTGACGGTGTTGCTGGCGCTACGTCAACATCTTTGGCAGCAGGTCTTTCTTTCCCAAGCGCTGCGCCAGCCGCTTTCAGGTTGCTCATCTTTCCCAGCTCCCCCGCAAACGTTGTCGAAGCCTTTCCAGCACTCATCATTTTCGGACTCGGAGAGCCTCCCAGACCTCCACTCGTTAGAGTTTACCAACAAGTTTCATTTTGGAATTCCGAGTTATTGTTATTGCTATACTTTGTTACGCTCTAGGTCGAGTCACTGTTGAAGGATTAGTGGTCATTGGGCTCTTTATTGTTCACACATCAGTTTCAGTTTCCTCAGTGGGAAACGATAATAGGATCGAGTTCCGAAAAAACAAGTCAGTGGCTTTAAGCCTACGTCGGGTGGGTCAGAACAATTTGAATTACTTCCAGATAGAGACAACAGCTGAAGCCTTAAGAGAAGCGGCGCGGGAACTACAGGCATCTTTGGTCTGTCATCTCCTTCCCCGCGGTGTGGAAGGTGGCTTTCTGCCAGATCAAACACCAGCTCTAGCAGATCAATGTCAGGCGCTGCATCGACGCGAAGACCGGCGCGCACCATCCCTTTAATTTCGAGGAAGTCGTTTTTGGTCACCTTTCCTTTCCCATCCTTGTCCACAAGATTTAAAGGTAGTTTCTCACTATCCCGAGTCGAGAGAGTGGGTTGCCCGCTTTCCCCTTAGTTTCCCCTTTATATCAAGGAGGACTCCACTCGGCATAGTCCACATAGGATCGATGGTGATAAACTACCCTTAAAAGATGGAAAAGGTCGATACAACGCTCGAAAACCGCCTCCTCGTGACTATCCTGCTGTACTTTGACGACCACGTCGACGTAGATACCTTATTTTTGGACAAAAAATGTAGTGAATGCGAATGTTGAAACCGTAATAACAAATATGCGACAAAAGATGAACCTCGTCTACATTTTTCCTTTGATGACCGCTACACATACTTAAGTAGACGGAGACGTACACGCTGGAAATGTAATCGAATGTAAGTGGATTTACAAATACAATTCTGTACCGATAATGATATTCAGGATGGTGAGCCCACCGGTTGCCATGTAGAGGGTGAAGATGAGGATCACACCAAAGCGCTCTATTCCCGTCACAAGCGGATCTCCGGCAATCATCGCCAGTGCACTGATTCCGCCATCTGAAAAGACGACCATCTTCAGCGTCGTGACAAACGCTCTATCGAGCGTGCCACAGATGTGGTAGAATTCTGGCTGTAGCTCAGGATCCATCACCTGATAGTACCAGGTACTCAGCAACAAAGCGGCGGCGTAGACAATCACGATGAGGATGCTGAGCACCCCAAGCATAGGTGGCAGACCTTTCGTCAGTGTCCCCAAGACAGTGTCGAATCCGGGAACAACGCGCAAAACTTTCCCCAAACGAACGACGCGGCCAAGTCGAAGCACGGAAAGCCCTTTCACGCCGTCCAATGTACCTAAAGGTGCGTAAGCATCTAGGAAGTAGAGAAACAGCAAGAAGCTTTCCATCCGATTCCACCAGCACATGGACGGGCATGTCCAGAAATCGTTGAATTTCTTGTAGGTCTGAATCCGGATCGCCAGTTCGGTTCCGAAAATCAGGATGAACAGCGTGTCAATGACGATGAACCACGCGGGGCGCGAGTCCTCTTGTCCTCGCGAGCCTACTTCGGTAGTCTCAAATCTAGCGGCATCCACTCCCATCCACAAAGCGTTCAAAACGATGGCGAGGAAAATGACGACCTCAAACAGCGGGTGCTCCAAGTACTGCAACGCTTTTTTCCGTCTCCGGAAAAATGCTTTGTCCCGAACGATTTTCTCTTTCGCAATCCGCGCAGCGAGTCGCGCTGCGCGTGACGGACCGTGATACTCCTTCTGGACCAAATTCATGTGTGTCTGCAAATTCTCCAGATCGTTGTCCACCGAGCCGCCTGGGGGCATCCCACCTCCGCCAAGGCGAGCTGCGCCGTTGCGCGCTGCGCCGGCAAAGGAACGGCCACGCTCTAAGAGTCGCGTCATCGAGCGCTGTGGCATGGCACGCGCTTTTCCACCTTTCGAAGCCGAACTACCAGTCGAATCTCCGAAACCTCCACCACCAAACAGAGAAGGAGCAGCCGGGGTAGCGGCTAAGCCTCCATTCTCATCCTCTGGCGGACCGTCGTCTGCCATTATCGTTCTTGCAGTAGAGGTTCAACTTCAACCTGAACTGCTAATGATGATGATCTATCTTGATGGTGCAGCTGGTGTTGCTGTTGGAGCAACGGGTCATATATATTTTCGGACGTCAATGTTGCAGTCGAAAATAAGGCTACGGCTTCTTACGACAATCATGTCGTGTAGCGTCTCTTGCTTGCAGTAGCGAGAGTGAATCCACAGGGCTCAACAGGAGAGGTCACAATGATCGTTGTCGAGGTGGTAAAGCCCTTGAGTGATCACGTGTTGCTTTTCTTTTCACACGATGTTCAGACAAGTCCTTATCACAGATGATGATCATGGATCCACCGAATCCGATTATTCGCGCTGACTTATTTATTATCAGTACATCTGTGGTATTTCTTGACCTTGACATGCGTTGCAGGTGCAGAGACCAACGATGAGACAGGTACCGAGTTTATTTGCAGCGAGCGCTGTTCAGTTTTTGAATAGTTTGAATTAAAGGTGGTCCAGTCTTCTTCACTCAACCGAGATTTCCGATCAGGATTTAGACCGACTATTTACTTTTACCGTTGATGAATCCACGAAACCACGACGCTAATTGAAAGACCGACTTGAAACGCTTATGATCAAACAACTGTCACCTTGCGTCGCATCATGATGCTTCATCTTCCTACTTACATAGGCATTGTACATGTACGCCTAAAGCGAAAGTAGGTTTTTGAAGCGTTTGAATGGGGTCAAGATATCCATCGCAGGAGAGTGATCTTCGAGTATGGACTCAGAGAAAGCAGAGACAATCTCGTCTTCGACCAGCTTCAATCCCGAACGCTACTGGCTCCACCGTCCTTAGGGGTGTCGAGATTGCAGTAGAAGTCTTCGAGCCGATTTGCTAAGGACTTTTGATGAATTAGTTCTGCGCACCGTAGTTCCTGGATTTTCCACTCTAGGTACGTAACCTTATCCAAGACTGCCAGTGCTTCCTCTTGGCGCAGTGTGAAGCTGCTACGCAACAATGCCTCCTCGCGATGCAAGGGCGTGGCTTAGAAGATGAAGGGGTCGTCAAAGTGAAAGTTCACACTTATATCACTGTTCTGTGGCTGCTCCCTCAGTGATGATTCAGATTTTCAAGAAATGCCTTAATTGAGGTGTTCTGGTACGCAGTCTGGATCGATTGAGAACCAGTCTGGCAAGAAAATTCGTTCGGCCGCGTCTCCGTCCCCACTGGTGGAGGTTGGTCCCAACGCGGTTTTAGAGCCCTCGCGTGCGGATGCGCATGAAGACGCACGAACCCCATTGTTAGCGCCAGACGTTCCCGCACTGTTATCTGAGTTAGAACTGTTCGCCGACGCACCTCCGCCCAGCGCTGTACTCGAGGACGTTATATTTGTTGCTTTTGCGCCAGAGGCAGTGGAGTTTTCCTCGCGAAAGTAGGAGTAGACGCTAGTGCGTTGATTGAGCCAATCGAGACTGCTGAGGTCCTTTGCGATATGCTTCAACTCGTCGAGCTTCTTGATCACGTCTTCATCACCGAATCGCTTACCTGCGCGCGTGTTTCTCTCCGTGAGAAATAAATTAGAAGCACTACCAGCATATATCCATCTTCAGCAGCATTTTCGTGCCCCTTTTCCCTGAAAAAACGGCACCAAGTAAGATGTTTGAGAAGAAGAAGACGCATTTTTTGTAGCCTTATTTAAACCAAGGTTAGCGAAAGTCGCACAGCGGTTGTCGCTCAACTTCTCAACGCCGTAGTCCCAACGCTTGGGAACCTCACTGTCACTGCTCGGCTGCTTTTGCTGCGTGGCATCTTTCTTCGTTTTCTTCGCGTGCCGCGTGAAGATCTTTCGATGTGAACCCTCCTTAAAAACGTGGACCACGGGGCCGCTGCTTGTGCTTCTGCTTCGTCCATCTGAAGATAAAAATGAAAATGAAGCAGGTGTAGTTGAACTACAGTAGTCCTCACCTACTAGAGGACCGGTTCGTCTATCATCCCGTTCTACAACTAGTTCTACCCCATCGAGATCCATTCTGTTCGTTTTTCTCCCTTCATGCACTCGTCTTCGCTTTCGTCGCGGTCCTCGTTCACGAAGGAACTGGCTTTCCAGGTCTGCGATCGTCGGGGTAGCGCACAAGTCGCCTACAGGCACGACGAGCTCGATTGGTTCGGTTTCGCAACGATTCCTAGACGAACTTGAAGTTGACGTCGTCCTCTCAGAGCATGATCTTCCAGTTGCCGACAAGCGTGGAGAGGAAAAGAGGGAAGATGACTCTGATTGCACAGGCGACTCGTCCGCGTCCGAGAAAAAGTCCTGCTCTTCTTCTGCTTCTCCAATTTTAGCCGTGGTCGGTCGCGTACATCTTCGCCTCCGGATTTTTGTTGATGTGCAGTCGTTCCTAGTAGACGAAGGTGGCGTCGCATTGTGCTCTCCGGCTGCTGGGATTTTCGATTTGGGGTCACCGGGTTCTGCGATTGAAGGCGAGTCCGGATCGATCAATCCGCGCTGTTGGCCTGCCGATCCTCGTTGTTGCAAAGACGAGGCAGCCATGACTAAAGGCGTCCCTGCGATGCTCGGGGATAAAATTTCCCCGATACCACTGGTTGGTGGTAGGAATACTGGAGTGTCAAGCGTCTTGCTCTCAGTCTGCACGTCAACAACAGATTCGTCGCCCGGATCTAGTTGACCGCTCTTGCCACTTGTTGTAACAGGAACAGCGCTAGCTTTTATTTCATCACCGTCACTGAACAAATTGCGGGGTTTTGGTGGTGAGTCCGCTCCTACTTTGCGCATTATCCTCTTCTTTGGATCTCCCGTTGAAAAATTCGCATCCCCGCCGCTCCGCAGCAACGAAGACATTGCTGGCACAGACGGCGCAGACCCGCCTATATCGCTCCCTTGTTTACCTCTATTCTTCTGACTGATGGAGCTGTTAGAGTTCCGTCTCGAGCCACGTCCACCAGAGCTTCTGCGCCTTGGAGGCCCCACGTCGCCCCATGGACTAGCTGCCACACCACGGCCAGCATAAGGCGCCGTGATACCCGCCAATTTCGATTTCGACCCGTTACTGGAAGAGACCGACGCAAGGCTGGCTCCGGAGTTTTTGCGCCGCTGAGAAGCAGACACCTGTGATCCTTCGGTTGCACGTGCTGGAGGAAGCCTACCGTCTTCAGCCACCACCTGTGCTTCTGCTCCATCAGCAGCTCCCTCAGGAATTTTCGAAGCTCCCACCTTCACGCCAACAGCTCCTCCAACTTGATCGTCGTCTGTGCCATTCCCGCCTGTAGTAAGACGCTGTTCTGCAACTCTGGACTCACGGCCCTCAGTTCCACCTGCTTCCGACTGACGATCTGCGCCGTTGGGTGGTCCACCATCTCCGGCGTCGTCTGCGTCGTCGTCGGTCTCGTCATCGTCGTCGCTTTCTTCGGCTGTCGACGAGGCCTCGTTTTTCTCCTCCGCGAAGTAGTTCTTGGTCAGCAAGCAACGCAAACCGCGCTGATCTGCAAAAGTAAACACTTTCGAAACATAGCGACGGACAGCGTCCTCATCCATGAATCCGTCAATGTCGGCGTCGGGTGGGAAAAGATGAGCCTGACTACAACTAGTAGCTGCGTTTTCTGCTCCTCCTGCTGCATATGCATTCGTGCCTCCTGCGGGGTTGTGCTGTTGATGCTTTGCATGTGCCTGAAGTACCTGTTGTTCATTCAGGACAGGCGACGCAGTCATAGGTATCGGGAGACTGCTTGTAGACCCAGATGGCCATCCAGCATTGATGTGGTCGTTCCCATCTACAACAGTGTTTCTAGGCGCAGCGACGAGTTGATCTCCTCCTGCTTCTCCTGACGGATTATTCAACCGGCCTGCTGCGCGCTGCAAGTGCTTTGCCGCCGCAAGCCTATCTTCGAACTTCTCACGCAGGAAGGCAACGTATTTCGCGTGCGGACGCATGTCACGAGGTATCATACGCATGTAACGGTAAATGTCATCGTCATCTATTGAGCTTTGTTCGTCCTCTTCGTCGTCATCCTCATCGTCGTACATGGACGAGCGCGAGCTAGCCTTACTTTTCGTATCTTCGTCTCCGCCTATTCGTTCTTCTACTGACGCCGGAACCGGAAGATCGACGTCCTGCATAATTTTTTCAGACGCCTCTTCTACTACTGTAGCTGCCTGAAGAGGGTATTTTGAAGGTGATGCTTCTTGGTCTTCTTTCGCTTTAGAAGAGCCTTCCTTGGCACCTCCTGAGGCTTCCTTCCGCGGACTAGCACTAGTTTTCTTCGCGGCAGTTGTACCACAAAGTTCCGCCAGGCCAAGCGCATCGGCACCCTCAGTCGCTCGCGACGAGGAGATACTCACTCGCCGCGATATACCTGCACCCTCTACACCAGGCGGCGCCAGTGGTTCCGGAACCAGTCCTGGACCTGGCCCTTGCACGGATGCCAATGACAGTCGCGGCCCGTCCTGCGAGGATCGTTTTGACGATCGTGCACTCTCTTTGATCTTAGAGCTACGTACTGCCTTCGCATCGTTGAGAGCATCCGCATCTCTGCTCTCGATCTCGTTTTGTTCTCCTAAGAAAAGAAACAGTCAAGGATAATGTTGAGGGTGCTCACTCAGTAGCCTTAATGTTCGCAGGCGCGACAGAGCGTTGATATCGACGTAACTCGTACTCCTCGAGAACCTCCTGGAATTTCGAACCAATGATAGCTGCAGGCATGGAAATGACTAAAATTCCACTCAACATCGTTAAACCACCGATCACTTGCCCAAGATGCGTTACAGGTACCTAGTTGTGGTGAGGGCGGAGGAAGTGAGGAGTTCATTGAATATTTAGACTTTTGTTTCCGATGTTCATTGTGCTATCCTTTCATGCCACTCGCATCCGAAGCACAAAGAAGATACACCTGATCGCGCCTGATTGGATGTGCTGCAAAAGAGTCTATTACTCATTTGACACATCTCTGTAGTCGATCCACGATAACGCTTACCACATCTCCGTAGCCCACAGTTGTCATGGTAACGATCGACCACCAAGCTGCAGATAAGACGCTGGGAAAGGTGTTCGCGGCTTCGGTTCGTGGGTTACAGCAAAGCATCGGGGTTTCCGTTGGAGGAACTGCTCTTAGAGGTACCGCGTTAGCATTTCTGGGTGCATCCTTGGCCCGCTTTTCAAGTAGAAAAAGGGCCAAGGATGACGCTGAGGATGCTTCAGCGGTAGCCTTAATGCTCCCCCTGTCCCTGATGAAGATGCGCCTCGCGCAATGTGAATTAGAGCTACGACGCCGCATCCTTGACCCCAACCCTGAGCCTTCTTCCCCTTGAGAAAGAAGCCAAGGATGTTGTTGACGATGCTTCAGCGGTAGCCTTAAGTGAAGCTGTTCTGTCCATCCAGTGTTGGACACTGCGAGGTCTTAGAGGAGAATCCATTTAACTGTATATAACAACATCATCAACTACAGTAAACAACGGTTCCTATGAATTCTTTGTCCTGCTCACTGCTTGCTTATCATGGTGCAGCCGGAAAGTCACTACGCATCTTAGTAACGCAGCTTCAGCTGAGTGATCCACAACGATATCAAGACCAAGAACTGCAAGCAGAAGTAAGATGACAAGCACAGCTAGAAGTTTTGAGTTGAAAAGAACGATGATGATGAAATCTTTATGACCTCCTGATGCTGTCAATGTCATGGAGCATATCATTTCGTTGTGTAGTCCGCCAATTCGACAGGGTCCATATTCGCGAAATCTGGGCAGGCCATTTTCTCCGCATAGTAGATCAGCGCCGAGAACAGGCAGAGAAAAACTGACAAAAAGAAGAGAAGGATGAAAATCCCAGTGCCGGATCGTAATAACGTCTGATGCATCAAATAAAGTCCATCCGCATTGAACCAACGCAAGATCTTGATCAGCCGCAAGCTTAGAAAACAACCTAGAGGAGCTTTATTGAGGTTGGTTATGGGAGAGAAAGGTCGCTTCTGTAAGTAGTCAACGACTTATCAAGTACAAGAAGTAGAATCAATTACTTCTAGAAGCGGACTTGTACTGTAGTAGTAGTTACAAAGGAGCGAAAACTTCCGAGAGTAGTCAAATTGATCACATTCATACCCATTGACGAGTACCCACAGCATAAGAATATCCTCAGAACGCGGAGGGCCGGAATGTGTACGCCGGTTACCGACAGATAGAGAGGCAATACCGACAGCAGATCCAGGAAGCAGAGAGGTTCTTTGAAAAAGTCCCACCGTGACGGGTAAGCGATCGGCGCAGACCACAGCCGTAACAGGTACTCGGCGCTAAAAATAACGGTGAACAACACCTCCGCGGCAGCCCACAACCACTGAGCATCGCGATATTGAGTTTCGAAAACAACGCACAAAATCGAAACGCAGATGCACGCGTTGATCATCGAGACAACGACTGTTCAAGGTCGGCGGATAAGAAAAAAGAATGATATTCAAAAAAATTCAAAATCAGCAACCTCAAACAAACAGCGTCCGAGTCGGCCCTTTTTGATCTACTCTTTTATGAATCTTCTAGTCTTACTAGACTACAACGAGTTTTAACCTAGTACGTACATATTATTATAAGTTTCTACTTCCAGCACTATTCCTGTTGCTGTTCGCCATGGATCATGAAAATTACCTTTTGATTCCAGCGTCTCGTACACGCGCTTTTTTTGTGGGTTGCGTTCACGCACTGCTAGCGGCTGTAATGAAATAGAAGAGAGGGAGCAGTGTCGACGGTGGAGTCCACCTCTCATTACGATGCCGCTATCGCGGCCAGAAGAAATCAGGTTCATGTTCTTTGTGAAAGGCGACTGGCGGAAACTTGAGTAATGACACTGCCGAGCAGTGAGGATCCTACATTCCTGCAGGGCTTCCGGGGTCTAACGCGTGCTTTCCTTTTTTTCGCTTGAACATTTCATCTTGATGGGGTAGCAGCTCTATTGCGTTTAATTATGTGATGTAACAGTTGGGCGAGGGTGACCGTGACCTTTTGGATAGGACGAAAACCTCATTTTTGGGGTTTCTGGGTGCCACTTACTAATTTCTAGTGCTAAAGCTAATCCCTCGGTCTCATAAGTGTCAAAAAGGGCTCCTTCATCCTTCTCCTCGACGCACACGCTCTCACTTGATTGATTGACTGATTGATTGGCATCCCGAGTAGTGCTCCTCGACTACCGGCGGGACGATTGAACTTGATAAAAGTTAATACTAACAACTCTTCTTCAGTCTATTTCAGCTCCTCCTGTAAAGCTACAATCACAAAGACCCATAGTAAAATCAATAAATGTGTGATGTAGAAAAAGTGATGAAAAGCTTAAGCCAAAGCTTTTTCTTGACCAGTTTGCCTCATCTTGTGGCCTTCCATGCCAACAGATGCTGGACTATGTTGCTTCGTATCTTCCAAAATTCCAACGTAGTTCCAGTTGTTGATGAGACAGGATTATTCCAACACGAGCCTGGCGCTATGATTTAGATGCTCATCGTGACAGGAACAAGAACTGTTGTATTCCCAAGCATTTCTGGAGAAGTTCGAGTATGAGATAACAGATCATATGCGACGAGGGTATTCGTCATTTATTTCATCAAGTTACTCATTTCATATTGAACACTATCGGATACGGATACGCGGATACGCACAATGGTAATACGAACATGTTGACAGATATTGAATTATCACTGATGTTCTTGGTATTTAGATCTACTTCCATGGGATCTTCGTTATGTGTCGGTATTTTTTACAACATGTTGATGACATAAGCCAGGTCACTAATAGTTACGAATTGGGAGCGCAGAAAATTGACGTCTGGTTGTTTATGCGTATAAGTATGTGTGATGTCGCTTAAGTAGTATGTGAAAATGTGTCCTCTCCACCACGTTTGTCTCCAACTGACGGTAGCCGAGTACTATCATTCATCGCCAAGCAGTTGCAGTGTTGTTCTTGTTACCACATACAATGAAATCAAAATCCTTTGCCGGCCACCTTGTATCAAAAGAGAGAAATCACTGCTGAACACTGAATAAACAACGAAAGTACTACATGTGGTATAATTCGACCTTTTTCACATTAACCTTCCTCGTTCATTTCTATTACAAAGGAGGTTGTCCTGGTGTTTACGCTCCGACGGCACCAACGCCGTACATCTCCTTAGCGTTCAACTCGATTTTATCAGCATTTGCGGAACGCTTGATAGAAATTTCGATCTGCGGGCAAGTCTTACCGCCAACCATCTTCAGGTACTCCGTCTTGATCTGATGATATTTGGCAGTGTTGACGAATAAAATTTAAGACAATAGGAAAAATAAGATAAAACCACATCGACAAAATCAATTGACAACGCAGAATCCTCTTCTGTTGCTATGAAAGACCATGAAATCTGCTGATGGCCATCGTGGACACTTTTGGTGTAAGACAGTGGTAAAAGTACGTCCTGGATCGTTCCGATCTGGGTCTCCTCCACACGACTGGCGCAGGCAATAGCGACATTGATCGCATTGCCCAGAGCCGAAATCTTCATCTCCTGGACACATGGCTTCTCTTCATCAACCCCCTTCAAAAAGCTCAAAGCCGAACGGATGTAGAATCGGACAGGCTGTTGTAGTAGTGTTGTTGTTATACAGTTTGGAGGTATGGACGACATCAGGATGTTTGCCTAAAGCATGAATTCGAGTTCATTATGTTGTTGAGGTTTACTGTTGGTTCATCATCATTTTTCAACATGTTCAAACTTCTTCTAACAAGCATAAAGAAAAGGAAAAAAGTACGTTCTTGGTGGTGACCTTCATGGTCATCACTTCTTCCTTCTTGGATTCGGTGGTGGAAGGCATTTTGTTGATTTTGGTGTCGTAAGACGTTAGAACGATGAAGTCGAAGTAGGTACTTGTACGTAGTTTAGGTGGAGTTAATATCGATTTGGGGATGTTGTTAATCAATGTGGTAGTTGCTTGTTGTTTGTCGTAGTTGAACTTTGGGTTTATTGACGTTAAATAATGAGGTGGAGTAAGATAGCCGAGGTAGGTGGAGTACGGATATGAGAGGTTGTCTAACGACCGATTTTTGCGCCTGCGCCTGTTACTGTTTAGGATTTGTGTATCTATGTATTGGTGTTTGAGAGAGTGCAAAGGAAGAGGCCTTGCTGTTATAGAAGAACTCCTACTATCCAACTACTTAGATTGTGCACTCAGAATCAGATGATCTTTCGTTAATGCATGTTGAAATGGCTGATTGACATCAGGATCCGTTCTTGCTCATCAATCATCGCTACAAGCGCAGTAGTATCTGATACCAATATCAGATTTTTAACGACGTCGAGAAATATTAACATCCAGTCGTGGTTGTTTTCACGTCTTGAAAGTAGTCGACGGGTATTGATCACAAACACTTTGTTGAAAACGGAAACCTCATCATCATCGGTCGTCTACAAGATGAACGCCCCTTTTGTGGTGTTTCATTTTTCGTCGTATAACGACGACCGATATCAGTGAATAAACATGCGTCAGCTCATCATCTAGAGGAGAAGCTTTTCTTATCGGTCACAAGATTTACACCTTGCATACTTGGGTGGATCAGAATCTGTTGAGTGGCATAACATACAAATGGATGTGGATGCATCTGTCAAAGTGCTTGCGGAACATTCATTCATAGGGCAGTATGGCCAGACCACGCTTGATCCATTATTTGGGGAGAATAATGGTGCGCAAAGTGCTACAAACATTTGCGCCCGTCGCACCGTCATTTGTAGAAAACTCAAGGATGTGTGTATGATTATGATGTGGGTACAGGGCTTCGAGGAAGAATGGGGAATCCAGGGAAAATCAAAACTTCGTCGACCTTTTTGGTTCATGATCAAACTACAAGAGGGCAAGGGTTAGTTTGATGGAGTAAAGGTAAACATTTGATCTTGATCATTTTATTCCATGGATCCATCTAGAGCAATCATAGCTGCGATAAAAAGGAAGTGTTCTTACAACTGATTCTTCCTATAATTTTGAATTGCGTGGTGTTGAATAACGTAAAGCACAAGTAGAAGTACTACTCTGGAGGGTAAATAAAAAACTCCACGGTTACAGCTTTCGCATGTTTTGCATCGATATTCCGGATCCGCTTTGGTCGAAAACGACCTTGAAGACGTTGCGCTGCGCCTCGAATTGCTTCATGAGCCAGAAGAATGCTGGGACGACGAAGAGAGCTATGCCGAAGTTTTTCATGAGATCTCGCTTCCAATACTTTCGAGGATGATGTCGTCCCCTACCTGTCGCGTTGGCTGCGCGATGTTGCTTGTGCACCGCGATGTTCCTGTAGAGTTGGGAATCATTGGGGTCGTCGGATTAGACGGGTCCGACAATCCTTCTGTAGGTGGAGTTGTTATGTTCTTCTTCTTCACGTGGAGTTCGAGTAGTTATGTGCTTTTTTTTGCATCTACAGATTGAAAGCCATCAGCAAGATGAAAATGCTGGTAGCAATGGATTCATTTGAATCATGTTCAATGCAACGCTGTGACTGTATTCTATCGGGATATAATCTAACTTATCTAACTTATCGATTATATCTAACTTGTCGTCATGGACATGAGTCATCAATGGTTGTACTTGAGAAAGACGAAGGCGTTCTTTGCCGCTGCGTCCATCCGCTCCTTCAGGATTGCAGTCCACTTCTGTTTCAGGACTTCCGTCACTGCGACTTGCTTAGGAAAGGTGTTTCCCCCAACATCCCCATATATCGTGCAACTAACCTTCGCTGTTTCTACCGCCCACTTGTGAAACAATTCAAAGGGATGTTGCTGTAGTAGTTTAGGGGAATTTTTTAATATTTATAAAATTCCGTAGTATGTCTGTGTAAATGTTGATCGACGACGTCACTAGAATTCATTTTTTCTATGGATCTTGATCGTAATTGTTCAATCTAGCACACGTACTTTGTTTATAGACATTGTTCGTTCCTCCAAAGAGTGAGTACTTCATAAATATCAATGAACTGAGAGAATAAGTTACAGGAACCGTTCTGGAACTAGTCCAATAGGAATAGCTGTATGTAAAAATACATCCGCGATGTCTTCGCTGCCATCTGCAGGCGCCGGCACGTCAGAAAGGGTGGCCGACTCTTGGAGCTTGACGAAAAGGGCCTCTAGACTTTGCGTCTGGCCGTCCAACACTGTTTCTAGCGACTTTTCTGGCTGTGAGGGAAATCCTACATTGAAGGGGTAATGCAAATCCACAATGAGATTCACCATCCATCGCAACAATTGCGAGTCCGTCATATCCATTATCGGGATCTTCGTTGCTAAATCTACCTCAACCTGTGTGTTTTTTGTTGGCAGTCTAAGAGTCTCACCAGACATCTTACATCACACGTAGCGTCCTTATAAACTTACAACTAACATCAACTAATGATCTAGACTTACTCACTGCTTACCCAGCCTCAGGACTCGTCATACTCAAACGAAAAGTGCAAGTCCTCGCATTAGCAGGAGCAAGGGCGCAGGAACTATTTAGCATACCTTCGCGCTCGTGTATTTCGCTGGGATAAGGTCATGGTACTCGAGCAGTTTGTGGTCCATGAAACGCGAAAATAGCGTGTTCAGCACACTCAATATTGTATCCTTGCTTTTGATACTTTCGTCATTTGGTATGTCGCACTTCCAATTATCAGGTTGCTTCTGTTGGTGCCACTCAATCGTAAACGGATACTTCTCTGTGGAATGCGTAGCATGGAAAAAGATCATTAGGTTGGCTGTTGTACTAGAGCAATGAGTCTAAAAATGTCTTTTCAATTTCCTTGCCGCCCTGGAAAACAAAAAGTTGTCGTTCTCAACCTATTTGCAAACCATCTTTTCTTTCTTCGCGCAAATAGTTATAGTATTGAAGCACCAAGTAACTAAGTAAGAAATTCAAATTTCATAGAAAATGAAATAGAAATTCAAATTTCATAGTAAGTACATTGATTCTAGTAAATGATTACCAACAAGAGCAAGAGGACAGTCATTACATACAACAGCAACGAAAAAAAAAATATTCCGAATATTAGTACTGTTATAATGCGCCCGTCCGTAATTTGCTTGGATCGTCTCTTCGGAGAGGAGCTTGTGTATGTACACGTTGCTCTGCAAGTTTTTCTCTGTGTAAGCGATGATCTTTTGATAACTTGGATCGGTCCATGATGTAGTCCCAGTCGGACCATTTGCGCTTACCACGCCACCTGAGTAACTTCGTCTTGCTGAAACTTCATCAAAAGGATTGGAGACTAGGAGGCCAAAACAAGCTGCTGCAAGTGAGTGGCGTGTTCTGCGACCAGTCGTCCTTCGCCTCGCTTTTGCGTCAACCGACGTCTTGACCATTCTAGTTGGTAGAACGGACCTAGATGTCCTCTGGGTCCCCATCACTACATTTTTTACGTTCATCCGTACCCCGATCTTCATGCTTTCCTCAGACAAATCGCCCATACTCTTCGTTCGTCCTCTTCTGCTCGAAGAAGAGCTCGAAGCTTCGTACTGGAGGGACTGCTGGTGCATCTCCATCACGACCGATTGCGGCTTTTACTCGGCTTCTGGGTCTCGGGTTTTCTTGGAAACAAGAACCAGGACGAACAAGAATCAGTTGAAGCCGCGACGTCTAATCTACAATCTTGACCACGCAGAATTGCGACAATGGTATGCCAGCTGCTCGTCTGCTACTACCGAATCCGCACGAAGGAAAGCAAGCAATGGAAGCTGTATCGTGGTGTAGCACCATGTATCTGTTCAGAAGATTGCGCGCCTTGAACCACGAAGTCACTACATGGTTGCGATGAATAAGCTACACTGAATTCAGGACAGCTCGGTATGGCGTATGCTGGAGATCCTGGCTTCTACTCTAGTACACTATGAAAAAGTAGTCCAACTACCTGCTAAGAAACACCGTGTTTTTTTTCTTCCTGTTGTTATCTCCTGTGCATATGATTGATTCTAAGCTGCAATCTGAGGCTTGTTCGAGATGACCATCAGAAAAGCAAGTTGCATACTTGCATGTAAAAATTCCCATTCATCTCGTCCATCCGTATCCTTAATAGAAGCTCAGATTTCATTCTTCGTCTTCGTCTTGCGGATCCTTCACCTGTTCTTGATTTTTGTCGCTCCGCTAGGAAGGTTTATCATGGTATCAAGTAGAACGAACACACGACTCCATCAAATTGACTACAATCAATGTGTGTGCTGCTGCCTCGTTTTTTACGGCGCGACAGCGGCATCACTACCAGCGCAGCTGCATCCTCCGCTTTTATTGCAGTAGGATTCCATGCCAATGAATCACAATGACGTCTGCTACGTAGACGTGGGGCAGAAAAGGTGCGATTCTCATCGCGAGACCCCCGGGCTATCTTGGAGCGCTCGCGCGAGAAGTTGGATTCTTTCTCGGTCACGACCTCGGGGTGCTGTTCGGATACTATGCAAAGTCTGCGACATCAAAAAGGATTCTGTTGATATCTTGTAAAATTGTGACTCAGTTATTCTTTGAAAAGCTAAACTTGTATTAGAATCGCTCGGTCCTGACATATAGCTGACACTTGTACCAGACATACACTATCTTCACTCAGAGATCTTGAGGGTGTTTCTGTTCAACATACAACATATTCGCTGCTGAGGATGCAATTTCACAGGGCGATAATCAAAATCAATTGGGCGCTCGTGCTGCGAAGAACAATAACAATCTTTTGGGCAATGGCAAGTGGAAAGGCAAAAGGAATAGTGAGGACACGATGGCGTTATCAAACTATACAACAACAGTGTCTATACATGGCTGTATTTTTCGACTACTTATAGTTGAAACTAGGAGGTGCGTGATAATATTGTGGTCGTACTGTAGGGTAATGCACGAGCTTTCTGCTTTCGGGATTCACGATGGGGAAGAATGATGTTCGGGTTCGTTCATACGTGATTGTGAAAATTCAGAAGGACGAAAGTAGACTGACACTAAAGTCTATTCTTCTCCTTGTTTTTGTTAAAACTAGAATATTAAGTGTGTCGTAGTAGTAAGCCTATCTTTCACCAGTGTATGTTATTGATAAAGACTAAGAAGTACTCCAGATGAGTCGAGCTAGAGAAGATCATGTAGCTAGTACTACTTCTCACCAGTCGCATCGGCTTGATACATTGGTGGTACCCAACAGAAAGCGCGGAATTTCGAGGCGTTGGTCAAGTGTTCGTTTTCCAGTCGAAGAAGCGCCCATTGGCCACGTCGGTAGATTTCACCGGCGGCTGCTAGAAACACTATCAGGTTGGAGCTCAGGGCTGCCGGACACAGCGACGCTTCATCCTTCTCGTCACCACAGAGGAAAAACCGAGGCGTCGGGATGATCGTCAGAATCCACGTGAAACGCAAGAAGAAGTTGAGTATGGGCACGATGATGTAGAAGTAGTCAGGGAGCATCTTCTGGCGGCCAGGTGCAACGGATTCGTCGACGGGCGTGCCGTAACTTCGGTCGAACGTGCCGCTGTCGGCTTCTAGGAGCTGCTGATAGGAAGCCATTGGGCCGTGCTGACCGTTAGAGGACCCAGACCGTTTCAGCTGTTTAAGCTCATTTTGGTTGGATGATCCGGCATGCTCCACTTGCTCCTTTCCGTCGTCGTCTCCTAAGACCTTTCTGTCTCGGACTAGAGTACCACTTGTCGTGTCTCCTACGTCATCTTGCTCATCTGCATCCGGGGGACCCTGAGAAGGCACTACTTTCGTGCCCGTACTAGGACTAGGTGGAGTGCTATCACTTGCTTCACCTGAGGCTGAAGCTGTGTTGTTGAAGCCCACTTTCGACTTCGATGTAGTCGTTGATGCGCCACTTCCGATGACTACTTCACTCTTTGGAGAAACATTCATCGCAGCCTCCATACTACCAGCTCGCTTGTTGTTTACTTCCTGACCCTTGGGACTCTTGTTCTCATCCTGCTTCGTAGTGCCTTCTCCACTAAGACGCGGTTCTGAGGAGGTAATAGGGTCCTGTGACCCGGCTCCACGTGCGCGAAGAAAAGCAGCGCCGCCCGTCTTTCGTTGCACCTTGAAAACTGAAACTGACGTGCTAGTGATGTGTTTCACACGCGCTGCGAGCTCGTCCTCATCGTCCGTGTCGGAAAAAGTAGTTGTCATTGAAAATTTTTTGAACTTTTCTCTCCTATCATTATCATTTGTTGATGTTGTGCTGGACACGGATGTGGGCTCCGGTTGTGCTTCTGCAAACGAAACTTCGCGAATCTCGGAGAGTAATGGCGTCTCACGACTCTCTTTAAAGTTTCCATACAGAGCATGCTCCTTTGATACTACAATTCCCGCGCCAGCTCCTGTTGCTGCAGAGTCTTGCTTTGTTCGGGAATCCTTGGTGGAGCCGAAAATGTTTCCCTCGTCAGAGGAGCTAAAATGAGCGGTCCTTTTAGTCTGCTTCTCATGGATCTGCACGTTGTCGTTCTTCGACATCCTCTTTTCTGCGTCTGCACTAATACCTTTGGAGTCATGGTCGTCTACATCTGCCGAAGGCAGCGCCGATCGCTTATCATTTTCTGGCCCGCTTTTGCGAGTCGTTTTGAAGACGACCGAGCGCATGCGACGTCCGAGGCTGCGCACAGATTTGGCTGCTCGCCAGGACATTTTAGTCAGCTCCTTTGGAAAGAGCTTAGTGAGCAAGAACTTGGGAAGTCGCCGCAACTGCCTTTTAAAGTACGGTATAGGATTCCACAGCAAGTTCCAGTCCATGAGAATGTCCCAGGTCAGCATGTAACCCGTAGAGCTCAAGGAGATGAGAGCCCAAACCCATCGTTTGCTGGTGAAAGTTGTCTGGAAGACTACGAGGATGCCACTCAGGTACTTCACTGCGTTCCAGAGATGCGGTGACTGCCAAAGTGGGCTCGCCCTTGCATGCAGCATCCGCTGGAGCTCTTCAATTTCAGCTGGAGCGCGCTGGTGCTCCTGCTGCAACGAAGTTTCGGACGACAAGATCTGGGATCCTCTAGGCGATCCCTCTATAAGATCAATGATCTCATGTGCCGCTGTCGATGGATTCCCGCTGGTTGGCAGCACCTCCTCGCGATCCTGCACCTCTTCGCCATCCTGGTTGGCAACACCTCTTCGCGTCGAAGACGCTGAAGAGGAGGCTCCTGACGCGTCTGCTGCGGGAGCCGTGGTCGACGCTGAAGGAATGTGAGGCATGCCTGTGGTGCTGGTGCCATCCCCCTTCGCCGCTGCTGCTGCGGCGGACCCGTTTGGAGCGGCACCAGACATGGCTTCCAGCTGCTCCTCACTCCACCGAACTGCCTCGGCTTTCGGGCTATTGTTTTCTTCGTCGGACGGGTCGAGGTCCGGACGAGCTACAGGAAAGCTCGCGGCCCGCCGCGCAAAACTTTGTCGCTTCGCGTGGCCGACCGGCATGCTTTTTGTTTGTGATTCCCCATCTCGTTGAACTGGATTAGGATTTTTCGAAGGTGAAGCCTCTGCTTCGCCTTTCACATCTTCGTCTATGTTGCTTAGCTTCGTTGCAGTAATTGTTGGTATAATCTCCCGAGAATTACTGCGACCTCCACTGTGCTCCCTTGTCAACGCCGGCAGCTCTATTCGTGTGGTACTAGTGTCTCCTAATGTATTGAACCCAGTACTTCGAGTACGATTGCTCGAAACCCTTCCGCGCTTCGGAAAACGAGGCTTCGGTTCTGAGTCAGACACGTCTTCAGCTTCGCCAGATCGGCCCCTCGACGTCCTCAGGAATTAAAGCTTGAATGATTGATACGAGCGCGAAAATAATGAGATCTGTAAAGAATTAGAATTACACGAAACGAGTTAAGTAGATCGAAATATCAGGACGATCAACACGAACTACATGCTTGGATATTACGCTTTTGGTCTCGACCTTAAAAATCGAAGGTAGCTCCAATCGCTCCACTCTGGTCTGAGGATCCTCCAAAAAAATTAGCGAGAAAAGTAGCAGCTTTCGATCCTGGGAGGTCGCTGCTTGGGTTTCCCAGGACCGAGGGATGATCCAAGATTGATCCTGAAACGGCTTGATCAACCATCTGTTTTTGAGTGTCGAAAGTTGCCGCCGTGGTCGCTCGCTGCAACGCAAATGCGCCGCGTCTAGAGATAGCTGAAGCTGCAGAAGAACCAGTTGGAAGCATCATGTTGATCTTGGTGGCGTCACCAACACACGAGTCGCGTCGCCTGCCTCTTGGATCTTCCACCCTTACCGCCCGCCTCACCTCTGCTTCGTTCTCATGATCATCCGAGGTTTCACCCAGTTTTCCCGATTTGGATTCTTAGAACTGATCGACATCGAGATCGAGATAACTAAGTACTTTATATAGGCTAATACTGATGCATCTTCCTCAACAAGGTACTTACATGCCGAAAATTTCATCTTAGATTTAGTGAAATCACAAACTAATCAACATTCATGCTCATCCTCATGCTGCGCAAAAAGAACAACTGAACCATAATCTGTTACCGCTTGCGTTACCGAAACCGAACGGGGTAGCATTCTCGTTTTCATGTTGCCTAGTGAACCAGTCTGCTGTTGTAGGTCACCACGAAATACATTGGAAGCTGCGCCAAGCAGGCCTCCTGGCGTCACCATGTGTCCTCCAGATGGCGTTCCTGGAAAGAAGATGCGTCCTCCCCAACCGGTCGCGGTGCTGTCCGACGTGGCCTCTTCAATGCCGCCAATGTCTAGCAGGGATGCGTGCTGACAGGTCTTAGAGATGCGTGGAGGAGACTTGTGCCAACGACCACGTGAGATGGTGTTCTTGTACCTTATTTATAAATGCAAATGGGGAGTGGTACGGAAACTATCCTATATGCAGTTGTTCTAGACGATAGTGGATTAGTGAATCTTTATTAGGTCCATATAAAGAGGAAGCTGTCGCTCAATGTTGGAAGCAGCGTCTCTTTAACTAGAACTGTGAGTGTGACTTGTTTTATCCCTAGCCTTAAGATTAGCATGAAGATGGTGTCCCGCTTCATCAAAAACTGCACTATGAGCTCGCTCGTTTCCAGAGTCATCAGTCTTGCTACTCCGAGCGCGCAGTGATCCTAACATATCCCCGTCGTTGCCCAGCTGTAGCTCTTTCATGTCGCCAAGGTTATCGTGACCAACGCTAGTGCCGAGTCTATTGTTATCGGCTGACTCTCCGGGTGGTTTGAGCAAAAGCTCTGGATCTATATTTTGCAGCATTTCCTTGGCGTAGCTCCGTTGTGCCTCCAGGTCCTTGCGCTCACCCTCACGAGCTGCGCGCAATCGAGCGACGCATTGCATCAAGCGGAACCAATACGGCAAGGCCAAAATAAAGGGGGCCAACCACTTTTCCAGGTCGTTGCACTGCGCTTTGTGTCCTTGCTGGAGAAATCCGTCGGATGCATTAGAAACTGCAAAAAAGAATTCCTCTACCTTTTTAGTGGAGTTACATTGTTTTCTACTGGTTGTTTTTCCACTCGATCGATGAAAGCACTCGTCCTACTTGCAATTTCTTACTTACATCCTCACTTTTGATATATTGACTTTTTGTTTTTCTTCATTTGATCACATCAAGAACTGCCTTAACTGCCCTTTCCGCTGAGGTTTGCACGGCTTCAGAGCCTTGCTCAGGCGGCGCGGAGGTGAGATAACACGCAGTATACTGCAGATCGGACAGGGGCTTCACGAAACTTGTCAGGATATCCCCGACAATGTTCGCGCCGAAGGTTACGGTGACCCAGGGATTTGCAGTAATCACGTCTCCAACCAGTGACAAGATTTGCGTTCGATAGCGCCGTCGGAACACGTCACTTGGGAAAAACAGGAATATGATCTGGAAGAACAACACTCCGAAAGGTAACAGTTGGTAGTACTGTTGTCCGAGTCGGATGAATGGACTCGCTCCCTCGGGTGAAAGGGTGGTCATGTGGACAACGACATCGCCGCCAGAAAATGGGTCGTGGCCTCGCTGTTCAGGGGCGAGAAGATGCACGAAGTCAGCATCATCTAGTGGTAGTATACTTCTCTCGCCGAAATAGAGATCTGGTCTTTCCTTCATCTTCAACACATTACCTGTTCTACTACTCCTCTCCTGCTCCTCTAAAGACATCTCTTTCAAGGGTATTAATGTCTTTTGCACTTCGTACAGGTGAGCGGGTGGAGAGAATTTACAGATGTAGATGTAAAATCCGAAGAAGATGATCCACACCATCGTGTGAATACTCGCGTAGCCGAAGAAGTCGCCTGCGCGAACTTGGCACTTGGGGTCGATGTCCAGGAGGAAGATGTAGTTTATGGAGTTTTAGAGCTTCGTGGAGTTCATCTTGAGCGTCATCCTGGGCTTGCTTTGCCCTTAGAGGAAGGTCCCAAGATGCTTCTGGAGATGGATTACCTGAAGCCTTAAGAGTACTTCTCGTACAATGAGGTGACCCAACCGAGCATCCAGAGCACAAGAATGAACATAAAGCTGAAGCGAAATAGCGGGAACACGTCGAAAAACGCACCAACGTCGAATTCAGGATTGGTCGCGGGTATTTCTACCATAACCACCAGGTCTATCAATGCCATCAGCACCACACCAAGGAAAAAGGCGAGGATATACATTTCGGAAGCTGACGAGATGTGAGTTTGTTGGGAGGTTTTTTTGCAGAGGAATTGAGATTCGACGTATTCAACGACACCTAGTTTCATTGATTCAGTATCACTTTCATTTCAAAACTAAGTACTCAGATGAGCAAGATTATACGGTACCTGCCGATGAGCTTTCGCCGGTTTGAAACTTCCAGTAGTCTTCTACAGACACCCCGCCCATTGTCTCCGCTAGCATTTTCACCTGATCCGACAGCGATTTTAAACGTGTCTGGTAGTTCGGAAAGATGTAGTTCTCTGCCAGAAATGGGAGTACGACGCTAAGAGTCTGAAGTGTTGTTTTCTTGTCGTGCTTCTTCATGATCTTCCTGTAGCCGGAGTAGTTGAGCCGACAGAAGTCCTCTAGCTTGTTGATCTCCTTCATAATGCGAAACAGGACAAGGTCTACTTGCGCCCTCCTCGATTTGGATACCCCTCGTCCTGCAGATCCACTAGGTGCTTCGCCGGAAGCGGTTGATAGCTTTTTTTGCCAGTCGTCGACTTGAAGGCTCTTTTCTGCGCTGTCTGCTACGCCAGCGGCGAGAGAGCTGAAAGACGACTCCGCGACTAATGGCGCCCCAAATGATGAACCTGTAGCAACTTCATCTCCTCCTGGTCTCTGGCCATGAATACCGGGGGAAAAATCCTCATCGGCCACACCAAGATCAGGCAGACTTCCACGAGAATCTTCCGGACCTTTAGGCACGAGATGTTCCTCAAGATCGCTGCGAACGCCAGCGCCAATCGTCCGACTTCTCCTAGCAACCTGTGCTGCAGACGAGAGCATGTTGCTGTGCTGTTGTCCTGTATTGAATACGCTAGTCTTATCCGCTCCCACTCCCTCGGGCCCTGTAGCAAGTATGTACTCCATACTTCGGCGGTTTGTCTCCTCGGTTGCGGAAGAGGACTCTGGCTGGTCATGGTGAGCGGCATGGAAGACTGCCTCCATAAACGCGCGTGTTTTCCGTACTTCTGTCTTTTCCGACGCCTTGTCTTATTCGAGCTACCAGCGCACTCGCATCATTATGTCACTCACTCTTGTTTTCAATAACACAAAAACAAATAACAACTAGTCAAACAGGCGTTCTACTTAGATGAGTAGGAACGTTACAGCGAAGTAGGTGATGCGGGATAAGCAAGATCATGCACATGCATTCTTTTGTTGGTATTTATTACTCCTTTTTTGGTTCTAGTTCCAGTTGTCTTAATGTAGTCCTGCAAAATTCTCTCCTGGTAAGTCTTTGCTCAGGTCGCGCACAACACCCTCCACGTCCCGAGGTAAGCTCTCGCCGTGGTCCTCCGCTTCATATTGTATCTCGTTCGCGAGGCTAGCTGCTAGCCCATGCGCCACATCGGACAGACGTCGAATGCTGGCTGCTTCTTCGGTCAATGCGACACCTTCTTGCAATACTTTTTGACTCGTGCGTCCGACGACACCTGATCCAGACTGGTGAGCAAGGTCATCGAGTTTGTTCTTTGCAGAATCAAGATCCAAGTCTTGCCCTACTTCTGTCATGTTCTTGCTCTCCTCTCTTTTGATTTCGGAAAACAAGTCAGGAGGAGCACTGGATGCAATCGATAACGTATTAGTCTTGGTGACCTCGCGTGGCGCGGCCTCCGCCGATGCTTGCATCGCCTCCCTCGAAAGCTCCTCTAGTCGGTTGGCCAGCGAAGACATAGTCCGGATGTAATGCTTGTCAACCTTCAGGCACTGCTCACCTGCGTGACAGTTGAGAAAGAAAGTGCAGCAACCTCGAGTCCTCTTCCTCTATTAAGTAAGTAGTTTGGTTTATAAGATTAGCATCATGATCATCATCGACAACTAGCACAACGAGAAAGGGAGAAATAAAATAGTAATAGACCTAAACCAGCGAGACTTAGGAGAAATAGATGGTATATCGGTAGAAGTACCCATGAACTGGTAAAAAGGCTCCAGGAAATAGTAGAGGATATCGATATTTTCTTCATTCTCTGCAAGATATTCCTCGAGCTTCCGCCGGGTGTTTTCTCCTTCGCCCTCCTCATCCGAGGAACTTCCACTATCACGACCCTCTTTGCCGTTCTCAGCGTCATAGCCTGCCTCTAGATCTAGTGCTTAGAGAAGACAATAGGCAGTAAAGTTAGTAGGCTAGCAAGTTTATGATAAAGGTTTCTCATACATTAAAGATCTCACTGATTGACGTCTTCTATGTATTGATGTGCATAACTACGAGCTAGTCAACCTCTTCAGTACCAAAAGACGAAGAAACATTGAATAATGAAAAGTCCATCGCCCCGTCATAATTGTCTTTCTCAGCATCCGGCAGGTAGACATCGTCCCGACCACCGGCAAAGCGCCCACGAGCCACCGCGACATCCCGGCTCGATTGTTGGCCTGACCGAGCTAAGAACTGTCGATATTGTTTATGCTTCCGAAGACACTCTTTCAGGATGTTCTTCGCTTGATTGTAATCAAGGTAGTGCTGCGACCACTCAGGTACGCGAGAACGCGTCAAGATGGCACCAAACTTCATTTTGAAGATGTGCTACTAAAAACTACACATCAGACATAAGGTTAAGGAATAGGAAAGACTACAATAAAAATCCGTAACAGGAAACAAATTGACACAGATTTAATATTGATCTTTACACAATTCTTGATCACAGTAAACCACTTATCTTGTTGATAGCAACATGTTAAAGCACGTATGACATGGTAACGACCTTTACTACGCCACGACGACCTCTAAGCGAGATCGAGAAGTACGCAGAGCAAATTCTTAAAGAGGAGAAGGTTGCTGGCACGAACGAACGGCATGACCTAGAGAACTAGGGCTTACGCTTCGTTCATATCATGCAACTACCTTTCATTCCACTTATCTTGATGCTCATCTGTGTCAAACTCAGAACAAGCGCTACACACATTCCTCTGGGGCACGCATCGTTCTATTTCGTTGTTTCCCCTACATTCTTCTCCTCCTGCGTGCATATGCCGTATTATTTCAGATGATGCAGCTTACATCTCTTTTCAACATCACCATCGTTCTAACCGATAAATTTAACTACTAAGTAAGACGTATATTTAGTTTATGGGTCAATGACACGAGAACACTAACCCAAAGCGACATCACTCTCCTCGTCTCTTGAGAGATCATTCGTCTTCAGCTTTGGCTTTAGAATTTAAGTTACTTATTAGCAAGGTCCTCGAACTCGTCGGAGGCCTCGCACTCAAAGCACACTCTCAATTCAAGAACTGTATTTTCATAAGTGTGACTGTACACTCATACTTCTAACTCGGCCTCCGTACAAAATTTAGCGCTCGGACCATTACTGAAGAACACACAACAATCTTTCGAGGATCCGGTGAACCTTTTCTTTTGCTATCATCATGTTATAGAACTACGGAGGTAAGTACAACTACAACCCGACCATGCATAATGAGAAATAGAAAAAAGTGTCGTCTATAAACAGTAACAGGAAAAGGTTGGGAAAGGGGAACAAAATTCAGATTGATATACTGAGCAGGCGTTGTTCTTAGTGCAAAAGATCTCAACTGTGGCGCAGTTGATCTTGTCAAAGATCCAAAGAACAAACCCAGAGCGCATGTTTCTTTTGGTCCTCGTCCTTCTCGTTTACATCATCAAGGACTTCTAAATGGGTGGCAGTCCCTACCAGCCATCCTCCATGCCACTCTCTTCTTCCTCTCCTGTGCTTTTGTTATGCTCAGCGTGGTAGAGGGTCAGAAGTGCATCAAGTAGACGTTGCGCGTCGTTTTCAACACAGTGGCGTAGCTCATCTAGACTCGTGAAGCTGTTGAGAGCAAGATCTGTGAGTTTGTCGGCTAATTCAGGCTGATACCTTGATATAATCCGGCGCACACCATCCTGGATCTCGCGAATCTCCCGAAAATCCATAGGCATGTCTTCAGGGCCACGATCTGATTCCTGCGCTTGAGACGTTGCTGGAAGCTCCTCGTGACCAGCTTCAGAAGATACAGATACTGGCCCGTGTTCTGGATGAGGAGGTAGATGCTGCTTCGTAAACGTGTTTGCTACTTCTGACGCACGGACTACCGATTCTAGGTTACGACCTCCAATTACAGCATCAACATCGGGACGTGTGAGATCATTCCCGTTCCCGAGTTCCGCAGCGCTGTCGTGTCTGCTCAACGACTGCCTGGAGGAAGACGTGCGACTGCGTTTCGAGCGTGCGGCAGGGCTGTCTCCGCCACCCCAACAGGAGGCGCAGAAGGCGTCTGGAGAATCAGGCGAGGTCCAAAACGTCACCCCGCGTTCAGCTTTTCCCGTAACGGGATCTAGGATGGACCGCCGACACCAACCGCAAATCGGAGGTTCTGGAGAGGGCTGCTGTTCTATGGGCACCTGCACTCGTCTTCTGCCAGGGCTAGGACTGCTACTACTAGTCGTAATATCAGCATTTTCATGAGGCAAGGTAGAAGAAGGTCTCCGCGATCCGTGTTTGCCAACCTCCTCGCTTCCCCGCCTTTTAAAGGAAGTCATGCCCGACTCGGATGCTTCGCTTTCCATCTCCTTCTCCAAACTCTGAACGAAACGGCGTGCTGCGTTGCTCTGTCGCTCTTGCTGCTCCACCATCGGATAATGACCGAATCCGCTTGTAGAAGAAGTACTTCTAGAAGCACCACGGTATGCTCCCGCCAAAGCGGAAATTGAAGGCGGTGGTCCTCTATGAGACTTCGACGACCAGCCAGGCTTAGCCCATTTGGTTCTTGGCCTGGCAACTGGCCTCCGCTTTGTCGTAGGAAACACAGGTGGATTACTCCTCTCAGGTTCATGCCGCAAGACATCGTTGCGCTCCTCGCTCAAAAAGTCCTCATCCACTTGGTGTTGTTCCTGTCCTATTTCTTTGTCTCTTTCATGACGACGTAGTTGACGTTGACCATGTTGCTCTCGATGACCGTCGTGATATCTGTGGTCATCTTCAGAAGAAGATGAGCCGTCTTCATGCTCCTCTCGAAAGAGCCAAGCATTGACTTGCGCCTCAACGTCTTCCCTCTTTCGAACCATCGAGGTCATTTCCTCGTCTTCATGATGACCCTGTTGCGCTTGCGACGGATTCTCCAGCGACAGCTGGCACAGCCTCTGTGCTAGTGCACGATCCGAAGAGTCTCCAAATCCTAACGCAGTAGCTGCTTCACTTCCTCCTTCAGAACCATGTGGTCTGTGCTCTTGTGCGTCAATATGCTCCTTAGTCTCCCCTGTCGAACACGATACAGTGTGCTGTGCATCGGCACCACGAGGGCGGCCTCCTGGCCCGAAAAGCAACAGATCTAGTTCGTCCATCTCTCCATCTGCGTGGTCGTCTACGATGGACACGGCGCCGACTCCGCTGCTGCCGAAATTCGCATGGCTTCTCCCTGAAGCTGAGCTAGAGGACATGTTCGAAGAAGTTGGAATACCCGAGGAGATAAGACTATTCGGAGCCTGAAATTCGTGATTCTTCGTACTGGTTTTCTTCGAAGACGAAGACATTTCTTGATGTAGTATCTCCTTGGAAGATGGTCTAGAAGCACTCGGACTCGCACCTTTTCCTACGCTATTAATACTTTGCTGCATTCGCATCTCCTCTTCATCCTTTATCGCAACCGCAGCCAACTCTTTCCCTGCTTGGAGAAAGCGTCGCCTTTCCAGAGGCTTCATTTGCAGATGGTCAGCCAATTCTTCGCACACCGCTTCGTGCAAGAAGCCGGCGCCCATAGTGGTGCACCATGTCAAGGCAGGTGCATGGTACCGGTCTAACCGCAACTCAGACAAGAGCCACTGCAGCTCACTCCCTAAAGAGGAGCTGTCATCCTCTAGAGGTGAACCACTGGGGAAGCTGTGATCCTGATGTTCCGTCATCTTCATGATCATCAGACTGGAGGGCCAGCGAGCACACTGGAAGAATAGACCGGGTCGCGTCTGGCACACCTGCTAAGTGAAAGACGGCAACGAGAGCTAAGTCGTCCTGCGTCCTCGTGCGGCCCGCCACGGGCTTCAATAACGCGTTGAAGGGATGAAGGTTCGCATTTTTTCGTCCATGCTCACTGCAGCCACATTCACTTTCACGCTGGCTTGCGAAATAATCATGCGAACTTCTAGCAGTAGCAGGAGTGACTCGCAATTATCTTGATCTTCAAACACGTCTACATCAAATGTCAACTCTGCAGATCAACAGATGAGTTGCATACCCGAAAACTCAAGATGTTTATCTAGACCACCTCCAACCCTGTATCATGATGATCCTCATCTTGTAATCGTAAATAAAACCCCTTTTTGGATTCTAAAAACTTGAGCGGAGTTATGGATCGCCTCGACAAAATTGACATGGAGATCGAAGACCCTGGGATCCCACATCAAGCTCATTTTTACAACTACCAGGTGAAGGGACTCGGAGTGCAAACAATTTTGAATCTTCACTGCAAATGCAATTTCAATTTTTTTTGTGGCTCAGAAGATATTGGGAATCTATACTGCCCTCAGGCGGAATGGGCGCTATTGTCTCCTGTCAAGCTCAAGTTGATGGGATTTTCCGGCAACAGCATTGGCGGAAAATACACGCTTTGATGTTCGCAAACCATTCGAAAGATCTTCTGTTTTCGTATTCCTATTCGTGCCCTGTGAAAATGCCTTCTTCTTACATCCTTGAAGCGCTGACACGACTATCGCAACCCGAGCGTACAAAGATCTTGTCCTCTTTGACACAATCCGCGGGTATTTTTTCCTGCCTCTTTTGGCTACTCCAACACTTACATGCGTGATGTATTCGTCCTGGAGAATCCAAATTTTTTAACTTTTGATGCTTAGGCAAATGCTAGACTTGTTGCCGCGTGATGTCGTGCAAATGGAAATGGTGAGGACACGTTATGAATCTTCATGCTGAAGTTCATGTTGTTTTCCTCGCTCCACGAGCAATGCTGTCGAAACCTCCAATAGTTCTGTTCTGTTAGATGTTAACACAGAAGCAAAGCTAACGTAGCTCTGTTCTGTTAGATGTTAACACAGAAGCAAAGCATGGCAGCAACAGCTGATAGAACCAACTACCCACGGAAATTTCGAAAGAGGGACAAGGAATACGAATAGTCAATGGAATGGAATTGTAATTTAATGATACTCGAGGAATCAACTTCAACAGAGCAGATGCAGAAGCATAGATTATAAATACTAAAAGTCGTTATAGATACACAGTAGTTGCCGTATCACATCGAAGATCTTTTTGTTTTTGTTCTCCTACAAGATGGGTTCTTGGAACTCAAATCCACAATCGTTCCAATGAGTTGCAATCTAGAGGTTGGGGAAGAATCCTGGTAAATCGTGGCGATGCTGAAAGCGACCATTTCTGTTCTTAAGTTCAAATTCAGATTCAGTTCACAGTCATTCAGAAGATGCATCGTGAAAATTTTGACATCATTCTTCAGCAAATGCGGTTATGTAGATGTAGATCAAAATAGCATGATATCTAAAAAAGCGTACTTTTTCATTTTTTTAGCGTCGTGGTGAAGATGATGGTGTTGCCTACATAGACATACCATCCAGCTTGCCCCTTGTTCACAGTATTTCTACTTTTGTACTCAAGTACTTCTTAATATAACTACGTAAAAATAGGTAAATATTCATTACAACGAGAAAAAAAATGCTCGCCGTAGCTTCTCCGTGTAAAGGACGGACAATACCCCGTGATGACTCACAGGATTCACTTGTTCACTTTTTCGTTTAGGTGGTAGACCGGTGTCTTGAAAGATGACGCCAATCCATCAAAACGTTGAAAGCTTGAAGAAGCAAGAGAGCTCGACTTTAAGGACGCCGAAGGCTCAGACGAAGCGAAGCTACCACGGCTTCTCTTTGGTGTACGCTCGCGAGCAGCAGCCGCGGCGATGCAAGCCATCTTGCGTTGGAGTTTCATATCTTGTTCTTGTACCATCTGTGCAGCGTGTGGATTTTTCGGGCACACAGAAAGATGAGCTTTTTGGCAGGCCAGCCATTTTTTATTTCCTCCGTAGTTCTGGTGGTTCAAAGGAAAGAAACAATCTCCACAATGCTTGCAGTAGTCTGACTCCAAATGTTTCCGACCAGGGTTGTCAAGGCAATGAATCTCGTGTTTCTTCGTGAGACAGGCTGCGGGAAAGAACTGATTACAGTGCTCACAATACAGCTCAGTGTTGTGGTTATAGTCATCAACCAATTGCGCAAGGAAAAATCGAAACTCCTGATCTGTTTCTCCTGAAAGGGAGGGCTGCTTAGTGCATAGAGCAACCTCGTCCAGAAAGGGGCAGGTAGTGTCTTCTTTCTTCCTGCCAACTTGCCAGTCCTGCTTTCGAACCTGGATGACATGGCCCTTTCCACCATCGTACTTTCGCGCCATTCCTTAGAGGCTGTTGACACCGCCATATAGTCCTTCTATGTATATGTTCTAGGTCGTACGGAAGTGCGTGTCGTCGAGCGCCGGCTCGCGCTCAGTCATTTTTCAGCATGGCGATATTATAAGATGCTATTCGTATTGGTACCTAACCGATTGGTGGCAAAAAAATATAAGACACAAGGATTACTATTAATTAAGATTTTAAAGGACAGAGAAAATATCAAGGACCCTCAATTCTGACCAACGAATAGCGAGGACGAGAACGACAACGAACTAAAGGAGAGGACACATCATTCATCAGATGAAAAGGGAACACCAAGTGAACAAAGATCACGAGAGACACAAAATTAAAAATCATGTACAAGATGAGGAGTTGTGGGGGAAGGAAAAACCCGATAAGAAAAAATAGCCTGTGAAACACATTCGACCCTCCCACAAAGTAATCTAATCTTAACATTCAGTTGCAACTCGCCTCCACGGTATCACTTCTACGCGGACTTTGTTTACCTTGCCAACCATTTCTAACAAGCGAAATGTTGCCAGCCGGCGATTGTCGAGCGACCAATATTGACCCATTTTCAAAACTACCTTCATCATGGGAATCTGGCGTTTGTGAATCTCGCGCTGCGCCAGCTGGAGTACCGTGTCCTTGAGGCTTCTTTTGTCACGGAACTTGTAGTTGATCGTATTCTGGGTAAAGCGAATTTCGGACGGATGCATTGGCCCGACTTCCGCATCTTCCCCGGTCGTCAAGTCAGCGGGTTTTTCGATTGTGGGGATCATACTTGTGGACATCACGGGCTCATAGTGCTTCTTAGCATTGCCCCACTTGCGCCATCTTTTGTTGCAGTAGGGGCCGCACTGGTGCATGTGCATGAAATTTTCGATACCGCTTGCGCCTAAATCTGTAGCCCCATACTGTTTAGTCATGCTGCAAACAACCACATCAGATAAAACGTACGAAATGCTCTTTTTCTGGTTGCCCACTGACCCCTGCTCCATGCTTCCCTGGAGATCGCAGAGCAGTTCCTCGCCGTCACTGATGTGGTAGCTGAAATGGGAGAGCGCCTGCATTACATTCTCGTCGCGCATGCGTGCGCCGGTGTTCGAATTGAACTTTTGAAAGTTTTCGATGTACGGCTCAACCAGCATCATCTGCCCACTCTTTTCGCCTGGCGAGCACTGTCGCCACACCTCGGGCATGTTCAGCTGGATGTTCAGCTTCGTGCGGCTGAGGTGGGTCATGCGGTCGAGCTCGCGCTGAAACTGCGCGATGATGGGCAGAGCGCGCTCTGCGGCGCGTACGTCATCGAGCCAAATTTCATCCGTGTAGATTGTTCCCTTTTTCACAAATTTCGACACGTTCGGGAGACCCTCACAGAGACCGTTACGATACCACCCCTTCGTCACTACCTTGTTTTGGCCTTCCCCAATTTGCAACTGCGGAACGGCATCCACAAACGTCCCTTCATCGCTCCCATTACGGTTCGCGAAACACTCAGGATCGTACTGCTCTCGCTCGTAGGCCTCACGGCGTGCGTTCTGATTCGGTTGAAGCTGCGACATTGTTTGGAAGATCTAGCAAGCTGCACGGCACTAGTAGGTATGTCGTTTTAGCTACTGAACAAAAGAAGATGTTGGTGGTAATATCAAATAATCGTCCTGCTTTCATTTTGCAACAGTAGAACCAGATGATTCATGAAATAGAAAATGCGGAGATCAGCGTTAAACAATGCAAGAGAAAGTCTTCACAAAGGTGACTACGCCATGCTACGTTACCGTCTTGTTCGAACAAACCGTCGTTCATTATGCTAGCATTTTCTATTTCTTGTCGTGCTGGAGGTAGAAGATTTTCATATCATTATTGATTTGATCGATTTAAAGTCGTGATATTCTTTGTGCTTGTCGTGGGCGCCGACGACATTCATGTTCTCAGTTTTGTATCGAGAATGTCATCTATTTTCTGCTTGCTGTAAATTGACATTGAGGAGACCGAGACCATATTTATTGGTTCAAATTCTCATCTACAGAAGTATGGGAGATGGAGACCGAGAAATACGAAACAAGCATGAAATTTTCAAAAAGATTATCCGTCTCTCCACTATCGCGTCGACAGATCATGTTCATAAGAACGTTGAACCTGATTGCCATGGAGAAGGCTATGCCAGTTTATCCGCGTGCTGGAGGAGATAAATAAGAACTCTACTTCCGTCCTATGATCTCTGCAACATCATTTCGGTTTTGATTCCTAGTATAGCACAAAGTTCAGTGCAGACTAAGAGTCTGCTAAAATGTTTCCATCAGACTCAGAGTCTGTTCTAGGATTTTGGTGGGGACATCGAACACAACTTCTCTTTGGGGTATTTTTCGCATGTGTTGTGTTCCTGTGCATTTTCAGCCAGAATTGTGGGCTATTACCCATGCGTGCAATTGCGCGGGTTGCAGAAATGGATTGAGCGAGCTCAACGGGCCATGTGGGAGCAACGGTTTTCGTTTTGTTGAATGTAAGGTAAGAGTAAGTAGTGTTTGAAGCATCCATGCGCTGAAAGTGCCATACGGCAATAAAGTTCATCAGATGTTGACTAGATTCCCCGCTCCATACATATGGTATGTCATCCAGTAAATCTAGGGCCTTTCAAAAATACGAATACCCTTCAACTCCGTATCCAGTCATTCCGTAGGTCTAGATGATTATATATTTTATCAGTTCAAATAGTAACTCACACCAGTTTTTGGTTGGTTGAAGCAATACTGTGGCTGCGCTATGCAATCAGGAAAGAAATGGATATGATGATCTAACTGCCGACGGAACGAACAATGCTAGAAAAAGCTTGAAACACTGCGCATTCGATGTCGATCGTATGACAACTGCATGTATGAATTCATGCCCTCAATTGCGACATGGAAATGTCTTGCACAAAAATGTTCTTCTACTTCCTCTTCTTGATGCGTGAAGGGAGGAAATATCAATAGCAAGTAGCTGTGGTGTCTAACTATGTTCAACAAAGAAAAAAGGTGAGGGATATCAAGTTTGATGCAGCTCTTCGGCTTTGCGACTTCCGATGCAATTCCGATACAGGTTCGTCCCATATCAAGCCTTGTTGTTGCAGCACCTAGACCTAAGTTAGAAGAAAGATAACTATTCGCGAAATGGAATATGATCTTCTATGTCGTCCATCCGTGTGACTACATGTTCTTGGCAGCGATATTGCTCGTGAACATTGGTTCACTCATTTGCGGTTGTAAGTAAGTTTTAAATCTTTAACTTTTGTGTTAAAATCTTTTTGATTTTACGTGTTGTCTGTTGTGCTTGCGCGTTCTTCCCGCTGCGATAAAAATGAAACCAACGAAGAAAAACCGGATGAGCCTAAGGCTACTGCACAAAGGACATAGTGATAGTGTGCCTAACAACGATAATTGGTCATCGTCATCGAAGCGCCTCTGAAAAAAGGTGTTGAAGATCGGCCAAACATTATCAAAACTCATTACTCTCATCATGCTTCATTGCTTTTTGAAGATCGGTATGGCACTGCATTTTCGTCCATGTACCTTTCTATGTTTTGCGTAGGAAATAAAATCAATTTTACAGGATAGCTCGAAGCTCTCACGCTAACGATAAAAGATGATAAGTAGGAGACCAGTTTCTGGGTGGATTGCATTTTTTACATGATTGAATACTAAATATGGAAGGGGATGTTGCTCAGATCAGTATTCCGAAACTATCGACGGGCGATTTCAAACAAACAACTCCTTAATAGCGTATGCGATTGCGACAAAGAGAAACTCACGAAGATGAAGACGTCATCCCAAAGAGGGCTGAACAACTGATTAAATGTATTTTTGTGACAAAAGCGCAAGAGCAACAATGGGAAACGAATAAGCACGTAGGCAAATAACTTTGTTCGCAAAGAGACAAAAAATGTATTAATTGGATGAAAGTTGTAACTAGCTATATTTATTAGTTTTAGTCGTGCTCGTGGCGTTTGCCAGACGAGCAATCCAATTTTCATTGTCATTAAATTTCAGCTATATTCTACTAGGCGATATATGTCTCCATCCAACCACGCTGAATATTCCTGCGGCAAATCGGGCATTGTGTGAAAATTAGATGTGCCCTGTTTTTCTGTGTTCTTCTTCAATCATCCTGCCCCTGATCTCCGTCGTTGTTTAGTTCCCCTTCATTCACTTTCTATACGCATACCCCGAGAGACACTCGAAACGTACTACCCTGGCAGCATCATCGAGGTCAAGGACAACCACGGAGTACAAGTAGAAGAACAACAGAAAGAGAAAAAAATCTATCCATAACAAATGGCGGACGCAGCGAACGCATGCGCAGAGATGGGCACAGTCCAGAATCACCGTGTTGATCTCGCGCTCGTAACAGATTTTGCACGTATGTCTCTCCTCCTCTCGCTCTAGACGTTTCTGGTATTCGAGTACCTGTGCCTTAAGCATGCTCACCTCGTCTAAACTCTCGTTGCCAAAGTTACCGTCTACGTTCTCTAATTCCTCATCCCCAGGAGCAGCTAGAGCACTTCCTACTTTAGAGGTTGTGGGTGCTTGTGGTGGAGAAGCAAATAAAGCATGTTAATCTCCTTGTTCCCGACTAGTCCTAGTGGTTGTACAACATGTTGCTCAACATTTTATTAGATGCTACAGTGTTGCAATCGAGTCCACTAGTTGTATGTCATGACATGAACAGGAACAGGGATCCAAGCAAAAATCTTGTTGTGACTGGGAGGCCCATTAAAAAAGGGATCACGCAAGCAATCAGGATCATAACCGCAGAATCGGAATGGACGCCAAGCTTCTGTTTACGCAGCTCTACTTTCTCGGCCCGTGTTCGTTCCTCGATAAGCGCTATGCGGTACATATCGTTTCTCCGCTGTCCATCAAAGCCACCCACTATGTACATCCGACCACCGTAAATCACCTGGTTGTACTCCTTCAGTATTAAAGAGTAGTATGTTGAGTACCGGTACTATAATTTTAATTAGATGTACGTAGATATTTTAGATTTAGAAGAAGGTAGGACTAAATTTTCATCTCTACACAGGTTGTAAGTTACCGCTTTATGGAACGTCCGCGCACTAGGTGGATCTCCCATGGTCTCGAGCCTTGACCATGTCCGTGTGTCGAAATTGAACTCCAGCAAGGTTCCTTAGAGTGTGGAGGTGCTCAACAAAGTTCTCTTAAGTGATTTGTTTTGCTCACCTACATCTTTCTAGGTGAGCTAGTACTGTCCTCGTAGTAGTTTTGAAACCAGTTAAATTAAGACGACGGATTCATACAAGCGCAAGAGTGACATCAGAATACTTGCAATAATTTTGACGAGAAATACTATGTTTAGCAACCAACGGAAACGGTCATAGCGTTTTACTTACTTGAGTGATGAAGAAGTCTCCAACCATAATCTGAGAAGCGCGCTTGTCGCTTGTCGACGCCACCAAATATGAACATGCAACAACCGTAGACGATCGCACTATGCCTGTATCGGGAAGTTGGGACTTCGCCTCTTCCTGGGACTGGAAACCACTGCTGAGTTGTAGTCGAGAACTCGGTCAAGTCGTCCAAAGTGTCGTGCCCATTCCATCCTCCAAAGACAAACATCGACGAGCCTTTTCTTAGACGAACCAGCACTTCTACGCGGAGGATGACGAAAGTAGATGAAATAGAATACCATCTTCTAGCACGGTAGGAGCGAGTGCAACAACTGTATCATAGATTTCAGATTTCTTTTCTAGCGAGTGATCTAAGTGCAATCTGTGATCGAGACGGATATCTTTTTTTCAATTCTAAAAAACTACAGTAGTAACTGCAGAAGTGCCCGGAAAAACAAGTGGTCATAAGTACATACACGCAGAGTGGCCAAATCGGCCCATCGGCTGATTATCGCCCTTTATCCGCTCCCAGCGGTTCAGGTCGATAGAGAACTTCTGCAGGTCGTCAAACCTGCTCTTCCCATCGAATCCTCCAAAAATGTAGAGCGATGGGCCGAAGTTGCAGCAACTGTGATCCGTCCTCGCAGGTGGTACCACGCCTGAGGGGTCAATAGTTCGCCACTGCGCAGTCGGGATGTGGAGCTTATGAAAGAATGGGAAAACGCGATCTGTTAAAGTCAAGGAAGTTCAAGTTGTACTTAGACACAATCATGGCTATCACAAACATGTTGACAACCATCACTTCAGATTCACCTTCATAAACAAAAAGATATTAGAAACTACGATGTGCCGCTAAAGAGAATTTGGTAAAGACGAGTAACAGCATAAACTAAAAGAGTTGTACCAGACGCACTTTTTTACGTCTCTTAAAAACTAAGACTTCCGCTTCTCGGACGACTGCGACTCTCTTAATATATTTCATAAAATTGGTAGAGGTCGCAGAAGTATTCGCCGTCTTTCTTCGTATATCCTCCAAAAAAGAAGATCGTGTCGCTATACACGATAGCTTTGGAACCGGACCGAGCACAAGGTGGAGTCCCTGTATGATGTTTTTGTTGCTTTGAGTTTGAGGACACTGAATCCGAGTACGTAGGTGTCTCTGGCCTTGTTTCTATGATACATCTGCAGGTTCCCAGTCAATGATTGAAAAATCAAACTCAAGTAAGCTCTCCATATCATGACGCAACGTCAAAGTCGTCAATTCCTTCTATTCGTGTTTCTCCACAACGTTCATTTTATCAATAAAGTCCAATACCGCCTCGCCAAGACGAGTGACACACACTAGTACCTCTCACATTGTCGAGCATGCTCCACATGTGCGTCTCCACGTTGAACTGGTAGATGTCGTTTTGTCTGGCAGACTCGTCTGTTCCGCCCATAAGATAAAGTGTCTTGTTGTAAACCACCACTGCATGCCCCGTCCGTGGTGTATAAATTTTCCCCGTCTGGTCCGTTATTTCTTGCCATTTGAAAAAATCTTCCGGCATCAGCGCGCTCGCTGCCTGAAATTTGAATCTCACAAGCCATAAATGCAGTTTTGCTTATTTGGAGAACGTGCGTTGACGAAGTACTTTTACATCTTACACGTAAAGCCCTCACTGTATGACAATTAGAAGGATCATGATTTAGATTTACCTCATTCGCGTCCCCGACTCCCCCTTCGTCTGCTATGTTTGGTATTCTTGAGGCTCCACTCTGTATGACCGACATTTCGCCCGCATTCGTATCGCCCTCTCCACCTTGACTCCGCCGGCGCCTACTGGGAGCAAATACCTCTCCACTAGTACTACCGCTACCACCGCCCGACTCTATCACCGTCACTACACCGTCTCTATTAATAGATTCCCGACGACTCGTGCTGTCACTAAGCTGTATTCCGGTGCCGGTTCTGACTGACGATAGCATTAGAAACGGTAAAGTGAAGATGTGGCGCAGGTGGTCATCAACATGTGATGTATCAAACGGCTGCTATTTAAACTCATTGTCCACTTGATCGACTTTTTTAGAAAGTATCTATAGGTAGTGCTTGTCCAAGGAATTCAAAGCTAATCTTCATTTGCGTAGTCTTCTGTATATCTGCAGGAGCAAATGGTAGTAGAAGAAGCAGTATCACGTTGATATTCTCCCGTGCAATAACGAGGAACGCGTGGGATAAGTGCCGGCAAGACTAAGGCGTGAAGGAGAGAGGGTTATTGGGAGTAGGGAGGAGAAGGAGACAAATCTAGCACTAATTCTTCGTACACTGTCTTGCTGCATTAATGCGTTTGATATGGCCTGCGGAGATCCGTCAAGCCGAAGGGGGGCAGATGAGCTGCTGGATGATGCTCCACCCGCGACCGTGCTGCCTGCTCCAAATGTACCGCCCATTGGATCGCCCCTAAAACATTAGACATGATGCTGAGAGGTGCCTAACAAAAATAAATGTAGTGGTAAAATAAAGGTACCGGTTGGAGCTGGAGGTGAAGATCTGACACACTCTGGCCAATGCTTTTTCGACTGATGGAAAATTATTTCTTGATTAATGACCGTCAAATTCATACGATTACAGCCTAGATGTATTTTGATGATGCCACTCGTCACAACAAAAATAAAATCGTAACTAGACGCAGCAGCGCCCTGTCTTATCGCGCGGCTCTGCTCGTAATTCCTGAAATCTTCACGGGGCACAAGTTGAATCACATTTGTGTCGTTTTGCCTTCTCCCGTCGAAACCACCAAGAATAAACATGCGACCTGTAGTATCCGCCACCGCGCGATGAAAGGTGCGCGCCGAGGGTATATACTCGCCACGAATATCCAACCGGTGCCAAACCTTGTCCATCAAGTTCAATTCGTACAAATCGGAAAAACGATTCTGATCTTTGTCGACGCCACCGAAAACGTACATTGAACCGCATATCACGACGGCCGAATGTCTATAGCGTGCTCGTGGCGCGCTACCCCGATTTGGCACACCGTGCCAGGTATTTGACGCAAAATTGTACTCGAACAGCTCGCTCAGCGTTATGTGTCCGTCCCAGCCTCCAAAAATATACCAAAATTAGAGTTATGTCATATAATCTTGGTATCTACTACCGCGATATGACAAAAGCAGCTTCATCCAACACCTTGCATTGCTAGGTCCAGCAAGCAACTGCTTGCTTTTTGACCATAGCAGTTCTCTTTAGCCAGCAAGTATTTGTATTAAGTATATGTTTCAGGAGGAGGAAGGCAAGGAGCATAAATTGAGTTCTCCCAACTGACTGCGCTATGGCCAAACCGTGGTTTGGGTGCATTGCTGCGAGCACTTATGGGTATCCAACGTCGCTGATCGAGCTTCAACTCCTTGATGTCATTGAAGCGACTCTTGCCATCGAACCCTCCGAAAACGAACATAGATCGCCATCGATTAGAAGAGGAGTAAAGCGAGTGTCAAAGCAAAGTCCTCGTTCTCGACCTAATGTGAGCGGGCGTGACAAAAGCACCCCTGCACTTCTTATATCCAAAACAATGTAGTTAGTGAGCTTGCTCATAACATACAGGACAACACTATGGTCCGTGCGCTTTCCAGGTGCCTCCCCTATGGCATCCACTTGATCCCATCGCGGTGATTGGTCGTTCACAGGCAGGTAAAACAAGTTCACATCGTTGAAATAGTCTCCGTCTTTTTTCGTGTACCCCCCAAAAATCCAAACCTGGTAGTTGAGTTTGATTTTTATGTTGTCGAGGATTTTCATTACAATTAGGACTTAAACATCCAAAAATTTAATTAACTTCATGATGATCGAGAGGGATGCCCAAAATCGATCGCACTCACACTCAGTTCTTCTAATTTCAACTACTATTTAACTACCATGCCATTCATAACCACCGCTTGTGCACCACTGCGAGCTGGTGGCGCCCTTCCACCCGTCCGTAAACACTTCCACTCGTTCATTGTGACATTGTATTCGTGCACGTCCGCCTGACGCGCCTGGCCATCTGTGCCTCCGAAAACGTAGAATTTGTCGAGTTTGTATGAACAGGGTATAAAAAAGATTCCTCATAGGGTATTTCTTAGTCCTCCTACCTTCACTAGGATGTAGTGAGATGTGGGGACTTAATTCACATCTTCAACTACACTGTCAATATTATTATGACATCTTTTTCTTCACGTTGAAGTAGAGCAAGAAAATTCCTCATCAGGTACGCAGATTCATAGTCTTTATTACCTGTGGCCTCATCAAGTACGCAGATTCATAGTCCTAATGACCCGTGGAGTATCTAAATCTATGTATCTAATATGTAAGTATAAGTAAGTGTATTTCTCAAGTCATAACCAAGCCACGACAACGTGTCCCGTTCTCGGCGAGTAGACCTCGGAGTGTGCTCCCGATTGGGGAGGGACCAACTGCCATCTTTTAAGCATGGCATCGCTTGCCTGCGTCGTCACGGCCATAGACGCCGCTTGGTCTTCAACACTTCGCAGGAATAGGGCCACCCTGCTCTAGTGACAAGTAGAACGTCCTTCGACTCCGCAAGAGTAGGACTCGTCTAGTACCAAGAACGTCCCAGTCTCTGCGATCGACTCGAGGCTACTAGGATAAAGTCGATTCAGTTGGTCTCCTTTGTGGACTTCACGACTAGAATTCGGTTTCCTCGAGGCCCACTCGTTACAAAAAGAACACGCTACCACTAGTTCGACGAATTCAGCAGTCTAGCTACAACTCTTGTCTTCTACGTCCGGGGAAGCGGTAGCGGCTCTACCTTATAACAGTAAGAGAGCTGCACCAGACGTCGCCGAGGCGAGTGATTCTTTTTCGACCGCGAAGCTCGGTGAGGCTCGTGATCGTGTCTATGCCCGTGATCTTGTGATCACCATACTCGATGACCATCACCCGACCAAAAATCGCCGTTGCGCACGATCAGGCGGGCCCACGGCCCGACCCAGGCATCGCGCCAACGATGCTGTGCTCCTAGCGTCGATGTCCATGCGCATCAAAGTACACTACAATCTTTAAAGAGTGAAATAATGGGCGAGGCCGAGGTGGATATTATAGTTTTAGTTCTCATATGAAAGAATATCATTCACTTGCATTTTCTCGGGCCCAAGCCCATGCGCAACTCTTGATAATTCTTATAAAAGGGGGGGCTTGTTGCAACAAACACGGGTGACGGCCTGCTCAAGTAGGCCCGGGGGAATGCGATTTTGCAAAAGGAACCTAATAAGGCACAGTGCCTGCTGTTAATGATCTTCGATGACTGCGCGCTTGCTTTTCTGCAGCGTGCTTTACTCGATCTACATCAGGTAATCGCGAATAACAACGCTGCAGCGAGACTTCTCCTTCTAGCTAGATCGCGCTGCCGCAGCACGTTTTCATACAACAGCTTTTGTCGCAGTTCCTCTTGAGGGTGCGAACACATCGTCATGACCACTAATTTAGCATTTCCAGTCTTGCCTACAACTTAGCGCAGAAAGGGCAACTACTTCTACACATCAAATAAAAAAATTTTGATCTTTCTTCTGTCATTCTGTCATCTTTCAGCCAGTCGGCATCGTCGCGAAATACCATTGTCTTACAAGCTCAATAACTCCAATTCAACGCGTTTCGCAAAGAACATAACAGTGAATCAAGGTGTCGCAGAATAAGCAAATCATGGTCGTCAACGAATTTGGTCTTACTTGTCACCACAGGTCATCGAGTTTGTTTGTGGTACGAGGTTGCATTGATTATTTGGTCATGGTGGATATATTTGCAGCTTGCACCCGGAGTTGCGTGACTCGCGACATCAGAGATAGAACTTCAGAATTTCTCGCTTCGCGAGTTTAGCGTCCTTTGGCGAGGACACCATACTCGAGCATGTCAAGCACAGCAGCATCCCGCTCTACTCGGGGTATCGAAAAACTCAGCCGCAACACCTCCTGATCCTCTCCACGGACACCTGTTGTAAGAGGTCCTAAGCTGCATGAATTTGGGGCGACAACTGAAGAAAAACAAATCCAAATGCAGAGAAGTGATCCGGTCGTGAAAATGTAATTTCTGTTTACTTACATGATCATAAGTTTAAGTGGACAACAAGAACGAATACCAACTAGTTCCGTGGTGCTTCGTAGGGGTAGGATAGCACTTGCGGGCATGTGCACTGGAAACTGCGAGAGGTTGACTCGGGTGCCGCTCACTGGATCGCGCAAATCTATCGTTGTAACATCTTGGAAAGCTGTCTCACCCTCACTAAGCGCGATCAGGACTGCTTCCCTGAGAAGAGAATGGATCGAATTCCGGAAAGAAGACCGACGATGACTTTAAACTCCGTCAAAGTTCTTATATTTCTTGTAGAGGGTAGACCAGATTCAAATATTCTTGCGCATTCAATGAGTTTAGATGACGTGCACACGTTCAACTTCACAAAAAGCCGTCCTTGAAAAGGAGTACCTTTCTCGTATTTCTGCTTCCGCAGCCTCGATCCACCTGCTCACCGTCTCCAGGCTGTCCTTTCCGCTCACTTGCTCCACTGGTTCCGCCTCATTTCCTTCACCCTGCAAAGATTTATTTTGATCAAAGGTGAAGCTGAAGCAAGAAAGGGCTCGTACTCAAATAAAAATGATGAATGCTGTATAAATATATTCTATTTGATGTGTTAGAATCCATCCATGATATCTTTCAAGAAACGTGAACGTCGTCAACATTCTTCAGATACTAATTTATTGCAACTTACAAGAAGTTGTACATCCTCTCCCCCTCCTTGGTCGCCGCCCTCATCTTCCGCTGGACCTTTGGTCGGGCTCTCCGCTTGGCGCTTCTGTAGATTCTGCACTTGCTTAGTGTGCGCCGTTATCTGCTTCGTAAGGAGTGCGATATGTTTACGCTGTAAATCCCGCTGTTTCACGAAGTCATTCCCCAACTGCTTCAGCGCCCGCTCAGTGACAACTGGTCCAGGGAAGAGAATGTATTTAGAAAGAGTAACACAGAACGTGGATCAGCAAGAGGTAGGCATAGCAAACGAAACACAGAGCAAGACGAAGTACTTTTAACTTATCTTCCTTCTCGCTACCTGTATCTATAATTTCTTTTTAGTAGAGAACCCCCTGCGACCTAAACAAGCGATCAATCTATTTCATGAAGTTGTAAACATTAAATACAGTCTCGCAGCGCTGCCGTCCCGCAGTTGAGATTAATGAATGAGCTGTCCTCCCCATCCAGCCCGTACTTCACGCAGCAAAACATTGCTGCATGGAGGCACTAGACCCATGCACTTAGGCGAGGAGGCCGTGCACCCGCCATGCACTTTTCCCCCTTGTATCGACAAGGGTCACGACCGTTTCCTGTTCTTCTTCTCTGTCAATTCTTCTAATATAATTTACTTCAGGTTCAGTTGTGATGTGACTTCTCCTTTACTAGTAAATGGTGTTTGTTTTTGCCTAGTGTTTGCAAGAACAAGATCTTTTTGTTTTATAGGTTTTGCTTTATTTGACGTACGAAAAAGGGAGCTTGTCTTGCGGTTTTGAGGCGAATCTTTAACAAGTGCGCATGTTCGATGATACCTCATCAAAATTTTGGGAGAACCGGGGTCGTCCTTGGGTTGCAAGCTTCAAAAATCATCTTCATCCTCTATCGAATACGTATACGACGAAAACTGCTTCTTTCTAGGAAATTCACCGGCTTCGGCATGCATCAGGGAGGCGGGTCGCGTCTCATGCAGGTCAGAAAAAGGTGAGCACGAAAGCCTTGCGTGCAGCTCACAAGTAGGCTCGAAACGACGCACACGACGCGCTAACGAGAGAAGTCATAGGACGAATCAATGTTGAGCAAATACTGTGTACAACAGGGAAAAAAAGTTATTGCATTGTACGGATATTTTAGATGCAATCTCCAAATTCAATGAATCGCAATCCCGTTCTCGTGCCCACGACTAGATCGAGTTGTCCGAGCGACAATCAATTTTGCTGCCGCGTTGAATTCACAGACGATGCAAGTAGAGGGAAAAAACAAGTACTTATAAATCAAAATCCTTTTGAACATCAAGCGCTTTGACCACTCACTCCATAGCGCTGCACAAATTCGCCAGGACATCTGTGACGATTTCCGGCTTTTTAAGACTTTCCGTGTCGGGCACGTTGATGTAGTTTTCCGAAGCCGGGAACGTGGTCCACTTTTGCCGGATAATCTTGCCGTTGACTGCAGTTCCGATGGTTACCCAAGAGATTCGCGCAAACCGCTGCAATTTTGCGATCTCGCTACTGAGAAGATACTTGCTCTCGGGCATCCCATCGGTGACGATCACAACATTGGGCAGGACCTGAGAACGTCGCGATCGGCAAAATTCGGACGAACAGCCGCCGTCAGAACCACCCAAGTCTGCGGTTCTTAGAAGAAACAAGATTCAAAAAAAATATTCACTCGTCTTCTGATATTAAGTGCTTCTGACTTCTCTCTCTACTCGAACTTTCGTCGTAACTTTGCGAAAGCCACGGCTTCTGCCAGATTTGTGCCCCCTCGCTGCCACACTGCTGCTTGAACAGCGCTTGTCAGTGATTCAACAGTGTTGACGAAGACACCGCCTGCGTTCCCTGTTGAGTTAGAGTTCACCCTAATCGATCCAACTCGAGGTCCCTCCTGAGAGCGCTTCGCCCTTGGAAACGTCTCTAGGATCCTTTTGAAGATGGATTACTTACACTTACAGGGGAAGCCTTAATTGAGGTATCTGACATCGCAGACGTTGACGTTGTTTCTCGCTTAGCTGAGGAGCCAAAAGATATGACTCCCACTCGCGATCCAGCTGTTCCTTCTTGTAGCATCTTCAGTCTGCTAGTGAGGGTTATGACGAAAGTCTGCGCGTCGGCGAAGCCTGGTGCACCCATCGAACCGCTCGCATCCAACAGGAAGAGAACATCCAGGCTTTCTCCACACTTTGGTACAGGGCTGTCCTTCACACACTCCGGTTGCGGAAATTAGAGGCCTGAAGCTGGACCAGGACCGGACTTGTTCTAATGATCAATCAAAGCGTGTTGATGTTAAAAATGTGGATGCGGAGGTCCTACGACTCGACGCTCATAGGTATTACACTCCCGTGACTCCAATCGCATGGCTGAATTTCTCTTAGGGCAGGTGCCCTGTCCCACCTCCTTCACGAGCACGGTCGCGCGCTCTCGAGATTGGTGCCCTCCCCGGCAAACCTTGCTGCACCCACTCCAGGCTGACCATTCAGATAACTGACAATCGAGATCGCACGCGTGAGTGTTGCACATCTCTTCCTCCACTACGGCTCCGCACGGGCGACCTCCGTTCTCAGCATCGGCGGTTAGAAGACGAACAGGCTGAGTCAGTTGCACTAGCACATGCACATAAAATCAATTACATCTCAAATTTTTCTCTTTCATGCGGGACCGGGAGGGATGGAAAAGTGAACAGAGTAGATGGAAATCCATTTCTTCAAAAAATTCAGTTGGGGGGGTTGAAAAAGAAGAGACTGAGACAAGCAGCTTGATTATAAATAAGTTAATCGAGATACTCATCATATTTGTCATAGCTCCAGCACATTCCGTGTACGACTACGCACGCCAGAGCCACACTGCTGAGTGCAATCGGACCACTTGGTCCACTTACTCATTTTACAGTCTTTAGGACACGCTTGGCGCCCGCAAGCACGCTGAAGATGCAAGGGTGGGCAAAAGGAGTAAGCGCTGGTCTTTGTCGATGAAGTGGCGTGACCACTTGCATTAGAGGTGAAAGTACGAAACAGGTTTAGACTGGTAGTACTTGAAAGAGGCGTCGTGGCTGTGGTGGTGGAAAGAAAGTAATAACAACCACAACTATGTCGTAAGTAGAAGGAGCTTAAACAACAGAATTAAGATTACTTAGGTGTCTCTGTAGATAACAAGCACGGTGAAGACCAGAACTCAACTCATAATGCCAGTACTCTCACTGGAAGTTGTAGACGCCTTGCTTCCAGCGCTCCCAGTACCGACGAAATTTTCAGAAGCAAACCAATCACGGCTTTTCGCAATCGTCACAACCTCTCGAGTCCAGTTCTGAACACCGCAGGGGTTAGAAGATGAGGAGGACGATGAATGAAAGAATCGCATTTCTCGACAAAAGTTTTTCGGCGATGAACTCGTCGAATCTGTTTTCTTTTACGACGTCACACCCTAACGGTCGCTCCACACTGAACTGAACACGGGCCCTCTACCCAATCGGTCAACTCGCAGTCGCCCATGAATGGCACAGCAGTCACGTTCGGCAGCGTCACGCGGATACTGCGTAGCGCGTCCATGGATTTCCGTTCTAGCTCTAACTGATTTGTGCAATTTTAGAAAGGAGAATCTCGAATTCGGAACAAGATTCTTGTACATAGAAGATCATTTATATTTGTTAGAGGAGCATATCTAGATTCAAACGGCGTCGTAGTTCACTCGGACCAGTAGTACTAGTATCACAACACTTTTTACACTACGTAGAACAAACCATAACAATCAGTGCGACTGGCCTCAGCGTCAGCCAGGTAAGCCGCGTATTTCTTCCGCTCCTGAGTCGCACGTTCCCGCAATGCAGCTTCACGCTCTAGTTGGGCGGTCATTCTCGACTGCAGGTCCGCAAGCACTCCACGTTGCTGATCTGACAGCGCCGTCCCCCGGTCGCGGTCGTCCGGATATAAGAAAGAGTGGTCTATGAAGTTACCAGAAGCACCTGGCTCTTCAAGTTCTTTGCATACCATAACTCTGCTAGATCTGAACGAGCGAGGGGGGCAAAGATGAACGAATGAATACTCAAGTGCACGAACATCGAGTGTAGCAATCATATGCCAGTAAATTCCTACTTCCATTGCATGAATCAATCAATTTCTTATCCACTTGACCAGCCATACACTGCATTCTCGATCTGCAATCGCTGCTCGTTCTTGCAGTTCTAGCTTGGCGTCCGTCACTGAATGCTTGAAAGTGCCCATCAAATCTACGAAGGTCTCGCAACTCAAAGGCGCTTTTGGCGTACTGCATTGCTCTTCCGCATTCAAGTCCGACAAGGTTGCATTTTTCGCCACGGAAGTAACATTTGAAGTTGCATTACTGCTGTTCGAGGCACCTTCCAACAGTTGGAGAAACGAGGTTTGTCGTTGTGGTTGTGCCATGGCATCGAAATCTTGATGAAGTTTTGACCTCACATGATGTTCCTTCTTCCGTCTTCTACTAGGATCATGCTTGTTCCCACGTCGACGTCCGCTGCCTCGCCTGCGATTGCTCTTCAGTGATGAAGCCACGTTCCTCGTCAGGAGGCGCATCTTGTGTTTGTCGCGCAGGAGTAAATGCTTGTCATCGTTTGCAGCAGAAACCGTTTCGTAGGTATCTTCCTGCAGGAGCGCCGAGCCCGCTTCGATACTCTTCTGGCCATACATTGAGCGCAACAGATTCAACGACACCAACTTTTCAGTGACGCCACTCATCGAGGTGACTAAATCTCGCAGTGCGCTGTCAGCAAACGTGAAGAACAACGTACCGTCTGGAAGCGTGCACTCCTTCAACTCAGGAGACTTCGTTGTCGCTGAAATTGAGGGAGTAGAAATTTTCGTAAGATTGCAAAGATCAAGGTAAGCCTGAGCTGGTGGAAAATTGGATGCTTCTACTAAAGCTCCTGAAGATGGTCTTTCTCATAATTCCTGATTTACTACACGGCATAGCCCTACTCGTACCAAATGTCATTGGTCTTCAACATGATATTTGATGTGTCGACAGTCAATACTCGGAGTACGTTCATTACGGATTCGGATTCAACATTCATTCTGTTAGCAGTTAGTACCTCCTTTCTCGCACATTCCTTTCTGAATTACTTTCTCAACAAGTTCGGCTGCCAGCGTTTCGTCCTTACCCAAAACACCAATCTCGGCCTCAGCTCGTCCTCGGTTTGAAGTGCACAGCTTCTCCCTAGTTGCCTGTCGAGCACCCTGAAGCTATCATTAGACGAGGCACAACGTTTGAATAGACAACTGACACTGAAAGTAGCGAAACGCTTATTCGAAAATTGCAAGTTTTAAGATAGAATGAGAATGCCAGTCGTCCTTTCCATCTTAGATCCGAAAAGTTGTGAAAACGTGTATCGAGGTATCATGTTGAGAAGATTTTATCTGCGCTTACTCAACAAATCTCTACATTTTGTTGACCATAGCTCAATGCAACTTGTAGGTCTTCCATTTGCTGGTAATCAGCGTCCTTTTGCACGATTGCTGCCGAAAGCGCTTGTTCCGCTGCCTCCGCTGTCTCCTTCTGCTCGAAGAGTTTGACATCAGCGATAGCCTTCTCATCTCTGCACTGCACATCCCGCAGATCGAGCGCCCGTTGATGCTTATCGTAAAGCGCATTGATTTGCTCGGCTGCGGACGTGGCCTTTGCCTGCGAGGACTCTACCAAAGCTTGCGTGACTAGTCCTCGAACGTGATGCGGCACTGCACGAAGAGCCTCCTCCTGCGTTACCTTATAGCGCGAACTGCCGGGTCCCCTATGCCTTTTGTGGGTCTTCTTTTCTCTTTTCGTAGTTCTTTTTGCAGTAAATTCGATCATGTTCTTTGACGAGATCGAAAGCATGCTTCTTTTTTCCGCTGTACCGGCGATGACATGATGCTTCTGATGTTCTGTCGTGAGTACACCTTGCGCTCCGTACACGGAGGTCGCATGGCCGCTAGCGTACGCAAGGTTGACGACGAGGAGCGGCAATAAGCCTCGGTGGAGAAAGAAGTATGGTAGCAGCTTCATTCTCATTTATGATTGGTTGGACAGAAAGTATAGAAGGCAGTTACAGGAGGTATAGAGGATCAGAATGTCGAGAAAAGCAGTAGGCACACCCACGTTGTTTACCAGGCGGGGTCCACCTGCAAACGGCGGAGTGGCAGACACTAGTACTTTTCGTTTTTGATGAATGGGTTTTTAGTTCCCTCTTTCTTAATAATCGACAAAAATCGGGGTCCGTGGTCAGGATTTTAAGGCGAATCAAGGGGAACCTCAAGGGAGGCGGAAACAAAGGCCAGGATTCCCAGGGTTTTCAGGCGGAAGCCAGGGGGTCTCAGGGTTCGCCGCTAACCGCTAAGTCTCAAGGTTTTGAACCCGTGCCAGGGTTTTGAGTCTCAGTGTTGGCGAAAAAGGGCACAAATGTCAAGGTTTGGCGTTGCCAGGGTTGCAAACGCGTCAACGAGTCGCAGGGTTTTGCGTGTCAGGGTTTTGGAGGCGTTCGCAAGTCACCCTGCGCGGCAATGTCAGGGTTTGGCGCCTCAGAGTTCGAATGAGTGTCAGGGTTTGGCGCCTCAGAGTTCGGAGGGTCAGAGTTTTGCGCGTCAGAGTTTGAGAGGGGACACGCTTGCCGTTGCCAGTGGCCTTGCCTGTCAATGTCAGGGCTTGGCGCCTCAGAATTCGAACGTCAGGATTTGGCGCCTCAGAGTTCGGAAGACAAGTCAGAGTTTTGTTTGGGCGCCAGAGTTTGGGAGGGATGCGTTTGCAAGTGGCCGGCCGCCCTGTCAATGTCAGGGCTTGGCGCCTCAGAATTTGGCGCCTCAGAGTTCAGAAGCAAGGTCAGGGTTTGGGAAGTCAAAAGGCCCCCGCTCAGTGTCAGCGTTGCAGGGTTCGCTCTCAGAGTCACGCGGGTCAATGGCAGCGCTTGCCGCCTCTTGGTGCTGAACGTCAGCGGCCTCCTTGCCGGCTCGTGCCCTCAGTGGCTGACAGAGGCGACGCCTGCCGCGCAGCCGTTAACGGCTTCAAACGTGTCCGCCGTGCGCGTTTCGGCCGGGGTATGTCTCCGACGAACGCGCGATACCAAACCAAGGCAAGCACCGACCGCGAGGTTTCGAACGTTGTTCGGAGTTCGTAGAAGAGCCCGGGGCCGGTGCCGGTTGGATACGTTTGCAGGTGGCCGCGCCTGTCAATGTCAGGGCTTGGCGCATCAGGGTTCGACTGTCAGAGTTTGGCGCCTCAGAGTTCGGAAGGTCAGAGTTTTGCGCGTCAGCGTTTGGGATGGGAGGCGTTTGCAAGTGGCCGGGCCTGTCAATGTCAGGGCTTGCCGCCTCAGCGTTCGAGTGTCAGGGCCTGGCGCCTCAGAGTTCGGAAGGTCAGAGTTTCGAACGTCAGGGTTTGGCCGCTACTAGCAGCTTCGCGCCCCTCTTTTTCTCCTCGTCCTCCCCTCTCTCAACCACCGCTGAACACACGGGACACGACTAGTATACTTAATTCTAACGAACAATTAGAAGTTGGAAGAACTACAGGGCCTCAAAGTTTAATGTCTCCATTTCAAAGTACTGCGGAGTGTGGGGGGATCCTCGTAATCGGCGTTTTCACCAGTGAGAGGCTTTTTGGACAGATCGTTATTCTTATTTCGGTAATGCCGTGACAATCCGACTCGTTGCTTGCATGTCTGTCTATGGGGGGGCATGTCCCTATCGCTTTAAATAGAGGAAGCTCTCTCCAGATTCAGATCTCTCGGTCTCGCATGGTCTTCCTCTCCACCTGGTCAACAGATCGCAGCATCATGGCCATGCATGGATAGAATATCAGAGTAATTCTAAAGGTTTGCCGGCTCGCATGGCATGGAGTGCATGGATCGCATGGAGCTGCATGGAGCTAAAGGGGGCGCTTCTTGCGTCCCTTATGGGTCGGCGCTCCATGCACTCCATGCACCACGCGTGCAATAAACTGCTCTGGAATATATTTCCTCCAGACACCCTCTACAGCTTTCGCTTCTCGACGGATGCCGTGAGGAAGAAGACTAACAACAATCCAAGGGGAAAAGCTATTTTGTCTTTAGGATTTCTAGGCGGGTGCACACTAAAGCTTCCACATCCATCGGAGGGAAAAGTTAAAAATCATAAGTGCTGTAACATTTTCACATGCACTCCTTAGCAGATCTAAAAAAAATTGCACAACATGCGCATTCATGTAGAGCAATTGAAATCTTGTCGAGGGAGTTTCTCTTCACGAATCACTTCTGCTCAAGCTGTTGGAGCCTCATCTTGATTTCCTCAAGTTCGCTACGCATGGTCTCTAATGTCTGAGAAGTCACGTCGGTTCGCGCAACGGAACTGAATTGTCCCAAAGGAATTCCTGTACCTCCGGTGATTCGAAGTGCCGCTGAATATTAGATGAGGCGGTTGAAAAGTCATCTACTGGAATTCTTGGAAACAATGTTGGACGAAACTCGACATGAACTTCTAAACCCTGCTTCAACAACGGAGCAGGGACAATCGAAACTGGAACCACCTCGTAGAACCAAGTAGTAAACAGTTATTTATTATAACACTTTCTTAAAAGTGCTTGACGCCGTTCTTTCCTTCACGATTTGCAGTTTCAAATTGTACCTCGTCGCCAATCTGAACCCGATTATCCACGCAGTCAGACATCCGAAAAGGGATGTCCATACTAGAATGCGTAAAGCTTGCGAGGTAACCTGACTTCTTGAAAACTTGCGTGACCTTACCCGTCACACGACTGCTCTGCGGCTGCTCCGCGGTCGCTGTTGCCTGGCTCCCGGAGGTCTTTGCAAGATAATCCGGTGCAGACACATCAGGGGCCGCAGCATTCCACGAAAAAGCACGTCTTGCACTGCTAATGCGTCCAGAAAGCAAATCCTCAGAGTGCATGCTAGGGCCCAGCCGACATAGGCAAAAGGTCGCCCGTCGCGAGGACGAGCACAATGCTGACGCAGCCAACATTTTCTTCGTTCTTCAATTCTGTACCTTAGTCCAAAACTGGTGACTAGTCGGGAGACGAGGCAAACAGCTGCTCTTCCAAGAGGTCAGACGAAATACAGAGAAATAGCGACGCTGTGCACGGAGACTCAGACAGTGACTCCACGGAGGAGGTATATGCGCTCTCAGTCTTATTGTTGGTCTTTGTAGATATGACACATGTAACCTCGAGCACTGTCGCTGTCAAAATGGGGTCCTCACGACTCAGTCTCAGAGTTTTTATACTATAATATAAGAAATAACACAATTTGTCATCTTGAACACGAAACTCACTATCAATGAGAACAAGCGCTTCCATCCGGATCGAACAAGTCCTTGCGCCAGAAGAAGAGCAAGAGCATCAATTGTTCTCCTTTCGGATGAAAATCAACGAGTGAAGATAGCGAATTACTTTCTTCTACGTGGCCCAAGTGTTCCTTGGGAAAATCCATCCCTCAAAGTCCAGGTGGTCGGTGAGACTTAAAAGAGGCAGAGTAGCGTTCTATGGCGAGTCGGGTGCCACGAGAACTAAAGGAACCCACGAGAGCCCCCAGACAGGGCGAGTCTTGGTGTTTGTGCCTAGAGACAGCACAAAAAAATGGTGCGTAGGAGCCGTAGTGTACAGTGTCTGAGTCAGTGATTATCCTTATTTATAAGCAAACAAGTAAGTATGTCAGCATGGGTGTAGGTGCAAAAACTTGGAGGTATACATAGGTGAAATTCAGCCTGGAGGTAGAATCTTGGAATTTACCCCAACGCAACAATGGCTTCATCGAGACCTATCCCAATGCAGCAATGGCTTCATGGAGGCACTTTTTGGCGTTCTCAATGTCGTCGAAGTCGAGACAGCTCAGGGCTACTTTGACCCGTTCCTGACACTTCTTTTTCCGATCAAACATGGCTACTCCTCTGCTCAGTGAACTGTTCTGACCGCCTCCAGAACTAGTGGCTGTAGTACCTTGCACAATTGTCGACATGGACACCGCTGGCGCCGGGGGGACGAATTGTGCGGGTTGTTGCTGTTGTTGTTGTTGTTGTTGTGGGGATTGTTGATGTAGCGGCTGAGGCACTACTCCATTACCGGGAGCTCCAAAATGCAACGGTGGTGAACCTTGACGTTGAGGGGGAAAACCTCCTCCCATAACTACACCTTGGACGACTTGATGTTGTGGCGGAAACGCGCTACTTCCTACGACGTTGGTCCCAGGAACTCCAACCATTTGTGGACTTATTTGTGTCGGCGCGTCTGGGGAGGTGAACGGACCTGGAGCAGAGGAAGATGAAGCCGCTGTTGGTGTTCCTGCAATTATACCTCCTGGCATTATTGATGCGTCAACAGGATTCGGATGTTGCGCTTCCTTTTGTGCGTACATTTCTTCCTCCTGTTTGAAGAGTGCTTCTACCTCATCTTCTGCCGCCTGTTGACCTCCCGGCGGTCCTGGTATGGGAGTCTCGCCTCGCTTCAGACAATCTCGGATATAGGACGCTTTGAATTTCGCATACTTCCTTTTCTCTTCCAGAAAATCTGGTAATATTAGCTGTCCCTGAGAACCGGTGCGAGGCAACGCTGCGGAACCTGATGAAGGTTTGCTAGTAGGATTGACTCTGAAGATGATGAAGACGCCTACAACGACAGCCGGGAGTCAGACTCACAGTGGGAGAGTGCCTATCAACTTAAATCTGAACCTACCTTCCTTCCTAGTATGATTTTTAGCGATCCAAGTAGTGGCCATAGATGTCTTGTCCACTTTTATCATCTGAATACCACTTCCACTGCTTGTTGCCTCTCCTTTCGTCGCTGAGAAGTCCAGTGTATCGAATTGTTCTAGGACGTCGAAAAATTTGCTCGCCACAAAGAATTTCATGGCCGTTTCATTGGTGCATTCTCCACTTCTGTCTAGGTCATCTGCCCTTTTGAAGACTGCAAGACAGAACTCTTCGACTTGCCTGCAGTCCGCTTTCCTGTCGTGGCCTAGTTTGTCAGCTTCGTTCTGCTTCTTCATTTCTTCGAGCTTGCCGAGTAGAGAAATCAAGGTCTTCTCGCTCTCCGCGTCTTTCACACCTTGTTTCCGCAACCTCATCAAGTTCTCGACCACGTAGTAGCGCGAATAGAAAGCAACTACGGGCACCGGACCGTCGAGTTCCGCTGCACGGTGAAGGTAACTCTGCCACTTCTGCATGACCCCTTTGCCAGGGGCCGCAGATGGCCCGCCTGACGGCGAAGATGACATTTTCGTGTTTGCTGTATGTAAGTCTAAGTATGTGCTGTACGCTGTACGTGTACGGGGATCCACTCACGTCTAGAATGATCGGCTTTTTGATTCACTACTAACTTGAACAAGATTGAGTGCTCATGCTCTCTCTGCTTACTATCACAAAGAATAGGAGGGGTTCTAATACTAATTCTATGTTGAATCGCAAAAGTACAAAACCTATCAAAAACTAACCTCCAAGAGTCCAGCGTACGCCTGTTTGCAGTAAGTGTTCACAAATATTCGTTTCAGAATCGTGAACGTTTTCGGCGTCCGCGTGCCATGTAACTCTTAAGAAGCTGCTGGGCCGTCGTCGTTATTCTTATCAGGACCTCGTCAATTCGCTTGAGATCATCCATCGGATCTTATTCTTGACTTCATGTTCATTCGCATCAGCATCAGATTCAATATTCTCAAACCCGAGTAGATTAAGGTTAATGTTCGCTGCTATTGCTTTTTCTTATTTGATTCATTTTCCTGGATTAGGCGTCTCTTACACAAGCGTGTTGCACAATCAGAATCTAGAACCTCAACCTCTTGTTCTGCCTCCGTATATCATTTTTCAGATGTAGTAGCTTGACTAGAATTTACTTTGGAAATAGAATCATGAGTTAAAATTGACGAGAGGTCATGATGATCGCTTGCTATAATGTATTGTACTAGCCTCCTATATATTTGTAGTTTTTATCAATCATATTCGTATACCGGTACTAGCAATATCAGAAATAAAACATTCTTCTTTATTGAGAATCATTTGAGGAAACGTCTATTTCTTCGTCATGTGGAGATCAAACCAATCAGCCCTTCTGTGTATCTCTCGCATCCAGTTGATGTCGTGCCAGACTTCGTCCCTAGTCCGCCATCGCGTGCCAAAGGTGAGATCAACTGCGAGCTCACCGAACAAACCGGCTCCACACGGTTCGTCGCGTGCTAGGCAGATCTTCGGAGCATAGACATACTGACGCGCGATTTTGAAACGGTTATACCCTAAGGCTTCTGCAGTAGGGAAAATCGCTCGCGAAAAAGCTTGCATTGAGTCGATCTCGATACTCACGTAGCGCGGGGGTTCGACGCGGACGAAGAATGAAAGTGGCTATACTTACTATGCTGAGAAACGGGCTGCAGATGGAGGGTCAGTGTGATTTGGAAACCTGTAGCTCTGGAGTAGATCCTGATAGATAATCTATATCTTCCCCGGTAGAGTAGAATGAGCCTACGGGGGACTTTCCCGCATCAAAGCAGAGGAAAGTACGTAGGAGGATCATGAACAAAAAAAACGAAATAAGAATAGCCGCCATAAAAAGGAAGGGGGCCCGTAGGGCGACACTGGGTTAGGTTTACGAGTGTAGTATCCGCCTTGTGATTTTTCGTATAGATCCGCGTTCTCGATGCGATCGTAGGCAAACCTCTTATTCCTTTCTGCGTATGACTCCACTGTCGCTCTGTACCCCTCTGGATCAGGCGTCCGTACTCTGTAAGCTGGTCCTGATCCTGATTCCTCGTTGTCTTTAATATTTGCTGTATTCTTGTCAAACATCGCCGGTTCCTCCACACTTTTGTATCGCACATCCGCGTCGCGCACCTCCACTTTGCCACTGGGTGCCGCGTGGAAATGCGACGCAACATAGTTGTGTCGACGTTCGAACCAGATGCCATCAGTCAATAGGCTGCGCAGACAGTCGATACTGTTCTCTTCCACGTCAATCTTCATGAAGTAAGGCATCCCAAAGGTTTTTACCAGTGCGCCACAAGACAAGCTAGGAATCCATTGAGATCGAATCCGAACCGCCTGCTGGTGCTGTGTCGTACCGTCCGAAACGAACATCGAACGCCAGGCAAATTCGTCGTTGTTTACCTGTTGGCATTAAGGTACTGGAAGTCAGCACGTTGCAAGATTCAAATTTGATATAATTAGTACCAACATTGTTCTAATTAGATTTTCATTTCTTTAACTAAACTACTCGTTATCTCTTCTATCTTGTGTTGAAAAAGTACAAGTACAACTAAGAAGATATTACCAACTTGCTAGTTTCAGCTCTCGGACTAAGCTGAACGTAGGTGGAATTTCGATAGAAGTCGGTAGCCTTGTTTTCGCCGACTATTCCGTAGTTCAATAACGTTAGCTGCCCTGTCTGAAGTTCATCGCTGAACTGGTGTCTTGCTCTGAAAATGCTGTTGGGGTTGGATTCCACCGTTACAACGTGGAAACCCTGATGCAGGTACCACTGGGTATCTGCGCCAAGCCCCATGCCGATGTCCAGTATGTAGAACTTGTGCTTTTCCCGAAGATCTGCAGCACTCTCTTCTAGAATCAAAGGCCCATCCTCCTCTTCTTCTTCATCATCAGCATTTTCGGTTTCTTCTCTCTCGTCTAAGGCCTGCGCTTCACTTTTTTCCATTCCACGACTCTGTCTTTTCGATGGCAGCACAGGTGCTCCCTCTAGAGCCTCTGCGCTAGTCCTGTCTGATCTTGTGGATGAAGAGTCCTCATTACACCACGGGTGTAACAGCAGGTCGCCACCAGTTTGAAACTTTGCTGCATCTTGAACGTGGAATACTAGCTTGTTCATCCTGAAAAGCACCGACCGACGTACTACCTTGACCCAGTCACCGAGGTACATGGACGGATCAAAATCGAAATACATCGTACTGGTATGTCGATCCAGTGTGCCTTCTAACGGTAACGCATAGAAGTTTCTCGCGGGGTCGTCAGCCATGCCATTCTCGCGGTGCAATCGCACTACTTCCGTCCTATAGCCTGCATCCCGCAATTTCGCATGGCTTTTCCGAGACAACCGAACTCTTCGCGTGATATCACACGTGTAGTCTGGGTCTTCATCAGGCTTTAGCCTTTTTTCTGTCGCACTAGTCGTGTCAGGCGTAGACACACGTCCTCGTTCTCGAGTACTTCTGTCATCAATATCTTCTTGTTCACCACCAGGATCGCCACTACCATGGTCCTCTAGGTCTAGCTGCCTGACAATTGACAACGGCGGCTGCGGATCGCTCGGACCGAGTTCCCACACTAGCCATCCTCGGATCGCTTTGTAACGATATCCCAATTGGAAAAGGCCTCTCATCAGGGAAACCGGATATAAGATCTTTTTAGCATCTTCCCAAAGGTCGTCAGACCACCACTCTCGTTTTTCTAGTTCCAAATGCCCTTTCAATTTCTCAGCTCCGATTTGCGGTTGTAACGTCAGAACGGCACGTGGAGGGGCTGCGAGATTGTCGTCTTCTGCTGGCTCTTTTTGCTTTTGGTCGCGGCTAGTATCTTCAGCTGCACTTCTAGAATCCTGTATTGATCTTCTAGATGAATCTTCTGAATTCTTCATCTGTTGAACATCAAGATCTTCGTCTCCTCCACTTGTTCCACCTTTTCCATCGCCCTTCATTGATGCTCCCTGTACCCTAGCATAATCGTCGTCAGCTTCTGCCTCGACCCTCGATATTTTTCCATCGCCACTAAAAAACCTATTTTTGGTCTCCTCCGTGATACTGACGCCATCACTATTAATCGCTAGAGTTTCCTGACCTCGGCTGTAGTCGTCCATATTCGTCACCTGGAATTTACCCTGGCTCAGCATCTGCACTCAGATTAGACGAGTGCATTTTTATGTCTGATGATGTGGAAGAGATTCATTTGGTTATCGTCGCTTGTCCATCGAATTCGAGTTTCAGAAAAATCTCTCCATAATAAGCCTTGCTTCAAGCCTGACACGTTCATGTAGGCTCGGAAAACGCGGCTGCTGACCACTAGAAACGAACGATAGAGTAGTTGCTGCGGAGTAACGCGAAAGAAATGGAAAAAGTCCGCGTTGAAACGATAGAGTTGGGACATTGCTAAATGCTCAGCCACAGCCTCTTCATCTCCATGATCAGCACTCCCACCTCCAATCTGTGGCTCTAGAAGCCTTGTCCGACTTTTCGCTGCTGCACTCGTCCATACTCGATGCGGTGTACGCCAAAGATCGTCCCAAGCTGGATGTTTTGAGTAATCCGACAAGATCTTGATGTCTTCTGGAATACAGCAGGGGAAAGCTGCAACCTCTTTCCCATCTGAAGGACGGATGGGAATTTCGCCAGGATTTACGAGTCGTGGAACTTTCTTCAATAATGCGCCAGCCCCTGAGTTTGACGTTGCCCTCGAGGAAGTCGGTCCAACTACAGGTTCAGCTTTAAGAGCTTCGATGGAGGCTCCTGTTGTTCTAGGTCTATCATCCTCTGCAACTTCCCCAAGTAGTTGTGCTGCATAGTACGAGTCTGCCCGGCAAATCTTCAAAACGTCGAAGGACATAGCCACAGCTTGTGGAATAATCGGTTGAAGCTGCCCCTCAGTCACTCCGAGAAACGCCGCAAGTAGGAAAGCGCCAAAGCATAGCGGCATATGAAGATGGCGGAAAAAGAGAGGGAGGAGATATTGAACGTACTACCTTGTACATCTACCTAACTGCTATCGGATGTTTTGATCAAGTTGTGTTTGTGTATGATTACTTACTTACTTTTAAAATAATCTATCCCTTGCATAGTTTTCCTTCACTCGTTTTTGGCCTCCTTCTTCCGAATAAAATCGGTTTTCTACAACTTCTAGAGACGACAGGCTAATCCAGGCGGCGTGGGCAGGAAAATGATGTATCCATCGGGCCAAAACCATGTGTGCTTTGTCCACGAGACGCTCCATCACTGTGTTGTTCTTCATCGAAGTGCTATCCGGATTCCATACCTGTGTATGCTGATGCCACAGCCAGAAGAACTCTTTGGATTAAAGCGGAGCCGAAGGAAAAGAGTACATGTACAGACATAACTTTACTTCCTTCTGGAACTGTAGTGAGTAGGTTCATCGATCCACGACTACGCACACAATACAACGCAACTAATCTCGCACTTTTTTTTTTGTAGTGCGAGCGAGTTCCGATAAGTCAAAACCTACCTGCGTACTTTGCAAGCGAGTTCCGATAAGTCAAAACCTACCTGCGTATTTCGCACAAAGTTCAGTGTAGACTGCCAGAAGGGCGTCATAGATGGTCTACACGATGGATCTCACGCAAAGTAATTAAAACTCAATTTCGTAGGAATATATTATTAAGCTATACTTTTTCATCTTTTTAAAGTGTAAAAACTGTAACGCGCGCGCGCGCGTTACGCGCGCGGGTTACGCGCGCGCGCGCGTTACGCGCGCGCGTTATAACGCGTTACGCGCGCGCGCGTTACGCGCGAAATAAGGCGCGCGCGTTAC